ACTTGAAGATCTGTGACTGCATTTCCTTCTATTTTTTCTTCTCCCACCCCTAGTGCAGCTGAAACAACAGCTTAAAACAGCCCAAGATTTGGTATGCTGGAGGGCCCAAGTGCTTCCTACAATGTTCTCAGCCTGTTCCTTCACTTACAATGCATGTTAAATTTCAAGTCTGTCAGAAAATCTTTTCATTCGGAGGAAAAAGTGATTTAATTAATTGTCAAAAAAGAGGGAAATTCCAACTTCCTATCTTTCTAACATTTTTGTTTGGTTTCCATGTTTCGAAGTGAAAGTACAGCTCCTGGCATGTTGTTATCAAAATAAGGGATAAGTCACTGAACATTCCATTTTGTACATTGACAATGAGGAAATGTTAATTTATGTTAATGCATTTCCTTTCACAATTACTATCCCATACAGGTTAAATCATAATGTAAATCTGTTGGTGACTAATCAAGATAAAGAAACTATAGGAAAGATTTTTCTTCAACTTGTACTTCTCACAACTGCAAATGGTAAATGATAAATAGAGAAATGGAAGAAAAAAAATCTTTGAAGTTATTCTACTGATGTTGTTTAATTCAACGTGATGATTTCTAAAGGCATGAATAGAAGAAACACTTGAATGAGTTGCTTTAATGAGCTGTCAAAGTTTATCACACTATCATGCCAAATTGCATGAAGATTGCTTTCAACATTTCAATTCATTAATTCCAGGAGAGAAATTGCCACTGAATTAATCAACCCCACGCTCGGCGGGCGAGATCGGAGGAAGAGAGACATTTTAGAGCAGTGTCGGTGTCACTCCCGCTGTGCCAAAGCGCAAATCAAGGTCGCAGTGATAGGGTATTGGACTCCAACGAGGACTGCATCCTTAATCATGTTTCTGCCCCATTAAGCAGTTGACTCTTGGAAAGAATTGGTCAGATCTTTGCAACTCATCCCTGTAAACGTTTGTGATCAAGTGTGAAGGCTATTGGAAGGGGGTGCAAGGATGTTTAGTTCATTAATATTATAATCTTTCTGGAGGTTTTTTTTAAGATGAAATGTACAAGCAGATAAGACAGATTTCTTAAGAAAATAGATGAATAAAAATACAATACACAATATTAAAATATTTGGGGAAAGTTTCATTATGGTGCGTTAAAGTCAAAGTTGATCCTAAATATTTTTTGAAAAAGTTTATTTATCTTTGTTTCAGTCCATCTCTCTCTTCCTCTGTCTATTCTCTCTCTCTCTCTCTTTTCATTTGTCTCCCAAATACTTAACCTGCTCACTTAAAACAGTTCAATTTGCCAATACTTAGCAATTTGTTCATCGCAATACTGTAATTATTATCTGATGGTTCTCCCTCTCTCTTCTGTCTTTCCCTCTACTCCCCCTTCTCTCTTTCTCTCTCTCTCTCTCTCTCTCTCTCTCCATAACCTTTCCTTGTCTGTTTCTCTGTCTCTAAATCCATTTTCCTCCCTCTCTATCTTCTCATTTTCTCCCAAATACTTAACCTGCTCACTTCAAACAGCTCAATTTGCCAATACTTAACAATGTGTTCATGAAAATACTGTAGTTATCTGAGGATAGCTCTCCCTCTCTCTCCTCTCTGTCTTCCCCTCTCTCTCCTCTCTGTCTTTCCCTCTATCCCCCTTTCTCTCTCTCTCTCTCTCTCTCTCTCTCCTTCTCTCTCCCCTCTCTCTGTCTCTTTTCCCCTCACACTCTTTTTCTGTCTGTATGTCTGTCTTTACAATGTTATGTCCCTCTGTCCTTTCTCCTCTCCCCACATTACTCTTCCTCCTAGCACCTGCTCACCTTTGGTATATAGCAAAGCCTTGCCAATCTCAAAGACTAGCGTTGCTCTTAGAAAACGAAGTCACACCATCTTAGGGTAGTTATATGGAAGTAATGTGATTCTCCTTAATGGGATGATATGAATAGGATTCATAGTACAGAGGGGTGTGAGAGTGATCTCTGACATCTCCATTATGAGGTGTGGGACAAGAACAGGGTCTCTTTGGAGCTAGAAGGCTGTAACTCATATACTTTAACATAGAATTAACGCCTTTCTGGCTTTAAAAAGGTGATATTTGTATTTTGAGAGTCAGAAGGGATCTAACTCGGTGTAAATAGGATGAGTGAATATCGTTTTAGCTCTCCGTGGTGACATCATCAACCTTCTTGGATTTATCATCAAAATCAAGTAAATCTGTTTAGTAAATATTGAAGGATTTATAAAGTATTGTTCCTATACCTTGTAAGGCATTGATTAAAGGTCTGAGTTTGATTATAACTTTGGCTGGAGTCTATGTTATACCCAAATCAATTTTATCCAACAGGCTAAGGAATAAATAAATCTGATAGTAGTCACTATCAAGTCCCAGAAGAATGTGAAGCAGCGTTTTTCTGGGGCATCCAGTATGCCCCCCCCCCCCCCAAAAAAAAAATCATCTTTAAAATGGAAAGAATGGAAAATAATGTACACTAATCATGCTTGTTGATAATTTCATATGATCTTGTGTATTACGTAAAAGGAGAAAGTATACTCAAGTTTCAAATATCAAACAAATCCATATGCTCAATGGAATGACATCGGGATCAACACATTATAATAAATAGCTCTTAATGTAGTATGCATTTCATGTTTTGGAAATTTATGTACATTGAACTGGGTATACTAACATACATAACATGTGCATTGACTATTCGAAAGGCTATCTATTAAGTGTAAAACCTGAATGCATGTACAGCTCTTTACTCTTTCTCTCTCTTTCCTTTAAAACATACCAAGATAGTTCTGACGATTGCATTCCTGACCATGGCAAATGAATATATGCAAATTAAATCCCACGCAATCAACTAAACACATTCCCCTTACAAGTATTCATGTTGAAGGCTTGGTGGTTAGAATGGCATTTAAGTTTGCGGAGCAGTGACCACTCGCATTTATCTTGTAAAGCCATCCGTCATGGTATTCACCTGTCGTATGTACACAGTGTTATGATCTATCATGTATGCATGGAGGTGGACAGGGGAGTGACATTGGCAGGTTTTATTACCGAGCTGATAGACGAAAAGTGGGTGATGATGATTATGAACGAGAGATGGAGATGGAGAGTCACAGATAAATTAAATAGCCACATAGATAAAATAGATAGATAGATAGATGAATAGATAGCTAGATAGATATATAGATAGATAGATAGAGACAGAGAACAGAGAGAAGACAGAGGAAGAGACAGACACAGAGATACAGAGAGACAGAGAGAGAATGTTAAAAAAAGATTCATAGAGATGGAAAGAGTGAACTGAGATTGAAAGAGACAGAGACAGAGACAGCGAGGGAATGACAGAAATAAATTTAGAGAGACAAAGACAAATTAGGAACAAGTGAAAAAGAGTGATTAAGAGATACAGAAAGAGAAAAAGATAGTGGGATTCAAAGAGTAGGAGAAATAAAGAGGGGTTACTAGGAAACAGAAACTACAGAGGAAACAGAAATAGAATAAAGAATAAGAGGGGGAGAGAGGAGTACACACAAGTAGAAAAGAGTAGAAAATGGATAATGAAGAAATTAATATAGAAAGGATTTGTGCCAAAAATTGTGAAATTAATGTGAACTAAACCAATAAAAACATGAATTATCAAATCTTGTAATCATTACATGACTTGAATACTTATTGTAAAGTATTGTTCATGGGCTGTGATCAAGCTCCAGTTTCATTAACTTGTTATCTACAATGTATTTAATCGGCTACAGATCTATGACAACTTTTCTCATAACTATGCAAATGTAATGATTTTGGTTCATTTGAATTGAATTGAATTAAATTGGTAGTTTATTTCAATCATTGTAACCATATCATTTTATAAACCAGGGCCCAGGTAATTTAAAGAGAGGAGATTCATCTAAAGATGATTTCTATTTAGTTAGTTATGTGTGTAGAGGGAGCCCTAACAGTAGCTTGCTTACATCCCTTTGAGTCTTTCTGTCATGAATTTTGTGGCAGCCCTACCGTACATGAATTTTATCCCACCCAGCTCAAGGAGGTTGATTTTATAAATGCTCTATCTAGGCATTCACGACATTAAGAACATATTATTTGGTATACACTGAATTGCAAAGAAGTTTTTCATCACTCTTTATAACTCTTGATGCCTTTTGCTTGCTCTCCCACAGACTTTCTTATGCCAGTTCTGAGTCTATTAATGTACAATGAGATTTCTGAAAATATTTCTCTCTTTCATTTTGTTTGTTCTCTCTCTCTCTTTCTCCCTTGCTTCCATCATTCTTAAACTCACCATATGAAGAATGCAATATAAATATTCTAATTAAAGATAACCATTCTAATTAAAGATAACCATTCTAATTCAAGATAACTATTCTAGTTAAAGATAACTATTCTAATTAAAGACAACTATTCTAATTAAAGATAACTATTCTAATTAAAGACAACTATTCTAATTAAAGGCAGCTGAATCATAATGCAAATATCTTATCCATGAACAAGGCAAAATTATTATTGTTTAGTGTAATGCAAAGAAATTTATCTCTCTGCAATTTGGGATTTGTTTTTGTTTGGCTTATACATACATGCATGTAGCACACAGAGACAAAAATTGTCATAAGGGTCCTATATTTTACATCTATTTGTTGTCCATGACAATCATATGCGATACTCTTATATTACAGCTTTCACAATCTAAGGTACCATGAATACCAATTGGTAAATTGGCTGGCATGCCACAAGTAAATATCAACACAACAAACAGGCACCATTAAACATGAGTAGTGAACTGTGCATATCAAACCTAATCCATTTAAAAAAAATCTTAAGTGGCTACGTGACAACAGTGGTATAATCTGAATGGAACAGTTTTTTAATACTTTCATTTAAAAATAATTCAGAAGCATTTGGTAAATCTACCCCTTGAGAAGTACAATGTGGCACATTGATATCATCCAAGTGGCACATAAAGAGTTGTAATAACTGAATCCAATGACTATGACTTACTTGTAGGATCCTGTGCAGTCATCCAAGCCCCTAGATGTAAGGCATGCTGTAGACTCAGAGGTAGAGGGTGCTTCACACCGTGGTCAGTCTTGACCATAGCACTGTCCAGTGACCTACCAACAGGACCAAGATCAACCCCAAGACCGGTCAACAAGATGGACAGGTCAGATGATCTGGATGGGAGGGAGCCACGTCCAGCTTCGATACCTCCATATTTGTCCTCGTGTAAGGTGTAGCCTACGATAATGAAGGAAGGGTAGTTACATATTTAATACACATTCACAGATTCTTTAAACTCCATTCATGTCTGTTTAAGGTCACTTGTTAAAAACAAATGATTGTATTTATATTTTCTACTGTCTATTGTTGTTAACAAATGTATTTTTTAAATATATATATATATATATATATATATATATATATGCAGAATTATTCAAAAAGATGCAGTTATTGATGTGTACTATAATACTTGGCACAGCTAAAGAAAATCTATAGAGAGTGTAAAGAGTCAGTTTGGGTTCTTAGAAGAAGAACTATTCAAAATCTGTCTACCATGAAAGAATTGAAATATAACTAACATTTACAAGTTAAACAACTGATAGGCTTTATCTCAAGCACAGCACAGTTTCAAGATTGCCTTGCACAGTAGTTCCAACCATGTCCCTAGAAGGAGTCAATAGTTGTACAGTCAAACCTGTCTATAGCGACCGCCCAAGGGAAACACAAAAAGTGGTCTTTGTAGACAGGTGGTCTTTAAAGACAGGTTCCTTTAGTACATTTTTTCAATGAGAAACCATTGTCAAGGGAAACAAAAATGCGCTTGTTGTAGACAGGTGGTCTTTGTAGACAGGTGGTCACTAAGGCAGGTTTGACTGTATATTCTTACCCAGTTCTCCTGCTAACTTCTTCATGAGTTCCTCCATGTCCTCTTCATCTAAAGGACTCTCCTGGTTTCTCAGGTCAAGCAGCTTTAGACTCTCAGCCAGGTGTAATAACTGAATTAATGCTGATAAGGTCTCACAACCCAGGCTGTTTCTATTGAAAGACATCGTGTGCAGCTTCTTGGCCTTGGTAAGAAGACTAGTCAGCACATCTTGACAGTCATCTGATAGCTGTATGATGTATACAAAGCACATAGTTTTTTTTATTGAAAGCCTGAGCCTGTAAGCTTGAGACTGTTTAAGAAATGAAATTACTCAATTTTAAAGTTATTTTTACATTTCAAACTTTGAAAAACAACAATTCCCCATGTTTATAACACTTTAGGAGACTTTTTTTGCACAATCTAACATCTTTTATTCTCACTGAATAATTATAGTACTTTAAAAGGTACATAAATATCCTTTTGACAAAGTTATTCAATTACCAAAATTTGTTAGTACTTATCACTTTTCATATGGAAGTATATTGCTATGAAATAGAAAATGCTTTTTTATAAATATTTGATTGTGATTTAAGCTATAAATAAGCAGGCTTTATGTGGATGGCTATTAAGCTGAGCAAAAAGGATATGAGTGGTCCTCGTAATGTTGATCTAAAAATACCTGATTAGAGTTGAGATTAAAAGATTCAAGAAGTGGCTCTCCTGAACTGATCATGGCCTTCAGTAGGGGATTGATCCCTGAACCTGTCAACCTGTTGTTGGCTAAGGTTAGTGAGGTCAAGCACCATCCAGCAGCAAGGGCAGAGGTCAGAGGTTCAAGGTCAGAATCTTTGAGAGCACAGCCAGCTAAGGAAAGACTCTTCAGACTCAGATTGGCAGCTGTAAACAAAATAAAAAAAGAAAGTTACTTTTTAGGGTATCCTTGCAAAGTAATACTTTCTTTCGATTAATATGACCGTAAACTTTCCACTCTTTGATAAGGAATTCACCTATATTTACCAGCCTGTGCTCACATGAGATTTACATGTGTGTAATATGCCAGGCATATCATAAAACTGGTAGGAAAAAAATATCTGAATAATTTCAGTACTTTAAATAGCAGCCTCTAAACCCTTCTAGGTCAATAGAGCTTGTATTGCCCAGTTAAGTTTATCAAAGGTATTGCACAATACTTATTTTGGTGATATCATATTTCTTGACAATATATATTCCTTTCAGCATTGAAGCAAATATCAGTCTACCGATTCCCTCACCTGGTTCCAAGAGTTGGGCCAATGCTTGTGTCTCAGACAGCTTGAGTCCACTCAGACAGAGCTCCGTGAGACCACCCGGTCCCTGCAGGAGCTCAGACAGCCTGCCCAGGCTTGTGGGTGATATCCTGGCCTTGCATAGACTGAGCATGGTGAGGCTGGGGAAGGAGGGGTTGTTGAGGAGATGATCAGGAAGGCCTTCCAGAGACTGCTGATCAAGGTGCAGGTGAGTCACACCAGATGATACTACTGCATCTGAATCAGTGAAAATAGAGAACCAAAATGAAGCATTTCAAAATGTGGCTATTTAATTCAACTCAATGTAATTCAATATTATTTATTGTAATTTATGTAATTCCATGCAAATTTCAATGTTTTAAATGACAAAATAAATGTGCACTTACACATACCCTTTTCAAAACAAATCACTACCAATTAAACTCTGTACAGAAGCACAAACAAAAAATAATTTAAAGAACTCTTTTAGCCAATAGCAAAGGTAATGAGGACATTAGTCAACAAGTTTTCTTCACTGCGTTGTGTCTTGGGCTTTTGACTTTGCTATATCCATGGTCAAAAGGAATATATTGCAGAATTATTCTCTTTTGAAGTATTCAACTATGTATGATAGTATGTAAGTATTTTTGGTACAATCTTGTAATAATATGTCAGTTCCTTACCAGAACCCTCTGTCAGTGCAGTTAGCTGAGCAACAGACTGAAGCGAGGCTGTCGTCATCTCAGAGTTGCCTGATAAACTCAACTCTGTGATGTGTGGCAGGCATGCAGGGAGATGATTGGCTAGTACCTTCATGATTTCATCGGTAATCGAACAGTTCGCTAGATTCAAATTCTTCAGGCAGCTTTTCCTTTTCTCATTTATGGGTGCTAGGTCTATGTGTTCATGGATGAAGAAAACAATGTAAGAACATTACTGATTGAATGAACATCAGCAGCATATAGTTGAATTTAATAAAAAAGTCTGAAATGTTGAAATATTTATATTCTTATTCCTAATATAACCTCAGATTCACTTTATGAAACTACCATGCTGTTTCCAAAAGATTGCATCTTCTTCCAAAGATAGCTCATCTTTTCGTCTGGTTGCTCTCAGCATTGAGCACTATTGTTTGTTTATGAGATGTTTTGTTTGTTCATGTGTACATGAGAAAGCACCATAGCTCAGTTGTTAGAGAAGAAGCCTTAAAACCTAAGAGGTCACGGTCAAAACCCAGATATGGCCATTATACCCTTGAGAAAAGCAACTAATTTCTTCACATGAAATAAACATTATTTGATTTAAAGAATGTTATACTATAGTCACATCACCAAACTGAATTAAATTGCCCAATATCTTATAAATTTGTTCAATCTGTTATCAGTATGGTGTCAGTCTTATTGATGTGAATTAGGTCTTATATAAGAGCCCCACTGTACTACTTGTAGATACTTGCTCCCTCTATATAGAAAACAATGCCTAAGCGGTGTCCGTTGGTGCCCCATGATCCTCTTTTTCTTATGTTAATTGAGAGCTGAGTTGATGAGATAGCCACCTGTCAGTGACAACGCTTGGTGGTCTAATCCCTCCTGGCCAGACTAGTACAGACGGACTTTAAGACATTTAATGATCCCTGAACTTACCAAGGTTCTGATTCCCCGTTTCACTGATTCTGGTATCATTCAGGTTGAGGGTCTCCACGGTAGCATGTTGAAGACAAGTCACCAGGAACTCAACAAACACATTCACATTAGAAACCTGTTCAAACAAATAGACGATTTAATTTATTAATTTGGTAATGTTTGTAAATTACAGGCATTTCTTTAAAAGGCTATTTTTCTAAGGAACAATTTATATGATGCACCTAATGTCATGTTACATGAAGAGTTTATTCATAACTAGGTTGAATTTTACTGAATATGCCTTGAAATTTGACAGATCAAATGCAAGTAAACAACAGGGTAACACAGAACCCGATTAACCCTTACTGTACTGGGGGGGGGGGGGCCTGGGAGGCCCCCCCTCGACATTTTCGGAGATCGCGCCGCAACCGCTTGGAATTTTGAATTGTCGTTTCATGACTTTTTTCCCTCAAGTCTTGCGCACATTTTGATACCATTTTCGTCAAAATCGGATCTACCTGTAAGGTGTTACATAACAATTAGTATGCGCATGTCAATCAAAAAAGTGCTATAATTGCATATATTCATGTACAAGCAGAAATGTGAAGATATGAATTGATATAAAATTGCTTTTATATGTTTCTCAGAGTAACTTGATGTATTCCAGAACAAAAGAATACATTAGAAATAAAACAATAGATATAATAAGAAATAAAAAACAATAAAATACATAAGAAAATAAATAGTAGAAAATCGCATCAAATTTGCATAAATTATCATTATTAATTACATCAAATAACTATTTTGTGTTAGAAAAGAAGTTTCATATGAATAATGAGTTTCAACATTCAAAAAGTGGAGTCTGACAATTTTTGTAATGATTCTAGTTCCCTAAATATTGTTCCTGATTTGATATTCATGAATGCGTAATTTGCATATTCATAATTTATGCAAATTAACCTATGCATTTTCAAATATCATAAAAATAATAAAACCTCATGAATTTGAGATGAAGGAAACATTAATTCAATACATTTTCAAGATTCTTCACAAGTCTACGGACAAATATGTAGCATTTTCTGTAAAATGCATAAAATTAGCATTTTGCATAATTAATTAGGCTATAACGAGAAAAATTTGCATATTAGGAAAAAACTAATTATACCATCTTGTTCCTTACGTAAATATCTACAAATATGCAAATTTTTGTGTTCATCGGACATTCGACGGCCGAGATCATAGGGGGGGGGGCCTCCCAGGCCCCCCCCCCCCCCCCAGTCAGAGGGTGCTCAAAATAGCCCAGTACAGTAAGGGTTAAGAAACCCTTTTCAGTCAAAGCAAGTGAATTAAGAAATAGTATAAATGTGACTTGTCGAAAACAATATCGCTAGTGAATTTGTTTGTCTCACAATGTATGGTCAACAAGGGATCTGAAAGTATATTTAGCATGAATATAAATGTCTATTTACATTTTATTACCACATGCCCCAAATATCTACTCATATGCACATGGTTATATTCGTAACTTCCACTCACTTTGCAAGTCATTTCTAATATCCCTAACCCCAAATACGCCCACACACACACAGCCAGCACAGAAATAAGTTGCTTACATCATTGCCTCCTGCATGGAGTGTAATGAGGGAGGAGTTCTCCTTGACTCCCTCTCCCAGGAGCTGGAGGCCAGGACCCTGGATCCCACAGTTACGAACATTCAGCTCCTTTATTGCACATGAGGAATTCTAGGAAGGAGCAACATGGAATGACATTGTAACATATAGTGAAGAAAAATGCAAGAACATGACATTTCAGAGCGGAAATTAATATTCAACCAAATAGCATTTTACTAGGCACCTATTTCAGTGACATGAGTCATACATTGTCATCGAAAACCGAATGCATGAATTCCAGTCATGGGTACACCTGTTGAATACAAATGTATACAGTTAAACTTGGGCTAAATTTTGTAATCTAATCATGGGATCAGTTTTGTCAGTGTGTTTCACAAACTAATTAAGAAAACAAACAAAAACACTGACTTACAGTGCTATTATCACACACTATACAGTGATCTTTTTAGACTAAACAAATTTCTAACACAACAACCAATATTTAGAGCTAAAGAATGAGAGGAATTGTGGACATAACAATCAAGCGAGTTAACAAACTCACTCAAACTTTTCCAATTCAGAATAAATCTACAGTCAGCCATAATAAGTCATGTGTAACTGTGTACATATAAACTGACAGTGGAAAATAATATCCCACTTACCTTCAATACTGCACTAAGGGAAGTGACCAATGAAGTACTATCTGATAATTGATTGTGGCTGATATTAAGACTACTGAGGGTTGTGTTTTCTAGAAGACCTTCCATGAGAGCATTCAGATCTGTCCCTCCACAACTTGATATGCTTTAAAAACAGACAGCATTATATTCAATTACATAGATTGAACAAAACTCTTTAATTATACAATTAAAAAAAAGAAGGTCAATATATCACTTTCAAATTATCCTTACACAAATGAAATAGAGTGTTAAAACCTCATTAAATTTGTTATGTTTGAAATTGATAGTAATGAAATATATATGCATTCGTTTGTTCAAATGTGGCTCAAAGCATTAGCATTCAAATCATCCTCTATATAAGTGTAAAACATCTTTAAAGAGGGAATATTACCGCATACAGTAGAAAAAGTAAATCAACTACACTGGTTTTGAGAACATCTGTTTAATCTCCATGCTGATAAAAATATAAAATCTGGATTATATATATATATATACAGTTTTACTGGGACGTAGTCAATAATACACTACATTGATACCTGACGCCAAACAATTTACATTAATACATTGGATAACATTTCTATGGTTTGAATCCACAAGGGCATCAAATCTGTGTTAACACCAGTGGCGTACGCAGGATTTTTTCAAGGGGGGGGGGGTTTAAAAATTGGGCCCAAAATTTCGCAACGACTCAGCTTTATTATTTTGCTCCCGAAAATTTGAAAATCGCGTTGGCCGAAAAGTCGCTCAATGGGGGGGGGGGGGGGGGGGGGGGGGGGGGGGGGGGGAAACTTTTTTTTTTTTTTTTGGGGGGGGAAATTTGAAAATTTGACATTTTGTTCCATTGGGGGGGGGGGGGGGGGGTAAGGTCACCTTTTTTTTAGGTCAGCCATTGGCATAATTAAAACCCCCCCCCCCCATGCGTACGCGCCTGGTTAACACCCATGTCACTCCAAACACACCAATTTACCCTTAAAAATACATTGACAATGTGTTTTATGCAGAACATTAATGGGCCTGAATCATCATGGTTTGAACAATCAAATGCATGTTACAATCTAGAACTTACTTCAGACTTGTGAGAGAAGTATTGGTCTTCAAGGAAGGACCTATGCATCTTGACAGGTAATCCTTCCCTAACTGATTACTAGAGAGGTCTAAGCTCTTTAATGTCTGATTGGTCATAAGCATCACACCTACACTCTCCTGCAAAGAGAGAGAATAATGAAATGTATAATGACTTTGGGAAATATTTGAAGATTTATTTAAAATTCAACCTTACTTATGTTCATTACAACAAGATATATTATAAAACTGCATCGTCACATACTGTTTACAGTGCATTGCATAATTCAAACACAATGCGCACTTTTAACATTACTTCACCGAATATCATTACTAAATCATTTGTGGTTTCAAACAACATATACACATAAATGATAATTGTATCTTATTTTCTTTGAATAATGAACGATAATTATTTTGAATAGGTTTCTTTAATACACCTAATAATATGTGTAAGGAACCAAAGTGAAAAATTAACTCTACATGTAGAAAATGCATCACATAACATGTCAATTTCTAGTGTTATAACTTGTATTGCAAAGTACAAGTTTTAGTCTGGATTGCCTTATCATGCTTCAAGTTAAATGGGAGTCCCACTCACCGCTGTATCTGTGTCTGTCTTGTTGTTGGAAAGTACAGCTGACTTGATGGAAGTATTGGCTGACAGTGCCATCATGATCACTCTGAAAGCTTGAGGTCCCATCTCATTCTTGTCCAAATCTAACTCCTGTAAAGTAATCATTTAAATACAGTTCTAATGTTACTACCTATGAAAGTATACAAAACTAAAAGTCTTGATACAAGGAGATGGATTAAAATTGAATAAGACCATAAGTCTCCTGTATGTACAGTACACGCCGAAAATCTCCGCAACACGATTACACAATTTATTTTTAGGATTACACGGTTTACACGATTCACCTGAATAGTGTAACTGTGTAATCGTGTAAATTTACACGATTGAAGAATGTCGCTCTGAAACGTGTAATCGTGTAAATAGTTAAGTGCATTGGTCGGATGATTCGACCAGATGCAACAATCGTGTAACTGTGTAATCGTGTAAATTTACACGATTGAAGAATGTCGCTCTGAATCGTGTAATCGTGTAAATAGTTATTAGGGTTATAAGGGCATTGGTAGAACGATGCGACAAGCTGCAACAATCGTTAAATCGTATCCTGCTTACACCAATTGCTTTATACACAACTTACCTTCAGTGTACATCAGTTAATTACTGTACTTTATATTCGTGTAAAAACCTCAGCACTTTCCACTAACATGCATCGTATACTAATCCGTGAGACCGTCAAGGTATAGTTAAACGTCAGAAACAGGAAGACATGATAGATGAAATAGAAAAGGAAAAAAGATAGCTACGAGGAGAAGGGAACATATAAAAGGAAAACGAGGGTTGAAAGGCACGATATAAAGATAAACAGAAAAAATTATGCAAGAGAGAAAAAAGGGAAAACTAAAAAGTTGACCGGAAGAAAAGAAAGAGTGAAATAGAGTGATAAAAAAAAGAAGGGCGAAACATAGTAAAATTAACAGAAATGAGAAGGCTATGAAACGGAGAGGAAATGAGACAAATTAATAAGGTAAGAGGGGAACATAATGAGGGAAAGAGAGGCGAGAAAGATATGGGGGAATGGAAAGATATTGAAAGAAAGAGAGAGAGTGAGAGAGAGAGAGAGATAAAAAAAAGCTTTAGTTGAAAGGAAAGGGGCACCGATCAGATTTTAATAGGGGCATTTATCGGAGTTGATGGGGGCATTTATCAAAAGTGAAGAGGGGCACTTCTCGTACTTAAAGAGCAATACTTACTAGAGATTAAAAGGACACTAATGAGAATGGAAAATGGACACTTATTGCAAAGGAAAATAGGAACTCGTCGAAGGAAAAGGGGCATGTGTCAAAAGAAAAGGAGCACTTACTCAGAGTTGAAAAGGGGAAGGGGCACTTTTACAAATTAATAGGGACACTTGTCAAAGTAAAATAGGTACTTTTCCTACATTCAAAGGGGCACTTTGGGGGAACTTGAAAAAGTGGGGGGACACTGTGCCGCTAGCTAAACGTAACTCAAAGACAGTTGGCCATTTACTTATTCTATTCATTCTCGGCTTGCAACTGTTCCCTACACTCTGTAGCCAGTGGCTTACATACTTACGTACATGTAATACCTATTGTTCAGGGGGATCCTATGTTCAAGGGGAACCCCCTGAACAATAGGTATTATGTAAGGATCTCTGCCTGTAGCTAGGGCGACGGCCTTTGTCCCCGGCGAGGGTCAATGGCAGGGCACATTCAGAGTAAGCTTCTTTTGTATGTGACAGGAAGTGTGCCCTTAAGCCTTGACCGTAGCTCTTTATACATATAGCTGAATAATGCAATGTTGTAAAAGGTAATTTACGAAAATGAGGAACGCTAAAAAAGCAATAAGTGATCAAAGTCTAAGGCCCGAATTCACAAAGGAGGTTTGTCGACAAACCTTGGTTTCCGTGCGTCATATGACGCGTTTTGACGCGTTTTGACGCGTTTTTACAAACCAGGTTTGTAAAATGGATAATGATTGAATAAAAAAAAGTATAACGATATTCATAGTAACGAATGAGCTGGTGAACATAATTCTAATTGGTACAGCCTTGTAATGTAAGAGTATCACAACATACTTAATTATGTTAGCCCTCCTTTACATTTTGTTATCATTTTTACTTATTCACAACTTAGGAATAACAAAATTCCCCCCTTCCTTCGTCGTTCATCGCTTTTTTCTTTTTTCTCACCGAGGATTAAATCCGAGAGTGCTTTTCGGGAAGTGGACTGATTTTTTTTAACTTTAAAACAGTCTATAATAAAACTAGAGACAAGACACTGCAATTAAAAATATATACAAGAGAAAGAAAGCGTAATCTTCGCTATCCCCTCGTATCGTCCACGTTGTCCTCGTTCAACCAAGAAGTAAGTTCTTGCTTTTACTGAACTAGACGTCCTTAACCTGCTCACCATCACCACTGAAAATAAATTGTAACACAATTCCAGCGAGCAATCGAATCGTGTAAATTTTGAATCGTGTAATCGTGTTGCGGAGATTTTCGGCGGGCAGATTACACGATTACACGATTCGACCTGAATTGAGGAATCGTGTAATTTTACACGATTACACGTTTACACGATTCAAATTTCGCTTCATTGGCAAAAAACGAATCGTGTAAAAATAAATGGTTACACGATTCCCGCGAGCAGTCGAATCGTGTAAATTTTGAATCGTGTAAATCGTGTTGCGGAGATTTTCGGTGTGTACTGTATAATGCATAATTTGTAGGAAAAAATAATACGTCCAAACATATACTAAAACAAGAATTTACCTCCACATCAGTCAACTTTGTGAGAAGTTGGGTGAAAGAACTATCTGCTTGGAGTGGAGCATGGTCCAGATGCAAGCTCCTGATACCGGAAGCCACTAAATCCAGCACATGCTTAGGATCCACTAGTGGGCAGAACGCACGGATAGCACGATCGAAGCTCTCCTGAGCCTTTGGGTCCAGCTCTTTGCTGGACTTTGGGACAGTGTTCTCCGAGGTATTTGAGACGGGTTCAGGAACAGTATTTTGGGCATCTGAGGAAACACCTACAGTCCCTTGAATTTGACCATCAGCCGCTTCAGGAGCAGCATCTCCTGGATCAGCTAGTGGATGATCAACTCCATCAGTCTCGTCACTGGTGATTAGTGCTTCCTCAGGCTGGAGATTAAGTTGGTCTTCTGCTTCAGTGTTTGAATTGCCATTAATATTTTCATTTTGAGTAGATGTGTCAAGTGAACCTTGTTGCTCTTGTTTAGAATCTGGTCCATCCGGCACCTGTTGAGGTGAACAATCAGAGAAGCAAAAGGGAAAAGGATGGTAATGATAAAATCATCATGGACAAATATTGAGATGAAAATTTGAAATAACGATTAACAATTAACTTGTCTAATTACAGAAAGTATGTGTCTTCAATGAAGTGGATCATTAACAGAGTTTAAAAGAGATTATAATTGTACATCGGATCTTTAGAAGACATCTCATAAAACATATATTAAAATAATTATTTCACCAACATGCCCTATAAGATTTCATATGAATTGAAAAGTTGAGAAAGAAGAAAAAGTTATTTTATTAAAGACAGAGATATGCTCATAATTACAAACCTGTGATTCTGTTTTATCATCAACTGCTTCAGAAGAAGTAATGATTGTATCTTTGCTAGGTTCCGGTGCTTGGTCTTCTGTGATCTCACTGGGATCATTCTCAAGTTGAGGTTTAGGATCTTCTAGAGAGTCATCAAAATTTAACGTTGGAACAGTACTAACAACAATGGTGGGATTAGAAGTATCTTCCGCTTGCACATCTGTAGGAGCAGAATGTATTTCATCCTCATGATTTTTTTCTTTCTCAACTTCAGTTTGATCCTTGGTGTTTTCTGTGAGAGATGCTGAATTTGCTGAGTTTTCTTTCAGTCCAGCTGCTGCCTTGGTAATGGTTGCATCCACCAGGGCACGGACTGCCACACTGTCCACCGAGGAGGCTACACTGGAGGGTCGTACATCTCTGTGGACAGGCTTACCTTGGAGAGCACAAACATTAGCTGCTGCCTTATTAATTGTATGATTGATCAAAGCTCGCACAGCAACACTGTCCACAGATATAGCACTAGTTGGCCTCACATTGCCGACTCCTTCAGCTTGTGCACCTGAGTTGTTGCCCTCCACCTGCTCATTTGGATTCTGAAAGAAAATAAATGAATGAGCATTCTTCAGATCTATTCTTTGTTAACTGTTTAAAGTTTGCATACATGCCGTCTTGGTCTGCTCTCCTAACTACTTTGACTGTTAGTCTTTCTCCAAACTTGAAAGCCTTTTGATCTAGTTTGCTTATTCCACCAAGGCCTTGTACACCGTTATTCTTCCTTCTCTAGATGTAGAATCCATAATTGACCTCATGGTCATTATCGTTTAACTTCAGTTCAACCTTTACTGGACTTGACTAGTACACGTACCGTTCTTGGAACGTGGACCACAGTTCTGACTTCTGACTCCATTTATTCCCTTCCCTTTGCACATATGATCACAAATAATTACTCATCTGCTTCCGAGATCTTATGCTGTCTTCATGTTCAGCCTGTACTATCAGGTCTTGGCAGAATGAACTTCATTACATATCCAATTTGGTCCTTGAATTTATTTTTCTGATCATGCTCTACAGATGTCCTGTCCATACCACTATTCTACTTGAATGTCTTTTCAAGGACGGAACTGGCAAACCCTCTCAGGTTTCTTGCGTAAGTTTGCTGGGGCAAGTACTATCACTCATTACCACCTAAATCGTTATCCCCTATAAATACCTATAACCTTTCTTTGCAACATGACAACAATTCTTATAATGGGGAACTCTTAATGCTCCTTTTACTCAACAATTGCTTCATCATATCTGTTATTACCCTGATTCTTCTTTACCCATATACAGTTGTCAAGTGCTTTTATTTGCCTTCACAAAAGTACTAAATCCCAGTAAAGAACTTTTAGATACCAAATACTTTTTTATAATCTAATGAATATATTTTCTGTATTCCACTCACCTCGTTCTTGTCATCATCCCTGGGAAATTTATCAGAATGGTTATCTTCTGAATTGGAAAATTTCTCCACAGCAGTTTGCTCAATGCCCACACTGCTTGGTTCATCTGCAGATTCTGACTTGTGTGTGTTACCTATGTGGTTGTTGGGCTCAGGTGCTATGGCAGGGTCAGATCCCTGTAAATTTTGACCCCGGATATCCTCAACAGGAGTGTCAACTTGTTGGGGTGGCCTGACAGATGGGGTGGATTCGGTGGCAGTTGTCTTGGAATTCCCACATCCCATGTTTTCTGCATCTGTAATAAACAAATGTTAAGTAGACTAAGAACAGAGAGAAGGAATGAGAACCAAAAAATAAATGGAAATTTACCTGTAGACAAAAAAAACCCTCAAAATTTGTCAATACTTTTGAAATCTTATTCATTGAAAGACTTAATAGGCAAAAAGATTATTATGAAGGAAAAACTGTGCACGAGAGTTATGTGCATATGGGTGCCAACTATAAGGTGATCGCACACATAGCTGTATTACTATCCTGCATGGCTGTGTAATAAAACTAAAAGCTGTGCCATTGATTCTCAACATTTCAAACACCACTGTAAAAAAAACTCAACTGATTTTACTCAAAATCGGTACTTTAGTGACAATTGATGACACCTAAATTAAATAGCAGTAAAATACAATCTTTAACTTACAGATGTGAGAAAGAATAATTAAAAAATTGTAAGTCTACTGTCAAACTGTCAATCGGCATGATTGTGTGCATTTGTGTATTATAAGTGTATTGACTACATGTAATCATGTGTGCAAATGCTGCCTATTAACAGGTAGTGCAGTGCTAGAGGAGTAGAGGTCAATACGCATTAGCATCGACTCTCTAGACTCTACTCGACTACGTCTCTAGTCTTAGACAGAAATAACCGTCTGATATGGGTCATTTCTTTAATAAAACTGACATTTGTTGACATTCCCCAATCTAGTGGAGCCAGACGTAGTCTCAGTGGAACAACCGACGACATAGAGAGACTGAAGTTTTTGGTCTATGACTCTCTAGTCTAGATCTATGCTTTGCTAGAGTGGGTGATCGTGACATCATCAGATACAAACTAACTTTTCCTACAATACATGGATAGCTAAGTGTGGGACTGTACTGACGATTTAACACAATAATAAATCAGTTTTCCTTTTAAATTCCCTTTAATGTCAATACATTTCTGACCAAACGTCACAAGAAACTTTGTATTTACAGAATTATAATATAATATAAATGTCAGTTTTTACTTACTTCAGCATTAATTCACGTCAAAGCAATTACTAGTATCGTTCCTCTCGCAGCAGATGGCGGTCCGTTGCTAGGATCGCAAACGCTTCAATGCTCTGATTGATTGGTCGAACAAAAAAGGAACACGCAGCTATATTACTGACAAAAGATGAGCCGGTGTACTGTACTCAAGGCCAGGGGCGTTGCTAGAGGGGGTGTGGCGGAGGGGGGGGGGGGGGGGGTGCGTGGTGCGACAACCCCCCCCCCCCCCCCACCTGTCAGGATATTTCGGTAAAATTGCGCTGCGGTCGGGAAAAATGAAAAGAGGGGGGAAGCTAGAGAGGGAAAGGGGAAGTAAAAAGGGGGGGGGGGAGAAGAAGAAAAAAGGAAAGAAAGAAAAGAAAGATAGAATCTAAGGAGAAAAGGAAAAAAAGAAGGGAAAAAAAAGAGAAAAAGGAAACAAAATAAACGGGGGATGAAAGAGAGGAGAGAGAGAGTGGGGGTAAGACCCTGAGAGAAGAGGGGTGTGAGAAAGAGAGAGAGAGAGAGAGAGTGGGTGGAGTCGCCACGTCGAGGGAGCAAAAAAGATACGCATAATTATGTTGCTGTGTCGGGTCCGCTGTGTCAGTATTCTTGCTCGATCCTCGTGTACTATATCAATGCAGAAGTTTGAAGTCGGTGAGATGTATTACGTCGGTCGGTTTTTTTTCCCCTACGAACTGTGACTTTTTATCGGATAACGAAACATTTTTGAAAATTCAGACATTGATTAGAGTAGGTAAAACGAAAAGTCTTCTTTCTCTAATGTTTTAACGAAATGTCAAAGCTTCCGCGCTTCTCGCGGGAGGGGCGAAATCGAATTCAGACAAGGATTAAGAGTAACAATTTAATGAAACGTCGACGCTTCACGCGGGAGGGGGAAACTGAATTCAGACAAAGATTATGAGTAGAGAACGGTACAACGAATCGTCTTCTTTTCCTATGATAATTTAATGACACGTCAATGCTTCCGCGCTTCGCGCGGGAGGAGGAAACTGTATTCTGACAAGGATTAAGAATCGATAATAGTACGACGAATTGTTTCTTTCTCTAATGATTTAATGAAATGTCAAAGCTTCCGCGCTTCGCGCGGGAAGAGCGAAATTGAATTCAGCCAAGGACTAAGAGTAATAATTTAATGAAACGTCAAAGTAAAGGGAAACTTGATTCAGACAAGAGTCGAGAACGGTACAACAAATCGTCTTCTTCCTCTAATAATTTAATGAAACATGAAAGCTTCCGCCCTTTCGCCGAAGGGGGAAAACTGAATTAAGACAATGATTAAGAGTAGAGAATGGTACAGCGAATCATCTACTTTTTCTAATAATTTAATGAAACGTCAAAGGAGGGGAAACTGAATTAAGACAAGTATTAAAAGTAATAATTTAATGAAACGACAAAGCTTCCGCGCCTCGCGCGGGAGGGGGAAACTGTATTCAGACTAGGATTAAGAGTCGAGAACGGTACAACGAATCGTCTTCTTTCTCTAATAATTAGTGAAACGTCAAAGCTTCCGCGCCTCGCGCAGGAGGGGGAAACTGAATTCAGACAAGGATTAAGAGTCGGTAACGGTTCAACGAATCATCTTCTTTCTCTAATAATTAAATGAAACATCATAGCTTCTGCGCTTCACGCGGGAGGGGCGAAACAAGAATTAAGAGTCGGGATGGTACAACGAATCGCCTTCTTTCTCTAACAATTTAATGAAATGTCAAAGCTTCCGCGCTTCGCGCGGGACGGGGAAACTGAAAAATAATTTAGCTCCTGGCCCTGGGTTTATAGGGTTAAAATTGGGACATTGGCATCAATATATTTGTCGGTAATTGGTAGCTAGTTTCGTCGGTAATCGGTGGCCTCTACACCCCCCCCCCCCCACACACACATAAAAAGGTCTAGCGACGCCCCTGCTCAAGGCTTGGATTCTTTGAAAGGGGAGAGGAGGAGAGGGGGGGGGGGTCAACAGCCTCCACGCCCCTCCTGCACACACACAAACAGAATTAATACTTCTTCTCCGCCCTGCATGCGCCCCAATGATATTCCTTCCCATGTCACCTCATTTGATTTCAAACGATGTCATTTAAAGTTTTTATAACGAAATGTGATACCAGCTAAAGCACCAGGCTTAGCTACTAAGTACTAAGCCTATCCTATTCCTTATTATTCTCCTCTTTTTTGTATAGACTCTTCCTCTCCCCCTCTCTTTCCAAGTTTATATACTATCTCTCTCTCTCTCTCTCTAAATTATTGTCTCCCATTTGTATATGCTTGGCTTTCTCTCTCTATTCATCGTCTCCTCCCGACCCCTCTCTCTTTCTCTGTCTTTTTACCCTCCACCCGGGCTCTCTGTCATATTTCACTTTCTTTCTCTCTCTCTCTCTCTCTTCACATGCCTCACACAAGATTAATTCTTTTATTCATCTCACATGAATCATGACGCATTAAATAATTCTATCGAGTCGTGTTTTCATTTACTAGTAGCTCACTTTATTGCTGACTGCCAGCGTATGGTAAAAATTGTAATATGATACCAACAAAAATTGATAAAAAAGATGAACAAAATTTTGATTTTGCCAATTTCATAATATTATTTGATACTGATAGTAGAAATGATTGTGTTATACTTAATAATAATGCTACGTGTTTTCCTATTCATGTATTGATGCAGCCCACGTATTAAAAGATCCTATTTCCTGTAACTTGCTTCAATAATATTCATACCGCCATTCCCCTGCACAAAAAGGGGACTGGAATTAATATTCATCATTATTTGGCCTAATGTAGTGCAATTTTGAGAATTATGAATAGATACCTTATCTAAGCATATTTACCATAAATTCTGAGCAGCCGTCATTCAATGTCATCCAGAATCATTTGGAATTTTTATTTTGTTTTGTTGTTTTCGTCGTCGTTGCTTTTGGGGGGAGGTGGGGGGGGGGGGGAGGGGGAGACAGATGTACTATACCAACCCTCCACATTAGGCAATTTACGACGTGGTTTGTTACTCCCTTTATGTCGGTTAGCTTGATAAGGTGAAGGGAGAAAGAAGCATATGGCAATATTTTCCTATGAAAAGAAAGAAAAATTATACTACATCATTATAATATCATTTAGATAGCAAATCATAAAACCACATATTGAGGGCCCTGAGGGGGGCAACTATAGTTCATCCTCACAAATAAGACAAGAATTGGAGGCCGAAAACCACGTACCTTGCCAACGAAAAGACAGCATTAAAAAAGATGTAGGTCTATCCTCACAAAAGAGAGAGGTATCAACATTGGAAAGAGGTATGTAGAATCACATTTCAATATTTTTAAAAGGGGGTTCGGGAAGGTTGCTTTTGGAGGTCTACCCCTCCCCTCTTCCAAGTGGGAAGTTAACGGAAACGATGAGGGCGCTTTAGACGAGAGGGTAACTAGCTTTGGTAGCGATGCCACATTGGTTATCCTTGTTACGAGACATCCACAGGTAGCCATTCATTCCCCATGCCGCTCCCCAGCTGTGAAAAAAAAAGAAAAAGAAGAAGAAGAAAGAGCACAGGAAGAAGAAGAAGAAGAAGAAGAAGAAAGAGCACAGGAAGAAGAAGAAGAAGAAGAAGAAGAAGAAGAAGAAGAAGAAGAAGAAGAAGAAGTAAAATATGAAATCTTCAATTACATCACAATATGCAATTATACGAACACAGCAGGTCGTTGTCAATTCGCTGTTTCCCAGATCATTCAAATTTGGCCATTACAGAATTTAATGAAAGTGTGAACTTAACAAAACATGACTGATATGAGTGTGCTCCGGCATTACTGTCCTGCAAAAGTTTCGCCAAAAATATACAAGCTCTAGCAGGCGCGTACGCAGGATTTTTTCAAGGGGGGGGGGGGGGGGGGTTTAACATTTATAAATCGGGCCGAAAATTTCGCAATGACTCAGCCAGCCGCTGAATAAGCGGGGGGGGGGGGGGGGGGGGGGGGTAAGAGGTCATTTTTTTCCATTTTTTTTTGGTCTCAAAAAAAATCGCAACGTCTCAGCCGACCGCTGAATAAGCGGGGGGGGGGGGGGGGGGGGGGGGGGGGGGGTAAGAGGACACTTTTTTTTTTTTTCGTATCGAAAATTGAAAATTTGACATTTTGCTCCGTTGGGGGGGGGGGGGGGTAAGGTCATCTTTTTGAGGTCAGCCATGGGAATTTTTTTATAAATTTTTTTTTTAAAATCCAAATGACACCAAGATGGGCCTATAAGGCAAGGAAGTAGGGGGGGGGGGGTAAGAGGGGGGGGGGGTAGAAATCACAAATTTTCTGGCAACCATCACCCCAAATTCAGGTGGTAATTTCGTTTATTCATAATACAGTTATCAAGACATAATTATGTTTTTCATTATCAAAATGTCACTCGATATCTTTGCTTATATATTTTATATAAATATAAGTAATGTCAACCCCTGCAAAATTGTGACCTTACGCCTAAAATCCAATCCAAGCATTCTATAACTAATATCAAAAAGGAGGATTGTTACATGGAGGTCATAAATTAGAGTATAGAAATCACTTTATTTGGTCTAGTTAATAAAAAAAATCAGCAGACCTGTTCTTGACAATCCAGTAATCAGTTCCATCACTGCTGGTTCCATAGCCGACTGCGAGAACACCATGGTCCAACAAGGTAGAGCTGCAAGCAGGCTCGTTGTACACACCTTTGGAGTAAAATCAGCAAAATCTGTTAATAATTATATTGATGTCTATGCTATCTCCTCCAAAAATACGTCCCACGTGCCCTGAGTTAGAGAACTTTAAAGAGGTGTATAAAGCTTCCCTCAACAATCTCTTACTTTCTTTCTTTCTTATTGTCTATGCCGTCCCCCTCCTGTTTGTGTGTATGTGAGTTGGTATGGGTGTGTGTGTGTGTTGTGTCTCCCTCCCACTCTCTCTTTCTCTCCCCCTCTCTCCTTCCCTCCCCCCCCCCTCTCTCTCTCCTCCTTCTCTTTCTCTCTCTCTCTCTCTCCCTTCCCTCCCCCGCTCTCTCTTCTTCTAAGTCTGAGATTTAATTCCAAAGTTTTGTCTAAATTATTTCGTTTTGATTTAGCTCTGCTCGGTTCTGTTCGGTTGTTTCAGACAATATGCTTGACAACAGCGTAATTTGTTCAGGGATATAAATTGTGATCTATATGTAGATCACGTGACGCTATCCTTACCTGACTTGTAGAGCTGGAAAGATTGATGGCTGGCGTCAATGGCAACCGAGATAGGACCAACGCTGGCTACAGCCATCTGCAATGCACTCTCAGATCCAGTGGTGACATCAGTGTAACCAGTGTCGGTAGCTCCTATGTTGGCCTTATTGAAGTGGCACTGGCCATCCTGGAGAAAGAGAGATAGCGCGAAAGAGAGAGAGAGAGAGAGAGAGAGAGAGAAGAGAGAGAGAAGGAGAGAATGAGAGAAAGAGACAGAGACAGAGACAGACATACAGACAGACAGGGAGAGAAACAGTGTTTATATGTGTCTCTGTCTATTCGATCCCTGCCCTAACTTTTGTCATCTCCATGCCTAAATGCTTAGTTAGTCCATGGAAGAAGAACAACTATTACCGACTTGGAAGAAAGGTCTCTTATAATATGAACCCGTTAATCGTGATCATAAAGGATAGCTTAAAGGTAGACTTATCACAGCTTTCTCTCTCCTGACGTCGCTATCACCTGCATCTTCCCAACGTTATTCTTAAGGATCTACATTTTTAAGGAGTCTCATAGACATGCAAAATTGTAATTATATTAAAATATTAAATAGTCCATCAGGTTCCTGTCTTTTAGGAGTACTGTGATCTTTATTGAATAACTCCCCTAAATAGCTAATCACGCCCGACACTTGGGAGTCATATCAAGACCTGACAGGCTGGAGACGTTAATGATTACAAATATTCGTGCAAAAGAGCCGACATACCATTGCTGTATAAGGATAGCTCATCTCGGTGTCGATGCCTCCAACGTCTAAAATGTACTGGAAAGCCTGATCCATAAGACCTCCTTCGCATCCCATATTGCCCTCCTTGCCGGAGCAGTCGACCAGGTTCTGTTCGCTCAGGCTCACCAGTTTACCTGTCTTCTTGAAGTGCTGTCCCTCCAGAGATCCGGTAGCACTGAACGCCCAGCATGAACCACATTGCAGCTGGATGAAAAACCCAGAAAAGATAATCGTTACCTTTTTACAAGGACAGATCTAGCTAGCTAGCTTCAACAAGTTATTGTCAACCTAATATGATCGGAAATAAGCTTTTCTCTTAACCGTGCACTTTACCTTCTTTGAGATTTAAGATGTTGCCTTCAAGCATCTTTAAGATAATCCGTGACATAGCAACAGGAGCGTGACCCCAATCGATTGGCGAAAAAATAGATGAAAAAGGGAGAAGAATAGTGGGAAAAGAGTAGAGAAAAGAAGACGATAGTCTCCGTCCTGCACTTTCTCCTTGATCAGTTGCTTTGCAAATTCCCATTTCATTTTCCAAGTATGATTTGTGTCCCCCGCCCCCAATAATATCAATGCCCTCTCGATGGCTGGACTTACGCTACCCCACTGAGGATAGGCCTATATGTTTTGATCATGTTGTACTGTCATAATGTATGAAGTACGAAAGTACAACGAACCTGAAACCTGAGGCCTAATAAGTGCCTCAATAAATGTATCCCTTTATTGACAAACTATCATTCCCAAATGCCCTCCGAACAATCAATTTATTGATATTACTGTGATTTGCAACTGTGTAGATTACCTGGTTCTTGACAGGAGTTACGTAACCCTTGGTGCGCCAATCGACCATCGTGGGCAGATCGAAAACATTGCTTGGTGGGAGGAAAGTGGAACCTCGAGTCGCCTTGGATGAGTTGCCTCGGAAACCGTTCATCAAGGACACGAACTCTTCATTTTTCTAGAGAAAATTCACAAAAGGGTTTTATATTATTTGGAGGTTTAGAAAGGGATGTTAGTCAAGTTGTCGCTAAACACTTCAAATAATGTATTACTGTCAGCTGTATCCGTTGTAAGTAGTTTTCAGGCCTAAAAACGCGCAGTTTCAATTCCTGTTGTAATGTGCAGGGCATTTCATAAAATAAACAATGCAGTTCGATTGGGTTCAATATAAAATAGAAGGAGTGATACATGAGAAACTTTAGGAAACAAGTTTTTTCTTCTCAGATTATTTCATCATTTGTTCTTTTTAATTGTTCTATCTGGAATACATTTGTTGGTAATTTGCCAAGTGTGACCTTTACTTTAGTTTCTGCATCTACCTTGGGAACAAAAATAGAAAAATAAAAAGTATAAGAACCTGATGCCACTACGCCCTCCTGTAAAACTATAAAATTTTACGACTGTTTTGAAATCATGTCTTTCTTTAAATGACAAACATGGAAGAAACTTAAGCACCATTTGTTTATGTCATAGTTTTAATATTGTAAAATTATGTCGTAGTTTGTATAGTGTATAATTATGTCGTAGTTTGTATAGTGTATAATTATGTCGTAGTTTTAATATTGTATAATTATTTTTGATGTTGTACAAGAGCGCCTTGAGCAGTCTTTTAGAATGGATATGTGCGCTATATAAATTGACATTATTATTATTATTATTATTATTATGATAATCCATGATCAAATATTCAAAATATTAAAGCATTGAGTACAACTGCAGGAGGTTGTAAAATTTTGTTTACTTAAAATAAATTGCAACCACGAGATAATTTATATAGAGTAATTATCGATGGTAATACTGTTGGTCTCGTGAGACAGTCCAAAAAAATACTTTGTCAATATTTGACTCAGCCTCGTGATACATCTTTAAATACATAGGCAGATCCCATCACCCCCCCTCTCTCTCTCTCTCTCTCTCTCTCTCTCTCTCTCTCTCTCTCTCTCTTTCTCTCTCTCTCTCTCTCTCTATCCCCTCTCTCTGTCCCCCTCTCTCTTTCTCTCTCTCTCTCTCTCTCTCTATCTCTCTATTTGCCCCTCTCTCTGTCTCTGTTTGTTGTTTTGTTTGAATGTTGATTGCGTTATTACCTACGCAAATAATCCAAGAAAGTTAAGCCTGTGATGACAATTTTGACGTTTTCTTTTTTAAATAGTTTTTGTTACATGATGTCACTCTCACATGGGGCGTCGAAAACAGTACACGTCCCTGACGCAGTCTTACGTAAGGCAAATGACGCCTCGTGTTCAATGGACAATATAGGATACTGGCCATGTAATCTATACTCACCAGGTCAGCGAACTGGTTCATTCCGAGGTCGTAGGTGAAGTGGCCCAAGTCGTATTTGAGGTTGTGCTTGATGACGATGTCGAGGTTCTTTTGCCAGATCAGTCTCCTCGACGCTTCCTCCTCATCGCTTAGATATCGCTTGCCGTGTTCATTCTTCCACTGGTTCCAATCATCGTCGAAGTCAATGAACGACATCGACAGCGAGCTGACCACGCAAGCTGCTACCAGCAACACACTCAGATACTTCATGACTGCAAGACTGCAAAGATAAAATGCGGGCATCGAAGTTATAATGTCCCCCAAAACACCTGCTAATAAGAATTATTCTAAAAATGGAGATCTCTAATGAAAATGAAAGTACACTTCAGGAAATAATCGACCAATCGAATTAAAAAAAATATGACTAAAATAGTAAAGTGTTTCCTGCCAAATAAATGTAACTTTAGTACATCACCCGTGGGTATATTTTACTGTAACAAATTAAAACCCTCTCACCTGCTTGATACCAAGAGATTTGAAAGAAGTCTATTTTGGACTAGCACCTATAGTAATGCAAGTTGTCAGTTGATCCGATTTGATACCATTTCATATTTAGCATGGATCATAAACCTGATTTAGAATACGAAAGTCACATGTGCTACGATAATACAATTTTCAACTTTACCCATCAAACAATCCGCCCCCTTCTCAGTATCAATATTGCTGCATCCCATTTGGGAATACTTAGAATAGATAAATCCATATTTCATTTATTTACTTGGCGTTTTTATGTACCTGGATTTGTATGACGTAGCTTTTGCAATGCATTATTAACTGTAAGTCCTAGTTTTACATCTTGTAAGCTTACTTCACGGTAGCGTTATAGGCTCAATTTATACTGTCTTGCTCGGCATAACTCGTGAATCATAAACTGATTTTAGAGAACACATATTGCAATTCTTAGCCAGGACGCTGTTTTATAAAACAAATGTGAATGATTCAAATCCGTCACAATTTGACATGAATCGCTAGGTATTCGATTAGTTTAGGATATTTTCCGTGGAGCAATTGTCGTCAGAAAATTGTCGTTGTACCGACTGTTTGTCTTATGAAAACCTGTCAAGGCTGTCATATGCTCATTTTTGTAGTTCTTGGTTCCGTTTATTAATTCAAAGTAACACAGATTAACCTGGAATATCGCATCTATTAATTAGACGGGAACCAGGGCTCCGTCTTATAAAGAGTCTATATAAATCGCTACTCATTTGCAATCGATATCAATCGCAGTACATACAAGATAAGAGACTGCAAACTTGTAATTGTTCACAAGCATCGAAGTCATAATGTCCCCCAATACACCTGCTAATTTAGAATTATGCTAAAATGGAGATCCCTAATGATAATAAAAGTTCACTTCAGGATATAATCGACCACACGTATAAAAAAATAGGACTAAAATAGTCAATTGTTTCCTGTCAAATAGATTTAACTTAAGTACAGCACATTCCCCGTGAGATTCCCGCGCATGCTTATTTAACTTAATATATACCTGGTCATCACTTACAAAGAAAGACGATATCCAGGAAGTAAAAATCACGACAATAAGACATAAGAACATCTCTGCACGTTATATTTGTATTAGTAGATAATATAAAAGGCATGATGCATAAGTGGTAGAATATTGGACTCGAGTAACCTGTTGGACTCGAAGCAAAGTGACAATGACAATGACAATTTATTCTCATGTCACCCACATTGGGGTATTGGAGAAGTTTACAAACAGTTTGAATTTGCCAATTTAACACAATAAAATATACAATTCCAATCGAATTAAGGTTAATCAATACAAAATAATACTATCGACAATTGTGAGAAAAATTATGATGATAATAATAATAATAATAATAATTATAAAAATCAAAAACAAAACGATACTAATTATAACAACGATAATTAATGACAAAATAAATGGAAGAAATTTGAAAAGAAAGTTACTGGCACCAGTAAACTGATATTTTAATTAATGAATTACTGAACATTATTATTAATAATAATAACTCTTAATATCAATTTAAGTCGATACGCTAGTCGATGCGCTAGTCGATGTGCTAGTCGATAAGTTAGTCGATGCGCTAGTCGATGCACTAGTCGATGAGTTAGTCGATGCGCTAGTCGATGAGTTAGTCGATGCTGGTAGGGTATTAATCATCATAAGACAGTCACTCGGATAGGACTTTCCTAGCATTCAGGTTAATTGATCAGTAACGATGAAAATGGTGTGGTGATAATGAGAACGATAATATAACAATACTGCATCTACTACTACTACTACTACTACTACTAATACTAATACTACAACTACTCGTAATAATAGTAATACAAGTAGTATAGTAATAGCAGTAGTAATGGTGATAATAATGCTGATGATGCTGATGGTGGTGGTGGTGGTGGTGGTAATAATAACAATAGTAATACTAAGAAGAAGAAGACGAAGAAGAAGAAGAAGAAGAAGAAGAAGAAGAAGAAGAAGAAGGAGAAGAAGAATTATGATGAAAATAATAATGTTTGTAAACAGAATGATGATAGTACTTAAATACCGAATTAATTACTATTAACAAAAAATGAAACTCTTCTCACCTGCTTTATACCGCGATATTTATTAGAAGTCTACTTTGGTCTAGCAGTTACCACAAAGTGACGCAAGATGTCAGTTGATCCGCTTTGATACCATTCCCTATCAAATATGGATCATAAACCTGAAGTAGATTACGAGAGTCATATGACTTGTGCTACGATTATAAATGTTCAACTTTACCCAGCAAACAATCCGCCCCATTCCCCGCATCAGTATTGCTGCATCCCATTTTGGAATACATGATTGTATTTAGAATAGATAAATACATATTGCATTTGTTTAATTGGCGGTTTGATGTACGTGGATTTGTATAATCATGACATAGCTTTTTAAATGCATTATTAACTGGTAATTAGAATAAGACCTAGTTTTACATCTTGTAAGCTTACTTAACTGTGGCGTTAGTATGCTCAATCTACACTTTATAGGGCGCTTTATACACGTGCTTCTAAGCGCACAGGTGGTGCTGTCTAACTCAGTATAATTATTAAACATGTTTAATAGCTTAAAAGCAACATAACAAAATAAAATATTATTAATACAATACAATTCAGTTGAAAGGAATTAACTACATGTGTGCGCCGCCAGTATACTATAACTGATTAAAAGGGTGGGTTTTGAATGATTCAATGGATGGGGCATTTTGAATATGGGGTTGGAGTTTGTTCCAGAGGGCGCGGGCGATCGATGAAAAGGCACGGTCACCATAACGTGTTTTTGTTTGTGGGCCGTGAATAACTCGTGAATCATATACTGATTTTAGAGAAAACATGTAATATTGACATTCTTAGCCGGGACGCCGTCTTAAAACACAAATGTGAATGATTCAAATCCATCACAAGCTGACATCAATCGCAAATCTGTATTAAAGATATAGGAGTTTTGTAAGTTTGCGATTGATTGGATGACTCGTGATTAACCTGGGTCAATCGCATTTATTAATAAGACTCAAAACCAAGTCTCAAATTTTAGTTAGATTATGTAACGTTGGAAATAATTCCCCTTCTTAAATTAGTGATCATCACTTTATATCTACTTATGACTTTCCCAATCAAGTATGCCTCCAAGGAGGGGGGAATATAAATCGAACATCCTACAGAGGTGAGTAAAGAATGATTTAAATCTGGGTAATCATCGCATGTGGGTTTTTTAAGGGGGTGGGAGGGGCACATTTTCGTCGGGGGACGCTAAATTTTCTCAGTTCTGCTCGTAACCCCCCACACACCAATCTTAAAAAAATCATGTGGCCCTCGATGATGCATCAGTTTGATTTCTGTTTGGCAACTGTTCTGATTTGCCGATTAGCAAATCCATAGGGCACGGGGTGGATGGTGACCCCCGGCAAAACTTGGTTGTGATTTAGAGTCCCTTTCACGTAGTAAAGCCTTTCATTTTCATTTTGTGTCTATCATGCACACCCCTCTCTTCTCTCACACTCTTCTCTCATCTCTTTCTGCGATTTAATTTTTTGAAATACTAGAGCGCCGCAATGGCAGCACGGCTAAAACCGGGGTAATAATCTCCAAGTTTAAAAGCGCTTAGTGATTCTAATAAGCGCTATATAACAACTGAGTATTATTATTATTTTTATTATTTAAAGCTCCACTGTTCATTTTGATAAGGTACACAACTTAGTAATTCGCCATGTCTATGCGAGCACTCTGCTAACCACGCCGAAACATGACATGTATTGACAGCCAAATGGCCTCTTTCAAATCAAGACGTGACGACAGGCAACAAAAGGAATCGTTTGTTTAAAGCCAATATATATTTCTTGTAAAAATATCTTTTAAAGCATTCCAAAAGGGAAAGGTAATCCGACAATTGCTGGAGGTATTTTTGGTCCAAGATATGGAGTAAGGGTCACGGTTGCAATTGGGCTTTAGGTCGAATGTAGGCTTAGTATTTGGGTAAGGTTTAGAAAATAATGTTTGGTCCAGGTTTGAAGCTGGGTATTAGGTTAAATTTCACCACAATTGTCGTCAGAATATGTTGTAGAACCCACTCGCTTATGAAAACCTGTCAAATACTCTTTTTCTGTAATTCTGAATTGGATCCGTTTATTACTTCATAGTAACACAGGCGCAGGTGACACTCAAATGAGGTGAGAAATGATTTTTTAATTGGCTCAAACCGAGACATCGACGGGTCATGTAGAACATATTTTGTCACACATTGTATTACCCCGGCGAACCTTGATTAAAGCCATACGTTGTACTATTTTGGATGGATATGTGCACATCAGTTCTGCTAAAATCATTATTGATTATGTTTATGTCTAAATTGCTCACAGTACCTTGGGGAACTTTGGCCAAGTAATAGTGCTTTGAAGTAATCCTTGGGATGGATAATTCAATTCAATTCAAGGTTTATAAAAAAATATCTTCGCAGCCGTAAAAGGCTGAATTGCGATACAATTCACAGATAAAAACATGAAAAATTACAAAAATATACATATCAATTACTATGTTTGACCTAAACTAAAAATCAAATATAAAATATATAAACAGAAAACCAAAGAGTTCTAAAGTGAGGTTTAGAAAAATGGGTTGTTCAAATTAAATCAGGAGTTTAGCGATTATTTAAATGTTAAAACCATTGTAGACATCTAAAGACAAGATGAGAAATTGCAAAAGATTATATTTCAAATTAAAAACTCAACTTTGGAATGATAAAAGTTTGTTCATTAGAGGTAAATCATCGATTTACAATATTCACATGGTAAAAAATTAAATTTATTGCACAAAGTTTTTAGGAAAGTACAACAAAATAAAAGTTTTTAGGAAAGTAAAATTTAAATATAGATATATCGAAAAAAAAATTATCTTCTTAAAAAACAAAACATAATTTAAACAATGCAATTTAAATGTCTCCAAATATATCTTCTTCTCCCTGTCATGAAATCAACTAAAATTTGTCGTGTAAGTTCCTTGCTATATGATATAACTTCAGTTTAGCTTTAGAAACATAATTATCAATAGATGACTGCAAAAAAATCAATCTAGAATACATCAGTACAGCTGCCAGCTATTGTCGTTGTAATGATAGTGTTATTGTTATTGTCATTTGCTATGTTAGGCCCATAATATACAGGTAAAAAGTGGACCATAGTTTGAGTGGGTGTCCTCAGAAATGACTTGATGTTCTTGCACGAACAGATTCATATCTGCAATATTGAATGCAGATTACACCAGAGGATAACTAGCGTTAGTAGCGATGCCACATTGGTTGTCCTTGTTACGAGACATCCATACATATCCATTCATTCCCCATGTCTCTGCCCAGCTGTGAAAGAAAAAAAGAAAGAAATAAACTTCAAATGATTAATTGATCAAAATTGTGATTGAAGTCTCCAATGACTGATAGTTGATTCGGAGAAATCAGTTTTGCCATGTAACTTTATATTTTGGCTTTGTACATCTAATTGATCGCTTGAATTGCTACGGGACGATTGTCTGATGTTTTTTGATTTATTTGTGTAGCTGTTTATATACACCGATGCTCATTATTAGAATATGACTTCAATTATTTGGCAAGCCTCTCCTGATATTGCATATTAGCCTATATCTTAAAGTTTATCAAAGGATACATCATGAAACTTGCTATGAAAGCACATTTACGCCATTTAATTCAAAAGTACAGGATGCAAAAGACTAGCAAGCATGTATATGCCCTCATTATATGCAAATCAACTAGACTTAAAAGGTTAAAACAGAATGACAGAGGTTATGAGGTATGGGAAAAGGCTGAAGGACACACCCAACCAGTCTACCTAGGCGTCACACGGGATCGCTCCCTTACCTACAAGAACCACATTGCCAACACAAAGGCAAAATTTGGAGCCCGCAATAGCATCCTCAAGAAGCTTGCCAACACCAACTGGGGGACTGATGCCAGAACAATCCGGACGATAGCCCTTGCGCTTTGCTTCTCTGCTGCGGAGTATGCTTCACTAGTAAGGAGTAGGTCGGCCCATGCACCCAAGATCGACCCAGCTCTAAATTAATCTTGCAGAGCGATCACTGGTTGCCTTAGGCCAACTAAAATAGAAAACATCTCCCTTCTCTGCGGTATCGCCCCTCCACACGTCAGAAGGTTAGTCTTGTCCCAGAAAGAAAAGGACAAACAAGAAAACAACCCACTCCACCCACTCTTCGAGTGCAGCCAACAGCCAACGGGCAAGCGGCTCAAATCCAGACGCAGCTTTCTGCACACTGTAGAGCCCCTTAATACCAGCCCTCACAACCAATGGGTGACTTTGTGGCCTAACCACCTCCAGACCACTCCACATAAACTCTCCCTTACCCGAAGGAATCCCTCGCATCCGGCTCCAGTGAGACTTGGCCTACCTGGCTATAAGCCTCAACCGCCTAAGAACTGGCTACGGACGATGCGGAGTCCTAATGCAGAGATGGGGTCTAGGAGATGAACAAACAACATGTGAATGCGGCCAGGAACAGACAATGGAACACCTGCTAGTCTGCCCACTCCTGCCAGAGCCATGCACCCAAGATGACCTGGAAGCCGTGAATTGCCGTGCCAAAGCCTGTGTGGACCACGGGACGGGACTTGTGTAGTGACTCGATAAGAATAAGAAATGAAGACCTACATGATGTGATATAAGGACATGAAGGCAATTTGGGGATAGGCCTACATCATTTATATAGGCTATATACCCTCATGATACTTACAACAAGAAAGGTTAAAAAGTCAAACCCTAACGGATTTTATAAAGTGAGATATGGCAATAGACCCTTATACACACACTTTCACGAAGTGCCCAAACTGACCTGTTCTTGACAATCCAGTAATCAGTTCCATCACTGCTGGTTCCATAGCCGACTGCGAGAACACCATGGTCCAACACGGTAGAGTCGCAACCGGGCTCGTTGTACACCCCTGTAAAAATACAGGATGTCGTCATTAAATCGTTGTATTTTGTTGACATGTATTTCATTCATTCTTTTATAAAAGTAGTGGTCTATCGCTGAGGTTTCATCCAAGTTTCCCCTCCCAAAGAAGTAGGAAAATAAGAAATAGAGACAGAGAAATATATACATATAATATACATAGCTTCAGGATTGTGATTTTAGTATTTTCAAAATGCACATTTTCTTTTCCTTGTACCCATCATGACCTTTTCACTCTGCTTTCATAAACTTTGTGACCTTTCCCTAAAAAAGTACTTTCTTACACGAAATTAAACAAATAAATAGAGGACAATTTCGTCTTTCACAATAGGCAAACAGTGTTTAGATACAGTTTATCTACCTACAATGTAATACCTCGTTTTACACCGACAACATTAATTCCAGACCGACACTGGTGTTACTGAAGTAATATACGGCTCTGTTTTCATTTAAGGGGGGTTCAAAGAGTTTGTTTCACTAGCTTTGAGTCCAATCTGTATGACTATCATTAAGTGTATGCTTTGGCGATATCCTTACCAGACTTGTAATGCTGGAAGGACATATGGCTGGCGTCAATGGCGACCGAGATAGGACCAACGTGGGCTACAGCCTTCTGCAGTGCCTTCTCAGAACCAGAGGTGACGTCAGTATAACCTGTGACGGTAGCGCCTACGTTAGCCTTCTTGAAGTGGCATTTGCCATCCTGGAGATAGAGGGGAAATGGCACACAACGTAAATTAGGTATTTTCCATCCTTCCTCTATTGGATGAAGACAGACAGACCTAAGTTCCACGAATCCAAATATCCAGTATATAGACCAATACATTCATCATTGGGAACATTGAGGCCGTATACCTATTTTCAAAAGATCTATGAAACAAAATCCTTCCGTTTTGGGAAAAAATTCTTATGGTTTCGAACACATGAACCTCTTACTAGAAGATCCTTGAGGTTGAAAGCCTTTGGTATATTGAACCTCCGACTGCTTCTGACTAAAGACGGGTTTTCTAGCCTCAACCGATCCGGGGGTCCCCTGTATTATAGAGATTTGTATTTTTATCCGATTCAATCCTTCTTCTATCAGATTAATAATCATCCTTGCTTATATAGCGCCTAAAACTTTCTTTATCAGAAGTCTCTAAGCGCTTTACAATAATGCAGCATAATTACCCTGGCTTTAGCAGTGCAGCTGTTACGCGCGCGGCGTTTCAAGGAATAAATTCCTACCAGGTACCCATTTACCTGGGTGGAGTGTGGCAATTGTAGATCAATGTCTTGCCAAATGACATTAGTGCGGCGGCGGCGGGACTCGAACCGCGGACCTTGTGATCGACAGTCCGGCGACGTATCCCCTAGACCAGAACACCTCCTCGATTATGCACTGATCTTCGAATGGTTGGGGCTTGATTTCAATCTTTAAAAGACTAGCCCTTGAACAATTTACTTTGACCATGATTGGGTAATTAATACTGCGGACGTTACAGTCAAACAATTGTTAGTACACTCACCACTGCCTTGTAGGGGTAGCTTGCCTCTGTATCAATACCTCCTGCATCAATGATGTACTGGAAGGCTCGGTCCATAAAGCCTCCGTCACACCCGGCATCTCTGCCGGAGCAGTCGACCAGGTTCTGTTCACTCAGGCTCACCAGTTTACCCGTTGCCTTAAAGTGCTGTCCTTCCACTGATCCTGTGGTACTGAACGCCCAGCATGAACCACATTGTCCCTGGAAAGAAGAGATATTATAAGCCCCGTAATGACAATTTAAATAAAAGAAAAGAATCACCGTGTTATCGTGAAAACATCGATTTGGATTCGTCTTCTGATATGAAAAATGAGATAATAAGATGTCAATGTATCGCGTCATTTGTTTGTAAATGACAGATGTTTACCTAGGGGACACAAAAGTTCTTGGGACTTAAAAATTATAATAATTGGGTCTTAATTAACTTGTTTAGCCGCATCTGTATTAAAATTAATACTGCTCTTCCACCGGGCAATGAAATTATTACCCGAGCTATTGCCAGGTACCCATTTACACCTGGGTGGAGAGTGTTCTAGTGGACGCTTTGTGTTTGCTGGGTCTTAATGTTTAGTAGTACATGTACCTGGTCCTTGACAGGAGTTACGTAACCCTTGGTGCGCCAATCGACGGTCTTTGGGAGTTCGCCGACGTTGTTTGGTGGGAGGAAGGTGGATCCTTTAGCCGCCTTTGATGTGCCACTCACTCGGAAACCAGTCATCATGGCGACGAACTCTTCATTTTGCTGTAAGGTAAACATGCATTTGCAAGTTATTTAGCACTTTTATAGTTTTGTGAAACATTTTCAAGGTAGAATGCATTAAAGGGGTAGTTGAGTTCTGCTGTAGAGGGCGCTACACAAATTAATTTTTTGTGTGAGAGTGTTGTGATAGGATGGTAATATGTAACTTTAAACCTTCCTCTACTGTTATTTTGATTACACACTGTTACATGCAAGACTTTTATTTTTTTTTCCTTTTTTTTCCTCTATGTTCATTGATTGATGTAATAATAATGATAATTTCTTGTTATGTGATTTTCTTGTTATGTGAAATTATGAGGAAGGAAATAAAATATCATTAAAAAAAAAAAATTAAAAAAAAATAATTAAAAACTGACTGACAAATTCGAAAGAAAATACAATTTAAATGACAAAATCATCTTTGATCAAATCGGTTCAGAGACGGCTAAAATATCCATAAATATAACGATTTCTAATACTTGTGTTCCACCACAAATATTAGATAATTTGAACCAGCCGTTGATGTATGTGATGTACGAAAAAAGGTGTGTTTTTATATTATATGTAATTATCTCGAGAAGAACTAAGCTATAAGAAATCTATTTTTAGTCACATGGACCTAGTGCCGTCACCGTCGTCACGCCCTCTGGGCACCAATTCAATTTCATTACATTTCACACGTCTCTCGGTATATACATTTGAAGAATCTATGATTATTTCACAAGTTTCAAGGTTCTATTAACGAAGTTCATGTTCTAGTACCCATAGTCATTTATCAACAAGTTCACGAATAGTTGAGGATAATAAAGCAGTCTCGTGAGCTAAGCCTATTTGACTGCTTTGTCAATATTGGACTCAACCTCGTGATGTATTCATTTAAGATCAAGGTCCAAAATCACAGATATCAGAGATCACGAGATTTCTATTAAAAAATTGCCCTTGATACTGGGATTTGACAAAAGTGATAAGGGTCATTCATATGTGGAATAAATTGATTCCCCAACATTTATTTTAAGAAAGGGAAGAAGGAAGAGGAGGAGGAGGAGGAGGAGGAGGAGAAGTAGGAAGAGGAGAAGAATAAGTTGAAAAAGAAAAAGGGAGAGGAGGAAGAGGAGGAGGAGGAGAAGAAGAAGTAGAAAAACGAGGAAGAGGAGGAATACTTAGTCTAAATAAGGGAAAACATGAGCACATAATTATATCCCAATAGTTATTGGCTTTGTCTAAACCATAAAGGGCCTTTTCCACGTTTTCTCTATCACCTTTCCTGAGATTTAACGGGGGCACATGCCTTTATGCTCACGCCAATGCTCCTAGTCCTTCTATTCCAATGCGTACATTTTCATCAGTTCCTCTTTACGAATTATTACATAACAATTTTGTAAATCAGAGTTAAACTTGTTATTTAGTTTTTTAATATTCTATCCTTCCTTTTCGTACTCACCAGGTCGGCGAACTGGTTTATTCCGAGATCGTAGGTGAAGTGGCCCAAGTCGTATTTGAGGTTGTGTTTGATGACGATGTCGAGGTTCTTCTGCCAGATCAGTCTCCTCGACGCTTCCTCCTCATCGCTTAGATATCGCTTGCCGTGTTCGTTCTTCCACTCGTTCCAATCCTCGTCGAAGTCAGTGAACGACATCGACAGCGAGCTGACCACGCAAGCTGCCACCAGCAACACACTCAGATACTTCATGACTGCAGAGATTTAGGTTGCTATGAAAATAAACGACAAACGCCTCTAAGACAATTGCTGCTTGCAAGATGAAATGTAGATCACCAATGAACTGACGTCTCTTACCAGGAGAACAGATTATTCACATTTACACACATTTACCCCTACAAGCAGGGGCGTCGCCAAAGGGGGGGGGGTGTGGGGGGGGTGCGACACCCCCCCCCCCCACCTGTCAGGATATTGTCGGTAAAATTGCGCTACCGTCGGGAAAAAGAGAAAAGGGGGAGGGAAAAAAAGAGAGGGAAAAAAAGAGAGGGAAAAAAAGAGAGGGAAAAAAAGGGAGGGAAAAAAAGAGAGGGGAAGGGAAAGAAAAGAAAAAAAGAAAAGGAAAAGAAAGGAAAAGAAAGGAAAGAAAGGAAAAGAAAGGAAAGAACAGAGAAGAAAGAAAGAGAAAAAAGAAAAAGAGGGGGGAGAGGAAAGAAAGGAAAAGAAAGAAAAGAAAGAAAAGGAAAAAAAGAAGAAAAAAGAGTGAAAGGGAAACAAAAGGAACGGGGGATGAAAGAGAGGAGAGAGAGGGGAGGTAAGAGTCTGAGAGAGGAGGAGTGGGAGTAAAAGAGAAAAGGGGGTTGTTGGGTGGAGTCGTCTCGTCGAGGGAGCAAGAAAGACACGGGTAAATATGTTGCTGTGTCGGGTCAGCTGTGTCGGTATTCTTGCTCGATCCTCATCAATGCATAAGTTTGAAGTCGGTGAGATGTATATTGTCGGTCGGCCGACAAGTTTTTTTCCCTACGAACTGCGACTTCTTATCCGCTGTGACGACTTCGAGAGTGACTTCAACTACATACTTGTATTTTCTCGAAGTTTCACTTTCCTATAATATCAGCTAAAGAAATCAGAGGTTTAAAATTTTCGGGGAAACTAAATTCAAACAAGGTTTAAGAGTCAACAACGGTACGACGAATCATTTTCCTTTCTTTATATTGTAATGAAACGCCAAAAATTCCGCGCTTCGCGCAGAAGGGGAAACTTCATTTAGACGAATCGAGAACGGTACAACGAATCGTCTCCTTTCTCTAATAATTTAAGGAAACGTCAAAGCTTCCGCGCTTCGCGCGAAAGTGGGAAACTGAATTCAGACAAATAGGGCGTACTAAAAGTCGAAAACGTTACAACGAATCGTGTTCTTTCTCTAATAATTTGAGAAAACGTCAAAGCTTTCGCGCTTCGCGCGAGAGGGGGAACTGAATTCAGATGAATAGGGCTTAATAATAATAAGATTCGAAAACGGTATGAGGAATCGTCTTCCTTTCTCTGTATTGTGATGAAACGCCAAAAATTTCGCGCTTCGCGCGGAAGGGGAAAACTTCATTTAGACGAATCGAGAACAGTGCGACGAATCGTCTTCTTTCTCTAATAATTTAAGGAAACGTCAAAGCTTCCGCGCTTCGCGCGAGAGGGGGAAACTGAATTCAGACAACATTAATAGGGCTTATTTAGAGTCGAAAACGGTACAACGAATCGTGTTCTTTCTCTAATACCGCACTACCGCCCCTCCCTAAAATAAGATCCTATCTCCGCGCCTGCATTAAAATATATAGCTATGATGCTGATTAAATTTAAGAAATAATTCGTATATTAATGTCGTCGAGGAAAATGACCATTTTGCGCATATGCAAGTACTACAGATAGTCCATAGGAAAAACAATTTAGCCTTCGGCCCCAGGTTTATAGGGTTGACTTTGTAGATATTGGAAATTTAGTTTTGTCGGTAATTGGTGGCTACTTTTGTCGGTAATCGTTGGCCTCTACACCCCCCACTGAAAAAGGTCTAGCGACGCCCCTGCCTACAAGTCATGATGTTAACACTCATTAATACAATTATTTGTGCTATTGATGACTCTTGTCACACAATCGGTTTATTTCTAGATTTCTCAAAGGCGTTCGATACTATTGACCATAAAATTCTTCTTAATAAACTGTGTCACTACGGTGTCAGAGGGAAGGCCCTTGAGTGGCTTAGTAGCTACCTTTCAGACAGAACTCGATACACCTCTGTAAATAACTTCCAGTCATCAATAAAAAAAAAACATTACCTGTGGGGTGCTTCAAGGCTCTCTTCTTGGTCCTCTGCTTTTCATACTATATATAAATAATTTCAAACGATCATGTAATATTTTATCTTTCATATTATTTGCTGATGACTCTAATATCTTTCTCTCATTTCATGACCCACAAACTCTCCTAAATACAATTAACTCGGAATTAGTTTTGGTTCAAAGTTGGATACAAGCCAATAAACTATCATTGAACATTAAAAAGACAAATTATATGATATTTAGTAACACTGTTGATCATCTTCCTGGTCCTATTCAAATAAATGGTATCGAACTAGAATGTGTTCAAAGTACAACATTCCTTGGAATTTAGGTTGATCGCAAATTGACATGGAAAGTGCATATCAATTATTTATGTAAAATATTATCAAGAAACATTGGTGTCATAAATCATGTTAAAAAATACATTTCCTTTACCGGTTTTATCATCACTTTCTACAACCCTTATTTTGCCTTACCTAAATTATGGGATTTTAGCATGGGGAAATCCTTGTAAGACTTTAATTGATCGAATATTAATTTTGCAGAAGCGTGCATTAAGAATAATCCATAATGTCTACTTTCGTTCCCACACTAACCACTTATTCATTCTCCCTTTTTGGTATCTTTCTTTCTATTTGCCCTGTATTATTTTCCTCCATTTTTACCTTTCTTTACCCCCCCCCCCAAAAAAAAAAAAAAAAAAAATCTATAATTTCTTCGCTACATATTATTTTCTATTTATTGAATTTCTAAGCATACTTTGTTCATGTTATATTGTAAAACAGCATCTGATGAACTAACACTTCAACTTCAACAAGCTCTGCTTCTTAGTTAGTTCCTCTTTTCTCGTGCTTTTTCTATTATATTTGTCGTTTCATTGCATATTTTTGTAATATAATTATTCATTGTATTATGATTTGCATGAGAAATAAAATCACTTGAATCATTTCCTTATTGCAACATTAAACTGGCTGTGACGTATGGAACACGTGTAATAAGTGGTTTCACATGAGCCATAATTTTAAAAGGAAACAACAAAACAACCACCCAAACCTACGCGTACTTATTAACTGTTAAATAACTTGAAAGTTCTTAAAATAAAAAGAAGTGATGTCCTTACCTACTTGAATACCAGAAAGCAATTTAGAAACAATCTGCTTTTGTCGAGGAGTTACCCGTGAATAGCACGGGATTCACAAGTTATACAGGTTGGACCATGAACTTGGCGTCTATAGAATGCGAGAGTCACATGCCCAATCTAGATCAACGTTCAACTTTGCCAAGCAAACACAAAAGCCCAACAAAATATCATGTCTGGCTATAAAAAGGTACCTATTTTGTTGTTGAGAACAATGTGAATGGTGTTTACCCTGTGGTTTGCGTCATGTCGTAGATATTATGAGCAAAAGGGCAAATGGGAATCATGACAAAGCGTTTATGAATTTGTGTACGTATATTTGAGTGTTTTCTACATAATGTCTTGCCATTAATGTCGCCCGTTAACAGCATTGTCCACAGTGGCGTAATAAGTGACTGGCAATGAAAGTTACTTTAAAAAAGTGTCGTAAATAAAATAGTCTTTATATAAATCCAAATTAGGGGGTAATTCTGTTGTGATTGAAAAACACGTATTAAACGTCGCACTGTCCTTATTTTGTCTGTAGGGACGTGCTCAGCCTTTGCAAGTCCAGGTTTTTTTTCCTTTTCGGAAAGGTGAAAGAAAAACGGTTTTAAAAAGCCCACTGTTTCAACAACGATATGAATTAGCCGACATTATAAGATGATGACGTGGATCCTAATACAATGATTGGTTGAAAGCGTACACATGACAAGGCATTTATTTTGCCTAACGCGTAATTTGGATAATGACCGGTCATTATCCAATGTTATGAAACATCACTTTATTAAAAAAATAAAACATAATCTTATAAAAAAAATAATACACATAATTTTGTTCGGGCATTAGTGTAATTACCAACACTTGGTACCTTCAAAACAGTCCAAACTGTTCTAAAGGTACCTCGTGTGGGTATTTCTTACTAATGCCCTCACTGCTGTGTATTATTTGTATACCATATCATGTTAATAGATGTCATCCTCAACCTTATTCACCAAGAGGCAACCCTCTTTCTCTAGCACTGCCAGTTGCGTAGCGTGAGTCTACCCATTGAGGGGGCACTGAAGGCAGGGGTGGATAAACCCGGCGGCAGGGGAGGGGGTCAAAGAGGGGGCCCAATTCGTGAGAAAATATTTAGCGGCGAAACAGCCAGCCGGTGAATGAGCGCAGGGGGGGGGGGGAGTATGAGCACTAATTTTATTATTCCTCAAGGGAGGGGGCCCGTCTTCTTTTTAGCAAATAAAGGTAAAATTAACGTGTTTTGACCCGTTTTTCCCCAAAGGACTCTGCCCTCCGGCCCCTTGGATCCGCCACTGCTGGAAGGGTTGGGGGCGGGAGGGGTTGGGGGGGGGGGGGGCGGGTGGCACCGGTATGACTTCGAAAATGAAATACGAATTAACAAGTGACAAAGGGGAGGGTGCTTCAGGTGGTCTAGGTGTCTCATTTGCTCATCCTTTTCCTCTTATCCAGGCCATTACTCCACGCCCTTGTACACAAACAAAGAACAGCGAAAGAAATGCTACATTTAGTTTGTCTGTTTTGTATTTGCTCGGTTTTTCATCTTTAGCACATTAGAATATCTTTTAGATCTATTTTTTTCTGGGGGGGGGGGGGTTGCTTGTTAGATTACATGTCCCCCCCCCCATCCCCTGGGTATGATAATCCAGGTTTCGCTTCTGCTCGTGACGAACATTTATTTCTTTGTATATCTTTACTAGGTTTACAGGCAAGTAAAGCTCAAGATAATGAATATTTCATGTTTATGATTTCAAGGTTAAAGTGCTCTGCGTGCGTAATTGATTTGATACAAATAACCTACATCAGTCACAAGATGGTCATAAGATGCCGCATGATTCTGAAACTGATGTATTTATAGGCATGACTCTTTAGAATGATCAATAAATAAAGGAAATGTATGAATATTTGAAGTTACCATATTGAATCACAATGGAAAGCCTAATTGGTTTCGCATAAGCCACGTTTTAAAAGGAAATAATGAACAATTGGACGTCTACCCACTCTCCTATGAAAACCTGTCCAATGCCCCTTTGCTGTAGTTCTTGGTTCCGTTTATTAATGTACAGTGCGACCCAGAAAAAAACGAAACCGAGAATTATCGATTTTTTATCATAACTTAATCACAATTATAATAAATAAATGACACATATTTGTAAAGCTTAAAATGAATTTGAAGGAAGGAAACCAATAAGTCTTTTGGCTGGCGGTATCTGAATTTCGAAGAAAAATTCACATTTCTAAAAAGTTCATTTTCTGCTCTTTCATATGACACCTCAATCAGGACAAATGAGCCATAATAAAGTTCCGTTTGTTTAAAGTGATGCTTGCATTTCCATAATTTGATTAAACGAAATTGTTTTCACTGGCTGCCTGCCGTAGCAACAAACGGAATTGACAAAAGACTTAACTCCGTTTCGTTGACGATCGGACATAGATGAAAGACTTCATGCATCAAATGAAAAAGGAGGATCTAAGCTTAACAAATATTTATCATTTATTAATTATAATTGTGATTAAGTAATGATAAAACATCGATAATTCTCGGTTTCGTTTTTTCTAGGTCGCACTGTATAGTAACACAGGCGCAGGTGACACTCAAATGAGGTGAGAAATAATCTTTTAATCGACTCAATGATTGTTTGAAATATCATCATGTTAATAGAAATGCAACAAGTAGCAAAAATAATATACAGATTACGAATCATGACGTAGAAATATAAAATTGAATTGCAACATGAATATAAAATCCCACTTATTGAATATTGGAAATGTACGTATTCTTACAACTGTTACATTGCATTCTTAGAACCAACGACAATCTAGGGACATGGTTAAATTGCCCCTATTTAATTCGATGTTGATCCTATTTAGATCAGAAGGGGATGCATGGATAGTGTGATTGTACAGTCTCGACATCCATCCCAAATGATAGTACAGGGTGGAATATTCCCCGAGGTAATACAATGTGTGATAAAAAAGTTTTACATGACCCGTCGATGTCTCGGTTTGTTATCAATATCACATGAATTCCTTTTTAATAACCTCTTATCCTTTTTTTTCTCGAATACATCGACGAAGTGCACATCAGCTCTGTTATTATCATTATTAATTATGTTTCTAAAATGTGCTATCTTGAGTAAAGCTTTAGGGTGTGGTCACAGTGCCTTGAGGAACTTTGGCCAAAGCCGGAGTAATAGTGCTTTGTAGTAATCCTTGGGATGGACATGTGCACATGGATAGTGTTATTTTGATTGTCATTTGCTATTGTTAAGCCCATAATATGAAGTGAGAAGTGGACCATAGTGTTATTGGACGTCCTCAGAAATGACTTGATGTTCTTGCACGAACAGATTCATGGCGGAAGCAATATTGCATGGCGATTACACCAGAGGGTAACTAGCTTGGGTAGCGATGCCACATTGGTTATCCTTGTTACGAGACATCCACAGGTATCCATTCATTCCCCAAGTCTCTGCCCAGCTGTGAAAGAAAGAAAGAAATCAATAAACTGCAAATTATTCATTGATTAAAATTGTGATTGAAGTCTCCAATGACTGATGGTTGATTCGGAGAAATCAGTTTTGCCATGTAACTTTATATTTTGGCTGTGTAAATCATGTTAGATCGCTTGAATTGCTACGGGACGAATGTCTGTTGTTTTTAATTTATTTTTGTAGTTGTTTATATACATCGATGATCATGATTAGAATATTAATTCCACTAGTTGACATACCTTTCCTGATGGTAACATATTAGCCTACATGATGTGATATAGGTAGATGTTTTCAAAAGGACATGAAGGCAATTTGGGGATAGGCCTACATGATGCATGTAGGCTATATACCCTCGCGATACTTACAACAAGAAAGGTTAAAAAGCCAAACCCTGACGCGTTTTATAAAGTGAAATATGGCAATAGACTCTTTTCCAAACAAATTTCACAAAGTGCCCAAACTGACCTGTTCTTGACAATCCAGTAATCGGTTCCATCACTAGTGGTTCCATAGCCGACTGCGAGAACACCATGGTCCAACAAGGTAGAGCTGCAATCGGGCTCGTTGTACACACCTGTAAAAAAAACAAGATGTTGTCATTTAGTTTAGTATTGTTTTGACATGTATTACAATATATGTTATCACCTGACGAAGTGTTGCAGCGGCGCACGAAACGTCGTGATCTTTTAGATCCCTTGTTGACCATAAATTGCGAGACAAACGAATGTCACTAGCGATATTATTTTCGATGTATTACATTCATTATTTTATAGAAAGCAGTGGTGTATCGCTGAGGTTTCACCAAAGTTTCCCCTCCCAAAGGAATAGGAAAATGAGAGAGAGAAATATATATATGTAAACATAGCTTCAAGAATGTGATTTTAGAATTTGAAAATGCACATTTCTTTCCCTTGTACCCATCGTGACCCTCTTCTTCTCTGCTTCCATAAACTTTGTCAACTTTTCCTTAGAAGATAATTTCTTAAACAAAATAAAAAAATAAAAAATAGAGGACATTTTCGTCTTTCACAATAGGAAAACAGTGTTAAGATACAGTATCTACATAAAGCCTAATACCTCGTTTTTCACCGACAAGATCTATCTCAGACCTACACTGGTGTGACTGAAGTATTAGGCGGCTCTATTTTTATTTTAGGAGGGTTCAAAGAGTTTGTTTCACTACCTTTGAGTCCAATCTCTATGACTATCATTCATATTCATATTCATATTTATTTCATTTCCAGCAGAAAGGTAAACAAAGATATTACATTTGATTTCATACATAATTAATTTTTTCAAGAAACTATACAAATAAAGTTTGCACATAAAAAAATTATTACAAGAATTTCTTCATTTCTGAGGAAATGGGGGGATCCACTAAAAAGCAGTGCTTGTAGGTTGTGGATCCCCCATCATTAGTGTATGCTCTGGCGATATCCTTACCAGACTTGTAAAGCTGGAAGGACATATGGCTGGCGTCAATGGCGACCGAGATAGGACCAATGTGGGCTACAGCCTTCTGCAGTGCCTTCTCAGAACCAGAGGTGACGTCAGTATAACCAGTGACGGTAGCACCTATGTTAGCCTTCTTGAAGTGGCATTCGCCATCCTGGAGATAGAGGAGAAATGGCACAATGAAAATTGGTGATAGTGTAAATAAGGTATTCTCCATCCTTCCTCTATTGATGAAGACAAAAGGTCCACGAAACCAAATGTCCAGTAGACCAATACATTCATCATTGGGAACTTTGAGGCCGTATACCTATTTTCAAAAGATCTATGAAACAAAATCCTTCCGTCTTGGGGGAAATTCCTATGATTTCAAACCCGTGAACCACTTACTAGAAGATTCTTGAGGTTGAAGCCTTCGGTATAAAGACTAAAGACGGATTTTCTAGCCTCAACCAATCCGGGGTTCCCCTGTATTGTAAAGATTTGTATTTTCCTTTTCCGATTCAATCCTTCTTTTTGATTATGCACTGATCAATTGGGCAAAAAGAATTTCCGTTTCGGTTTAATAAAATTTGAAGTGGACTATTAGGCTATTATTATTATTATTTATTATTATTATTATTATCTTCGAATGGTTAGGGCTTGATTTCAATCATAATCTTTATTAAGACTGGCTCTTGAGCAATTTACTTTGACCATGATTGGGTAATACTGCAGACATGACAGACAAACTATTGTTACCATTTATTACACTCACCACTGCCTTGTAGGGGTAGCTTTCCTCTGTATCAATACCTCCTGCTTTAATGATGTACTGGAAGGCTTGGTCCATAAGACCTCCGTTACACCCTTCATTGCCCTCCTTGCCGGAGCAGTCGACCAGGTTCTGTTCGCTCAGGCTCACCAGTTTACCCGTTGCCTTAAAGTGCTGTCCTTCCAGAGATCCTGTGGTACTGAACGCCCAGCATGAACCACATTGTCCCTGGAAAGAAGAGATATTATAAGCCCCGTAATGACAATTTGAATAAAAGAAAAGAATTGTTGTGCTATCCCCGTGTTATCGTGAAAACATCGATTTAGTGACGTCTTCCGATGTGAAAAATTTGATAATAAGATGTCAATGTATCGTGTCATTTTTGTGTGTAAATGACAGATGTTAACCTAGGGGACACAAAACGTTCTTGGGATTTAAAAATTATAATAATTGGGTCTTTCACCTAAGGTAGCCGCTTCTGTATTAATATTAATCCTGCTCTTCCACCGTTCAATGAAATCATTACCCGAGCTATTACCAGGTATGGGTGGGGAGTGATACGTGTGGATTACAATCTTGCCATCTTGCCAAAGGACATTAGTGCAAGGCTGGGATTCGAACTCTCAACTCTTAGATTAAGAGTCCAGTAAATGAACCACTATACCACGACATGTTCTGTTATCCATAGGATGTTTTGCTGGATGCTTTGTATGTGTTTGCTGGGTCTTAATGTTTAGTAGTACATGTACCTGGTCCTTGACAGGAGTTACGTAACCCTTGGTGCGCCAATCGACGGTCTTTGGGAGATCAGCGATGTTGTTTAATGGGAGAAAGGTGGATCCTTTAGCCGCCTTTGATGTGCCATTCACTCGGAAACCAGTCATCATGGCGACGAACTCTTCATTTTGCTGTAAGGTAAATATGCATTTGTAAGATATTTAGCACTTTTTCTAGTTTCTGTTGAAACAATTTCAAGGATGCATCAAATCATGAACAGTTCCCAATTCAACAACAAAAAATCTCTCTATATTTTTTTATTATAAGTCTCATCTTTTTAATTTATAACACTAATACTAATGATACAGTTATCATTATAAATTAACGTACTTTGTATTTATCAACGCTTATGTTTGATATAAACTTTTCTTTTTCTGCCTTTTTTGGAGGGGGGAGGGAGGAGGTATTATTAGCCTTAGTGAATATTGATGATTGCATTACATCGCGTATTAGTCATGGTATCATCTACTTTTCCATTGTGTGTTATAAAAATAAAAATAAAAAAATAATAAAAAACGTGGATCGATATGTGTGTGTTTGTGTGTGTGTGTGTGTGTGTGTGGGGGGGGGGGGGGGTATGGGGTAGGGATCCAATGACAAAAAATGCAGAAAAATCAAGCATTATGTATTTTTCTAACGTTCATGGATGTCCATTTTTTAAAACACAATGAAACACAACTCAAGAATATTTTTTTCACTGAGCATTCTGTGATGTATGAAAAAGGGTGTGTTTTTATATTATATGTAATTATCTCGAGAAGAATGAAGCTATAAGAAATCTATTTTAGTCACATGGACCTAGTGTTGTCACGCCCTCTTGGCACCAATTCGATTTTATTACATGTCACACGTCTCTCGGTATAGATATTTAAAGAATCTGAGATTATTTCACAAGGTTCAAGGTTCTATTTACGAAGTTCAGGTTCAGTCTTTTAATCATAATCAGTTATTGACAAGTTCAAGAATAGTTGAAGATAATAAAGAATTCTCGTGAGCTAAACCTATTTGACTTCTTTGTCAATATTTGACTCAACCTCGTGATGTATTCATCTAAGATCAGGGTCCAAAATCACAGATATCAGAGATCACGAGATTTCTATAAAAATTGCCCTTGATACCGGGCCTTGACAAGAAGTGATAACAACATCAGCATCAACAGTATACGGAAGAAAAGGTAGTCATGTTGGTCTGCCGATCGCTTCTTCTTAATGTTTTTTTTAACAGACAAAAACAAGTTTGAGGGCACACAAGAGAGGTGGATCAAGTGCACATACTGAAATGTTGACCAACAATTGTCGATTAATCTTTTGAAGACGTTATAGGTCATTCATAATGGAATAAATTAATTCCCCAACATTTATTTTCTTAAAGTAGGAAGAGGAGGAGGAGGAGGACGAGAAGAATAAGTTGAAAACGAAAAAGGGAGAGGAGGAAGAGGAGCCTAAAGAGGAGGGGTAAAAGAAGTAGAAAAAAAAGGAGGAATACTTAGCCTAAATAAGGACAAGCATGAGCAAATTATATCCCTGTAGTTATTGGCGTATAGCCTAAACTATAAAGGACCCTCTCCACGTTTTTCGTGTTACCTAACCTTAGATTCAAAGGGGGGCGCATACCTCATGCCACCATGTCTACGCAAATGCTCCTAGTCCTTCTATTCAAATGCGTACATTTTCATCAGTTTCTCCTTACATATTATTACATTACATTTGTGAACGTATTGAAAAAAATTGTAAATCAGAGTTAAACTTGTTATTCAGTTTTTAATATTCTATCCTTCCTTTTCGTACTCACCAGGTCGGCGAACTGGTTCATTCCGAGTGCGTAGGTGAAGTGGCCCAAGTCGTATTTGAGGTTGTGTTTGATGACGATGTCGAGGTTCTTTTCCCAGATCAGTTTCCTCGACGCTTCCTCCTCATCGCTTAGATATCGCTTGCCGTGTTCGTTCTTCCACTGGTTCCAATCCTCGTCGAAGTCAGTGAACGACATCGACAGCGAGCTCACCACGCAAGCTGCCACCAGCAATACACTCAGATACTTCATGACTGCAGAGATTGAGGTTGCTATGAAAATGAACGACGAACGCCTCTTAGACAATTGATGCTTGCAAGATGAAATGTAGATCCTTAATGAACCGACGTCTCTTACCAGGAGAACAGATTATTAAAATGAACACACATTTCCTTATTGCAACATTAAAGTGGCTGTGACGTATGATAAACGTTTACTAAGTGGTTTTACATCAGCCATGCTTTTAAAAGGAAACAACAATACAACCACCCAAACCTACGCCTACTTATTAACTGTTAAATAACTTAAAAATTCTTGAAATAAAAATAAGTGATGTCCTTACCTACTTGAATACCAGAGAGCAATTTAGAAACAATCTGCTTTTGTCGAGGAGTTACCCGTGAATAGCAAGCAGGGGATATCACAAGTTATACAGATGGACCATGAACTTGGCGTCTATAGATTGCGAGAGTCACATGCCCAATCTATATAGTTCAACGTTCAACTTTGCCAAGCAAACACAAAAGCTCAAACAAAATATCATATTTGGCTCTAAAGAGGAACCTATTTATTAGTTGGAGAACAATGTAAATGGTGTTTACCCTGTGGTTTGCGTCATGTCGTAAATTTTATGAGCAAAACAGCAAATGGGAAGCATGACAAAGCATTTGTGTACGCATATTTGAGTGTTTTCTATAATGTCCTACCATTAATGTCGCCCGTCAACAGCATTGTCCACATTGGCGATATAAGTGATTGGCAAAGAAAGTTACTTTAAAAAAGTGTCCTAAATAAACGAACACTCTTTAAATAAATCACAATTAGGTGGTAATTTTGTTGTGATTGAAAGAACACGTATTACACGTCGCACTGTCTGTGGGGACGTGCTCAGCATTTGCAAATCCAGATTTTTTTTTTCTTTTCGGAAAGGTGAAAAAAAAACGGTTTTAAAAGGCCCAATATTTCAACAACGATATAAATTAGCCGACACCATTTCATGTTAGTAGATGTCATCCTCAACCTTATTCACCAAGAGGCAACCCTCTTTCTCTAGCACTGCCAGTTGCGTAGCGTGAGTCTACCCATTAAGGGGGCACTGAAGGCAGGGGCGGATAAACCCGGCGGCAGGGGAGGGGGTCAAAGAGGGGCCCAATTCGTGAGAAAATATTTAGCGGCGAAACAGCCAGATGGTGAATAAGCGGTGGGGAGGGGAGGGGGTATCAGCACTAATTTAATTTTTTCCCTTCTTTTTGTAACAAATAAAGGTAATATTAACGTGTTTTTACCTGTTTTCCCCAGGGGAGGCCCCCAGCATCTTGGATCCGCCACTGCTGGAAGGATTGGGGGGGGGGGGGGGGTGGCACCGGTATGACATGGAAAATGAAATACGAATTAACATGTGACAAAGGGAAGGGTGCTTCAGGTGGTCTAGGTGTCTTATTTGCTCATCCTTTTCCTCTTCTTCAGGCCAGTACCCCCACGCCATTTTACACAAACAAAGAACACAAAAAGAAATGCTATATTTGTTTGTTTGTTTTGTATTTGCTCGCTCATTCATCTTTAGCACACTAGAATATAATTTTTAGAACCATATTGTTGCTTGTCAGATTTTTGCTTCTGCTCGTGACTACAATTTATTCCTTTGTATATCTTTACTAGGTTTACAGGCAAGTAAAGCTCAAGATAATGAATATTTCATTAATATGATTTCAAGGTTAAAGTGCTCTGCGTGCGTATTTTATTTGATACAAATACCATACACCAGTCACAAGATGGTCATAAAATGCCGCATGATTCTGAAACTGATGTATTTATAGGCATGAGTCTTTAGAATGATCAATAAATAAGGGAAATTTATGAATATTTGAAGTTACCAGCATTGAATCACAATGGAAAGCCTAATTGGTTTCGCATAAGCCAAGTTTTAAAAGGAAACAATGAAACATTGGACGTCTACCCACTCTCCTATGAAAACCTGTCCAATGCCCCTTTGTTGTAGTTCTTGGTTCAGTTTATTAATGTACAGTGCGACCCAGAAAAAAACGAAACCGAGAATTATCGATTTTTTATCATAACTTAATCACAATTATAATTAACAAATGACACATATTTGTAAAGCTTAGATCCTCATCTTTCATTTGATGCAACTCATATGATTCATATCTCACGCATGAGTGATAAAAAGCAATTTGAAGGAAGGAAACCAATAAGTCTTTTGGCTGGCGGTATCTGAATTTCGAAGAAAAATTCAAATTTCTAGAAAGATCATTTTCTGCACTTTCATATGACATCTCAATCAGGACAAATAAGCCATGAGAAAGGTCTGTTTGTTTAAAGTGATGCTTGCATTTCCATAATTTGATTAAACGAATTCGTTTTCACTGGCTGCCTGCCGTAGCAACAAACGGAATTGACAAAAGACTTAACTCCGTTTCGTTGACGATCGGACATAGATGAAAGACTTCATGCATCAAATGAAAGAGGAGAATCTAAGCTTTACAAATATTTGCCATTTATTAATTATAATTGTGATTAAGTTATGATAAAACATCGATAATTCTCGGTTTCGTTTTTTCTAGGTCGCACTGTACAGTAACACAGGCGCACGTGACACTCAAATGAGGTGAGAAATAATCTTTTAATCGACTCAATGATTGTTTAAAATATCATCATGTTCATACAAATGCAACAAGTAGCAAATATAATATACAGATTACGAAACATGACGTAGAAATATCAAATTGAATTGCAACATGAATAGAAAATCCCACTTAATGAATATTGGAAATGTACGTATTCTTACAACATTGCATTCTTATAGTCAACGACATTTAAAAGGAATTCGTGTGACATTGATATCAAACCGAGACATCGACGGGTCATGTAAAACTTATTTTATCACACATTGTATTACCTCAGGAAACCTTGATAAAGCCATACCTTGTACTGTCATTTGAGCTGGATATGCGCACATCAGTTCTGCTATTAAAGTTATTGATTATGTTTCTATAATTTACTATCTAAATTGAGTAAAGCTTAAGGGTGTGCTCACGGTACCTGGGGAACTTTGGCTAAGTACTTTGTAGTAATCCTTGGGATGGATAATACACATCAGTATAGCTGCCAGCTATTGTCGTTATAATGATAGTGTTATTGTCATTTGCTATTGTTAAGCCCATAATATAAAGTGAGAAGTGGACCATAGTTTTATTGGATGTCCTCAGAAATGACTTGATGTTCTTGCACGAACAGATTCATGGCGGAAGCAATATTGAATGGCGATTACACCATAGGGTAACTAGCTTCAGAAGCGATGCCACATTGGTTGTCCTTGTTACGAGACATCCACAGGTATCCATTCATTCCCCAAGTCTTTGCCCAGCTGTGAAAGAAAGAGAGAAAGAAAGAAACTGCAAATTATTAATTGATCAAAATTATGATTGAAGTCTCCAATGACTGATAGTTGATACGGAGAAATCAGTTTTGTCATGTAACCTTATATTTAGGCTTTGTACATCTAATTGATCGCTGGAATTTCTACGGGACAGTTGTCTGATGTTTTTTAATTTATTTTCGTAGTTTATAAACACCGATGATTATTATTAGAATATGAATTCAATTAGTAGACATGCCTCTCCTAGTGGTACATGCTTGCCTACAGCTCAAAGTTCATCAAAGGACACATGCTAAAACTTGCTTTGAAAGCACATTTACGCCATTTAATACAAAAGTACACGATACAGTTTAAAGTAAGTCTTCACAAAAGACTAGCAAGCAATTTGGGGACATTCCTACATGATTCAAGTGTAACCCCTCATTATATGCAAATCAACTAGATTTAAAGGTTAAAGCATAATGAGGTCATGAAGTGAAACATGAAAAGATGCACTCTTTTAAAAGGTAGACCTACATGATGTGATATAAGGTAGTTATTTTCAAAAGGACATGAAGGCAATTTGGGGATAGGCCTACATATAGGCTATATACCCTCATGATACTTAGAACAAGAAAGGTTAAAAAGTCAAACCCTAACGGATTTTATAAAGTGAAATATGGCAATAGACCCTTTTCCAAACAAATTTCACAAAGTGCTCAAACTGACCTGTTCTTGACAATCCAGTAATCGGTTCCATCACGGGTGGTTCCATAGCCGACTACGAGAACAGCATGGCCCAACCGGGTAGTGCTGCAACCAGGCTCGTTGTACACACCTGTAAACGAAATGTCTTCATTAAATTGTTGTATTTTGTAGACATGCATTTCATTCATTCTTTTATAAAAGCAGTGTTGTGTCGCTGAGGTTTCACCCAAGTTGCCCCTCCCAAACAAAGGAATAGGGTAATAAGAAAGAGAGATAGAGATATAAGAGATAGAGAAATATATATACATATATACCTAACTTCAGGATTGTGATTTTGGTATTTTCAAAATGCACATTTTCTTTCCCTTTTTCCCATCATGACCCTCTTCACCCTGTTCCATAAAGTTTGTTTCCTTTCCCTAAAAAAGTTCTTTCCAAAACTTTCTTAATAGAGGACATGTTCGTCTTAGGCCAACATTGTTTAGATACAGTTTATCTACCTAGAGTGTAATACCTCGTTTTACACCGACAAGATTAATTCCAGACCAACACTGGTGTTACTGAAGTAATATACGGCTCTGTTTTCATTTTAGGGGGGGGGGGGGGTTCAAAGAGTTAGTTTCACTAGCTTTGAGCCCGATCTGTATGGCTATCATTAGTGTATGGTCTGGCGATATCCTTACCAGACTTGTAAAACTTGAAGAACTTATGGCTAGCGTCAATGGCGACCGAGATAGGACCAATGTGGGCTACAGCCTTCTGCAGTGCCTTCTCAGAACCAGAGGTGACGTCAGTATAACCTGTGACGGTAGCGCCTACGTTAGCCTTCTTGAAGTGGCAATTGCCATCCTGGAGATAGAGGAGAAATGGCACAACGTAAATTTGGTATTTTCTATCCTCCCGATAGGATGAAGACCAACAGACCGAAGATCCGCGAATCATTCGTCCAGTAGACCGATACATTCATCGCAGGGTTCTATGAGGCCGTATGCCTATTTTCAAAATATCTATGAAACAAAATCCTTCCGTCTTGGGATTATTTTTACTAGGATTTCGATCACGCGTGAACCTCTTACTAGAAGATCCTTGAGGTTGAAGAGTTCGGTATAGTGAACCTGCGACTGCTTCTGACTAAAGACGGGTTTTCTAGCTTCAACCAATCCGGTGGTCCCCCGTATTATCCCGCCCTCCCTCACTTCGGGAACGGAGGGACCACATGCATGTTCCCAAAATCTCCGGCTCGAAACAAAGAAAAAGATCTGCCCGTATTGACTTTACACACCGGAATTTTACTGAAAGGGGGGGGGGGGCTGAAAAGGCTCGTATAACAAAGAAAAAAGATCTACCCGTATTGACTTTACACACGGGACTTATGCTGAAACGGGGGGGGGGGGGGGGAGGGGTGCTGGGAACACGCATATGCGTACCTTAAATAACACTGAGTGGGTGCCGGGCGTATTATAAAGATTTGTATTTTGATCCGATTCAATCCTTCTACTATTTGATTATGCACTGATCTTCGAATTGTTGGGGCTTGATTTCAATCATAATTTTTTATTCAGACTGGCTCTTGAACAATTTACTTTGATCATGATTGGGTAATACTGCAGTCATAACAGTCAAACAATTGTTAGTACACTCACCACTGCCCTGTAGGAGTATGTTGCCTCTGTATCAATACCTCCTGCATCAATGATGTACTGGAAGGCTCGGTCCATAAAACCCCCGTGACACCCGTAATTCCTGTAGGAGCAGTCGACCAGGTTCTGTTCGCTCAGGCTCACCAGTTTACCCGTCTTCTTGAATTGCTGTCCTTCCAGAGATCCTGTAGTACTGAACGCCCAGCATGAACCACATTGTCCCTGGAAAGAGGAGATATTATAAGTCCCGTAATGACAATTTAAATAAAAGAAAAGAATCACCGTGTTATCATGAAAACATCGATTTGGATTCGTCTTCCGACGTGTAAAAATGAGATAATAAGATGTCAATGTATCGTTTAATTTTTTCGAATGATTAATGTTTACCTAGGGGACACAAAACGTTCTTGTGACGTAACAAAATAGTTATGATAATTGGGTCTTATTTGCCTAGGTTAGCCAAATCTGTATTAATACTGCTCTTCTACCGGGCAATGAAATTATTACCCGAGCTATTGTCAGGTACCAGTTTACACCTGGGTGGAGAGTGATACGTGTACAATCTTGCCAAAGGACATTAGTGCAAGGCTTGGATTCTAACTCTCAAATCTTAGATTAAGAGTCCAGTAAATGAACCACTATACCACGACATGTTCTATTATCATTTTAAAGTCCATATGACGTGTTGCGGAACGCTTTGTGTCTAGTAGCTACATGTACCTGGTCCTTGACAGGAGTTACGTAACCCTTGGTGCGCCAATCGACGGTCTTTGGGAGTTTGTCGACGTTGTTTGATGGGAGGAAGGTGGATCCTTTAGCCGCCTTTGATGTGCCATTCACTCGGAAACCAGTCATCATGGCGACGAACTCTTCATTTTGCTGTAAGGTAAACATGCATTTGTAAGTTATTTAGCACTTTTATAGTTTCTGTTGAAACATTATCAAGGTAGAATGCATCGAATCATAAACTGTTTCCATTTTAAATAATTTTTGTTGTTCTTGTTTGTATTATTAGTCTCATCGTTTTGATGTATAACACTGATTTTGATGATACAATTATCAAAATAATTAGCGTACTTTGTATTATCAACGCTCATGTTTAATATTAACTTTTTGGGGAGAGTGGGGGTATTATTAGCCCTACTGAATATTGATTGATTATGATATTACATCGCTAATTAGTCATAGTATCATTATCTATTTTTCCATAATGGATATTATTCAGCAAACTGTATGTATACTTGGCTATGCTGCTCTTAGCACTATCCCATTCATTCATTTTGGTGTGAGAAGGATCAGGCTTCATCTGCCTAGAATGATATGTCTTGGGGATGACTTAACATTGTGACCAACCTTGTTATTGCCAGAACCTAAACAATACTTATGCACATCATTATAAATGCATATCTATTTTGGGGTTTTTGAGTGGATGTTTGGAAGATTGACTTAGCCTTACTGACTGTGTTGATTTGTACTTGAACAAGGAAATCCAAAACAAGTTTTTCAAATTCAATTTTGAGTTATAGATCTATATTGGTTGTTTTAAAAACATCATCAGCTATGGATGATCTGCGAAGTAAACCTCACACTAGATCCTCATCAAGTAGCGCCGTTAATACAGAGACCCAACGTAAAATCCTGGAAAAACCTGCTAAATTGAAGGAGACGTCGGCTACTACTAGGTCTAGGGGTCAGGGATCTCACACACAGAATAGGGACTTTTAGATTGAGTGGACGAGAACACGACGAACGCCGACTGATCATGCGTGTCAACGTACTCAACTGACCATGTTGAATACAATTAGAAATCTGTTAGATTGCACTAGACGATATACATGCATGCAGAAAGTAACACTATGATCATGACTGACAATAGACCATTTTCGTAATGTATCCAAATTTAATGCACAAGTCTTTGTGTAGTGCCTCAATACAAATTATTTCATTCACCTGATAAGAATAATAGTAATTCAATAGTCAGAATGCAAACTGCATATATCAAGTGTTGCTAGGTAGGTCAAGCCATAATGTTTGTCCAACCTGACAACTACTAATGTATGCAGTTTGGATTATGTCTATTGAAATACTATTATTCTTACCCGGTGAATGAAATAATTTGTATTGAGGCACTTCACAAAGACTTTATGCATTAAATTTGGTTACATTACGAAGATGGCCTATTGCTGTGGTAGAATATCCCTTCACTGCTATTATGTAATAATGTGTAGAACAGGTGAATATGCATGTGACACCTGTTCTACACATTTTCTACATAATAGCAGGGAAAGGATGTTCCTTTGTCTACCTGAGGAACTGTATATTTTATGCGCACGCGGCATATACTAGTACCGTACTAGATTTAGGAAAATCAAGGTTGACGCATTCTCGATCGCCGACTGAGACGACATGACGCATGCGCAGTGCCTTAAAATGACGTCACACGTTGCAGTCAAAGCTGTCGACGTGCAAATCTAAAAGTCCCTAATGATAAGCCTAGAACGGGCGGAAGTCCCGGTCAAATGTGTGGTGGAGCCTGTAAATCACAACTCATTAGCGGAAAGGACAGCATCGAATGTGAGCGATGTGAAAAATGGTTCTGCCTAAAATGCAGTGCCCTGTCGTCGGAAGAGTTTGGATTATTCACCAAGGTGAATGCAGCTCACTGGTTCTGTCCTCCATGTGAGTTTAAGGCCATGGAAGCTGTCAAAATGGACCAGATTGTTGAGGAACGGTGCAAGAAATTTTTGGAGAAACACACAAAAGACTTGAAAAACTTGAACAAATGAGCAACGGTTGGTCTAAGGTGGAAGAGTTATGCAAGCAGCTTGAATCTGACATCAAAGAAATCAAGAGCTCCGTTACAGATAAGCAGAGAATGGAACCAAGTGACATAGCTCAAGATGTCCTGGCCTCATCTGTCCAGTCAATCTTCCAAGATTGTGTTAAGGAAGAAAGTGAAAAAGATAAAAGAAAACATAACATAGTTGTCTATGGACTGGCAGAAAATGATTCCGAGGATGGCAAAGAGAGGCAGTACTATGATACAGCCTCTACCCGAGGGATGCTCGATTACCTGGAAATCGAAGGAGAGGTGAAACGTGTGATTAGATTGGGAAGAAGGCAACTGGATGCAAGCGAAACTAGCTCGAGACCAAGACCGGTGCTTGTGGAATTCTCAAATGCAGACTCCAGTGCGGAAGCAAAGAGGAAAGCTAGTAAGCTTCGCTTAGGACCAAAATACTTTAAAGAGCTATATATCCAAGCAGATCTCACAAAAACAGAACGTGCAGCAAAGAACATACTCGTCAAGGAAATGAAAAGGAGGAAGAGTGAGGGTGACAACAACTGGATGAATCGGGGTGAAAAACTTGCGAAGAGAAAGGATCCCCCATCTCAGCCAAGCAACGAAGGTAAACAAAAAGGCCCACAGCCTTTTCAGGATGCCTAACACAGCAGTCAACCCAGGAAACTTTTCAGATGTAAATAGTATTATTCATAATAGACATTTCAGTTGTATGTACAGCAATGTAGATTCGTTACTCAACAAGAAATCAGAACTAGAAGCAAGAATCTCTGTGAGGAACCCAGACATCATAGCCTTAGTGGAAATATTTCCAAAGAACTGTTTTCATCCAGTTGATGATTGTGAACTTCAGTTCGGGGGATACAATATGTTTTTGCCAGCAGAAAGTCAGAGAGGAGTTATAATTTACTACAAAAAGAAGTAGTTTTCAAAGACAGTGACTTCATGGAAAGTGTATGGTGTGCAATTTCATCAGGATCAGAGTATTTTCTCTTTGGATGTGTCTACAGAAGCCCAAATAGTTCGGACCCAAATAATGAGGCTCTCTTGAAACTCTTTTATGAGATAGAAAATTCTCCTCACACAAATATATTCATTGTTGGAGACTTTAACTTACCAAAGATAGATTGGGATAAATTTGCCAGAGACTTTGTGGAAGTTCTACAAAATCTATATCTTTCAGAACTTGTGGAAGAGCCCACTAGGATGAGAGACGGGCAGAAGTCCAACGTTCTAGACCTCGTCATCACAAACCAAGTAGACATGGTCGACTGTTTAGGGATATCACCACCGATTGGTAAAAGTGACCACATGGTGCTAGATTTCAGACTTTTTCTGCCTGGTGGGGTAACAAGTGTACCTGTAACAGAACGCTTTGCATTCTTCAAAGGAGATTATGAGAGTATGAGGAAGCATGGGAAAGTAAAAGATATGTTTGTTTCAGCAATGGTGCAGGACGGTGATGTTAATATGGATAATGATATTCTTGTACATTGCTTGGAAGAGTTAACAGCCAAGTTTATACCAAAGGTCAAAGCCAGGAAAAATCAGCAGCCACTATGGATGAACAACGATGTACGTCAAGCAATCAAATGTAAACATAAAGCTTGGAACCGTTTCCAAAAATCTAGAAGTGAGTCCGACAGAGTATCCTACAATATAGCAAGAAATGAGGCAACCGATAAAGTAAGCATAGCAAAGAAGTCATTTGAACGTAAGCTGACCTCAGATATAAAATCCAATCCTAAAAGTTTTTGGAGATATGTTCAAAGTAAAAACAAATTTAGACAGGGTATTGGGGACTTGGAAAAGCCTGATGGAACCATTGCAAACGATGATGCAGATAAAGCAGAAACACTGAACTTTTTCTTTGCATCAGTCTTTACTAAGGAGGATTTATCTCTTGTACCAGCCCTTGATCTAAGGATTCGTGACAAGCAACTGGATACGGTCTGTTTTAATTATGAAAATGTCAAAAAAGCTATCATGAGATTGGACCAATCAAAATCTCCTGGACCAGACAACATTCACAATCGCATCCTGAAGGAATTAGTGGACGACATTTCCCGGCCAATTGCCCATCTTTTTAACAAATCTATGTCGAGTGGTGTGGTATGTGACTCATGGAAAGAAGCCAATGTGACTCCTATTTTTAAAAAAGGAGATAAAAGAAACCAGGAAATTATCGTCCAGTCAGTCTAACCAGTTCTCTTTCCAAATTAATGGAGACCATTGTACGTGATGAAATTGTCAAATATATGAATGAGAACTCTCTAATCACGGAGGAGCAGTACGTATTTAGAAGAAGTAGATCTTGTGCTACACAGTTGCTAAATGTTTCTGAAACCTGGACAAAGGAATTAGACAACAAGGGAAGTATTGACTGTATCTACTTGGATTACAGCAAGTCCTTTGACAGTGTCCCACATGCTAGACTTCTGAAAAAAGTAGAGGCCTACGGTATAACAGGTATCTCCCAAGTCCCTGAATGGATCATGTCTTTCCTGACTGGAAGAACTCAGCGGGTAGTCATAAACGGTACCCCATCGAGTGCATTAAAAGTTGTCAGCGGCGTAGCTCAAGGAAGCGTGCTGGGGCCGACACTGTTCTTGTTGTATGTTAATGACATTCCAGATATTATATGTAAAACTGCATCAGAAGTCAAACTATTTGCAGATGACACCAACATCTTCTCACCAATTCACTCTTCATTGGATGGCAAAAATCTACAAGCAGATCTAACAAAGCTCACAAGATGGTCCCATCAGTGGCAACTACCATTTAATCAGGAGAAGTGCAAGGTAATCCACTATGGTCGAAGAAATCCTTGTTATGATTATTCATGTCAGACGAAGATACACCTATTCCTACCGTTACAGTAGAAACAGACCTTGGGGTAACCTTTGACCAGCAATTGAAGTTTTCACGTCATGTGGATGGGGCATGTGCTGCTGCAAATCGCAAGCTAGGGATTATCAAGCGGACATTTTCTAATTTGGACAAAACGGGCTTTATACATCTATACAGATCAATTATAAGACCAAGACTCGAGTACTGTTCAACGGTGTGGCATCCTGTATTGAAAAAAGACAGCACGAAAATAGAAAAGGTACAGCGTAGAGCAACTCGCCAAATACACATGCTACGACACTTGAGTTACGAGAAGAGACTAAAACATCTTAACTTACCATCTCTTGCCTACAGACGCCATAGAGCAGACATGATACAGATATACAAAATAATGCATGGCCTAGATGAACTGGATCTAGCACACTTCTTTGACCATCCAACTGATAATAGAACCCGTGGCCATCGATACAAGATCGTTAAGAAGAAAGTCTACTCGAAGCTTAGACATGGATCATTTTCACAGAGATTTATCAATTAATGGAACAACCTCTCCTCTGTAGTTGTGGAGAGCAAGTCACTAAACAGCTTTAAATCCAATTTGTTGAAATTTTGGTCGTAAACATGTGTCAAAATATGGATTCTTCATCCGAATGTCAACGAGAGGCAAATAAGGTTTTAACTTTAAATGCCTACTTCCAAGGTATATTTCCAAGGTATATAATAGTTGAAGATAATAAAGAATTATCGTGAGCTAAACCTATTTGACTTCTTTGTCAATAATTCGTCCCTATTTTCACGAAGTGACGGTAGTGAGGAAAATCGCATACAATTTGTGTGCGGATTTTCCTGACTACCGTCACTTCGTGAAAATTTACTCGACCTCTTGATGCATTCATTTAAGACCAGGGTCCAAAACCACAGATATCAGAGATTGAGATTTCTATAAAAAAAAAGTTGCCCCTGACACCGGGCCTTGACAGAAGTGATATGGGTCATTCATACGTGGAATTAATTAATTCCCCAACATTTATTTTAAGAAAGGGAAGAAGGAAGAGGAGGAAGAGCAAAATAAGTTGATCAAGAAAAAGGAAGAGGGGGAAGAGGAGGAAGAGGAGGCGGAGGAGGAGGAGGAGGAGAATAAATTGATCAAGAAAAAGGAAGAGGGGGAAGAGGAGGAAGAGGAGGCGGAGGAGGAGGAGGAGGAGAATAAGTTGATCGAGAAAAAGGAAGAGGGGGAAGAGGAGGAAGAGGAGGAGGAGGAGGAGGAGGAGGAGAATAAGTAGAAAGGCGAGAAGGTGGAATACAAACACGAGCACATTATATCCCCATATTTATTGGCGTAGCCTAAACCATAAAGAGCCCTCTCCACGTTTTCCCTGTTACCTATCCTGAGATTCAACGGGGGCACATGCCTTATGCCCCCATATCTACGCCAGTGCTCCTAGTCCTTCTATTCCAATGCGTACATTTTCATCAGTTCCTCTTTACATATTTTTACATTACTTTTTTCTACTTGTTGAGAAATTTTGTAAATCTAAGTCAAACTTGTTATTCCGTACTCACCAAGTCAGCAAATTGGTTCATTCCGAGATCGTAGGTGAAGTGGCCCAAGTCGTATTTGAGGTTGTGTTTAATGACGATGTCGAGGTTCTTCTGCCAGATCAGTCTCCTCGACGCTTCCTCCTCATCGCTTAGATATCGCTTGCCGTGTTCGTTCTTCCACTGGTTCCAATCCTCGTCGAAGTCAGTGAACGACATCGACAGCGAGCTCACCACGCAAGCTGCCACCAGCAACACACTCAGATACTTCATCACTGCAGAGATTTAGGTTGATATGAAAATAAACGACAAACGCCTCTAAGACAATATTGCTAAATGCAAGATGAAATATAGATCCTTAATGAACTGACGTCCTTTACCAAGAGAACAGATTATTAAAATGAACACACATTTCCTTATTGCAACATTAAATTGGCTGTGACGTGTGAGAAATATGAACTAAGTGGTTTCACATTAGCCGTGCTTTTAAAAGGAAACAACAGCACAACTACCGAAACCTACGCGTACTTATTAACTGTTATGACCTGAAAGTGGTTAAAATTAAAATAAGTGATGTCCTTACCTACTTGAAAACTAGAAAGTAATTTAGAAACAATTTGCTTTTGCGGAGGAGTTACCTGTGAATAGCAGGGAACAGGCGCGTACGCAGGGGGGGGGGGGGGTGTTTGGGGGGTTAACCCCCCCTTGAGTTTGTGTAATGTGTGTATTATTTGTGTAATTTTTACCACCCCCCCCCCTTGTGTGATTTTTTTGATTTTTTTTGATTATTTCTTAATAAAAAAATAAAATATTAAAACAAATAAAAAATAAATTATGCCACTGACTAACCTAAATAAATTGACCTTACTCCCCCCTCTACGGAGCAAATAGGCAAATTTTCAAATATCGAGACCAAAAAAAAAAAAAAAGTGTCCTCTTACCTTGAATAGCATAGTCCTCAGTGGAGATAGTAAGTGATTGACAATGAAAGTTACTTTAAAAAAGTGTCCTATATAAATGAACACTCTTTAAATAAATCCAAATTAGGGGTTATTCTGTTGTGATTGAAAGAACACGTATTACACGTCGCACTGTCTGTGGGGACGTGCTCAGCCTTTTCAAGTCCAGAATTTCGTAAAGGTGAAAAAAAAGGATTTTAAAAGGCCCAACTGTTTCAACAACAATAAGAAGTAGCCGACACCATTTCATGTTCGTAAATGTTACCCTCACCTTTATTCACCTTAGGCAACCCTCTTTCTCTAACATCAGTGGCGTAGCACGAGTCTACCCATTGAGGGGCACTGGAAGGATTGGGGGGGGGGGGTGGCGACGGTATGACTTGGAAAATGAAATACGAATTTACAAGTCCGCTGATTTACAAGTTCGCTGATGAAATGTAAAAAATCTGTTCATAATTATAATACTAGAAATCCTGATAACTATTTTATTGAAAAATGTCCATCAACAAATTCCTTATTTACTTTTAGACACACTGGCCCGAAAATATGGAATTCTCTCCCCAGAGATATTCGTGATACTGCTTTCTTAAACTCTTTTAAATCTAAAATAAAAAAATACTTCATCTGTTTTTAAATCTATAATAATATTTGCATGTTAATACGTCTCCTATGTTTTGTACACTGTTTTGTTATTGTTATATTTTTTATAGCCAATTGTTGGAACTTGTATATGTATCTTTTAATAACAGGGAGCTGCCTCGACAGAACCTTATGGTTTTATTTGCAGTTTCCCCAATTCATTTCTATTGCTGATTAACTTTTTATAATTCCGATATATTTGTAGACATGTTTCCATTTTGTGTGTATTTTGTGTTTTGTGTTTTCTATATTGTATATAATCTGTATCTTATATATTTTTTTTATGGATTTGAATTGAAATAAAACTTGAACTTGAACTTGAACTTGATTTAGGGGAGGGTGCTTCAGGTAGTCTAGGTGTCTCATTCGCTCATCATATTCCTCTCCTCCAGGTTCATACCCCCACGCCTTTTTACACAAACAAAGAACACCAAAAGAAATGCTACATTTGTTTATTTGTTTTGTGTTTGCTCGCTTATTTATCTTTTAGAACACTGGAAAATAATATTTAGAACCATTTTATTTATTTATTTATTTATTCTTATATATATATATATATATGTATATTTTACTAAAGGCGTCATTAGAGGGACATTTGGAGTGAAAAATGAGTCATTAAGTAGATATTGTGATTAGGAGGACAATTGGTGTCCTCTTAACGTTTTTTACGTTTTATTTGTTGTGGAAGGCCCAATTTTGTTATATATCTCTCTCTATATATGTAATTTTACTAAAGGCGTCATTGGAAGGACATTGGGAGTGAAAAAATGAGTCATTAAGTAGACATTAAGGTTAGGGTTAGGGTTAGGGTTAGGGTTAGGTTTAGGGTTAGGTTTAGGGTTAGGGTTAGGGTTAGGGTTAGGATTTTTATGATGTCCACTTAATGTACCATGTAGGGTTATATATATATATATATATATTTATATATTTTTTTTTTGTTTTTTGGGGGGAGGGGGGGGGGTAATTTGCTTGTCAGATTACATGTACCCCTTCCTCTATGATAATCCTGGTTTCTGCTCGTGACTTTATTTCTTTGTATAATAAGTTTACAGGCAAGTAAAGCTCAAAATAATAAATATTTCATTCTTATTATTCCAAGGTTAAAGTGCTCTGCATGCGTATCTTATTCGATACAAATACCATAAATATACACCAGTCACAAGACGGTCATAAAATGCCGCATGATTTTGAAATTGATGGATTTATAGGCCTTCAGTTAAGATTTACTAAAACGTGTCAAGAATTTACTTGATTCTTATAAACTAACATGACTTGTACATGTTTATCATTTTTAAAAGCCATTGTGAAATTCACATATTAAAGTATTGAGACATTTTAAGAGAGGCATCATAATAATACACATACTCTGTTGCACATTACATTTTTAAAATACTTTTTTCAAGAAATGATTGTAACAACATGGCTTATTCTATATAGATAAAGTTAAATATCTTCTCTGAGCCTTATCGATCAATCTCTATGACTCTTTAGAATGATCAAGAAATGAGGAAATTTATGAATATTTGAAGTTATAATCAGTGAATCACAAATTGGCAACACTGTGATGTATGGAAAACCTGTTCTAACTGGTTTTGCATAAGCCATGCTTTTAAAAGGAAACAATGAAACAATTGGACATCTATCTGTAGCGAAGTAGAGATATCTCCCTTTAAACCAGGTAACCCCCACCCCCTCTCTCTCTCTCTCTCTCTCCCTCTCTCTCTCTCTTTTATTGCATCTCTCTCTCTTTTATTGCATCATCCTCTCGACTGGAGGTCAGCAAACTACAGTGAGACTATCCTCTCTCTCTCTCTCTCTCTTTCTCTTTCCCTCTCCTATTTCATCATCTTTCTTCCTACTTGAGGTCAGCGAACTACAGTGAGATAATACCTGGTCATTTTCCACTGGTCCAAAGATTCCAAGAATAGGATGTTTGTAGAGAAAGACTTTCAGTCATAACTTTTAGTATAGATAAATCGTAGACAAAGCCCATATTCAACCAGTGTTTGTGTTGACTGATTATAAACAGGCAAATAGTGGGAAACAGGCAAATAAATTATCCCTCTACAAATACCAGTTAGGGCTGGAAGACAAAACATTTGTTTTCTTGGTAAAGGAGCTGAGTCATCAAAGAAAGTAGTAGCAGGAATATCCCCAACTGACCAATGAGCATTTGTATTTTCTACTCCTTCCCCTTATTTTTACTTTTGCTCAATCAGAATGTTAGGATTAATGGTTCAGGAACACTGTTTGAGTGTCCATCAAGTATTATGCCCGCCCAGTCACCTACAGTAATAATAATGAAATAGTTAAGTTTAGGGTAAGAATATTTTGTAGGAGGAAATCTCGATATTGAGATTGTGAATATGTAATTAGGTATAAAACCCCCATCCCCTGCATGAAATCCTCACTTGGAACCCCCTCACTTGGAAACCCCACCTGGAACCTCTTCACCTGAAACCCTTCTTCTCCTAATACATCTTTAATAATCATCAGTGCTTCAAATATCCAGTATACAATCTATTTCAAGAATTGGACTTTAGAGAAGTCGAACAACAGTTTACACTTCGAGAGGTTGAGCAAGTTCTAAAATACACCTTCCATATTTTAAAGTCAACTCAATGTCAACTCCAACTCCAGTCATTTGGGAAAGTGTCTGTTCAACATTATAAAGAACTGTATCCAGTTTAGTCCAAAGTCACGTCCAGCTTCGTTCCTGTACCCGTCAAGTTCCAGTCCCGCCAAGTCACGTCCAGCTTCGTTCCTGACATATCCTGTCCAGCGTTGTTCCGCCAAGTCAAGTTTCGTCCAAGTTTGTCCCAGTCGCATCCCGTTCCAAGTCAAGTCCTCGATCGAAATATCAGCGAGCTAAGTGGCCATAATTACTAACTTCATTTCCATTAACCTATCCCTTCCCTTCCCCATTAGACTGTAACTAATTAAGTCGCCCTTTAACTCTTAAGAATACTTTGCAATTATATTTATTGCAACATTTATATATAAATTGTATTATTTTTATTATTCTGATTTGATGGATGAGATTTGTCATTAATATTAATTAAATAATTACCAAGTGACATCGTAATTTAAATCGTGTCCAAGCACTTTATTTCTGGATTTGTCTCTTTGTATTTTATATTTTAATAATATAATATCATACACTGATACAGTGGTCTATTTGAGACTAACCCCACCCCCGAGTGAAAGTCATAAAGCTAGCGGACCAATACAAAAACCTGATTTCACTCGGAGCTCGATTCTATTATTTCATCATAATAGAAGACGGCGTGGCGTGGCCGTTAGATATCCATTAAAACCCCCGTTACGCGTAATTAATAACTGTGTAATGACCTGAACGTTGTTAAAATAGTTACATTAATAATCATAATGGATTTCCTTATACCTGCATAATAGTTATAAACATACTTCTTTTCATGAAATGACTGTAACAATATGGCTTATTCTTGATCCTTTCCTATTTTTAATCATCGTTTTATTATTTTGAAGTACTCGTAGATATCTTGAGTAAATGATAAATGAGGTGATATGCTTAAGGAATGAGGAAATGCTGTTGACACAAATCACGAAGGTTATGATTTTCAGGGTTAGCGGGTTGCTATTATCTATAGATACCTGCTAATCGACGGATATTGTGTTCATTACTTTATTTTACTTAATATTTCTTGACACGTGATATACGTGATATAATATTTATATTTTGTATAACTACGATCAAATTGAAAACGTGATAGTGTAATAATGCAAAGTTTTCATACGGGTTTGGTATAAATTACAAACTCTTGTAGACTGGTTGAACAATTATTATAAAATCGTCTCGGTACATAAGCATTGATTTCACTTCAATGTGTTATAGGCCTACGTTTCAATTTGATCGTAATTGTTTACTCGAATGATCTCTGTACAGGGGTAGAAGGTGTCATCGGAATAAAACAAAAATTAAAAACAGTATATGGCCATCCATATAGTATTGCAGATTGTCTGGTATAAAACTTCTTTCCACGAAGGTAGAGGTAGATTATACCATACTTTTACGATTTCTGCCGGACGCCAAGAAGGGCGCCCTCTGGGTATGCCATATTGGGCAAATCCAAAATGGCCGCCATCTGAGTTAAAGGTCAAGCGTAATTCCAAAAGGAAAGCGCTTGTATGATAATAGTTTAAATATATAAGGGGTTTTGGGAGTCAGAGAATCTGATTATGATGTTCTTTCATCGATTTGAGGTCTCCTTGGGGCTGCCATACTGGTCATATTGGTCAATTCCAAAATGGCCACCATCTGATAGTTACAGGTCAATAGTAGTTTCAAAAGGAAAAGAGCTAAAATGATAAGAGTTTATGTATTTATGGAGTTTTCGGGGTCAGAGAATGTGAATATCATGTTCTTTTACCAATTTTAGGTCTACTTGGGGCTGTCATGCTGGTCATATTTGTCAAATCTAAAATGGCTGCCACCTTTGAGTAAAAGGTCAAGTGTAGTTCCAAAAGGAAAAGGGCTAGTATGATACAAGTTGATAAATTCATGGGGTTTCCGGGGTCGGATAATCTGATTATGATGTTCTTTTATCAATGTTATGTCACCATCCTGTCCTAAGGCTACAATGAAGTCCATTTCCTGGTTGAAGAAGATGAGGGAAGATGCACCAAATTCATACTTGAGTGGGTTTAAATCTTGGCCTGCGCCCTTATGTTTCATCAATATGGAAACTTTCCTCTGTAAAATGCATAATAAATTCGTTTTCGAGGGTTGACAATGAAAATAGATAAACAGTAGAAACAGACCATGAATAAAGAAATAAACAGTTTGTTTAAGCATTATCTTCAAAAACCCGGACAGCTTAAGCTGTATTATCCTTAAAAATAACATCTATAATCTCTCTAAGATGGAATAAAATACCAATACTAATTGCATTATGCAACGTCTAGACATAAAGGTAGAATCTCAACTTTATTTTTCTTATTCTTCTTTTACATTTCGAAGCGTTGCAAGGGATCTTAATCCAGTTTTTTCTACATACATCAATGCCCCCCAAGCATACTTTGAATCTGGTCACGCTTCGAAAAGTTCGTGGCCTAGCAATTTGCTTCTGTTGATGATCAAATAAAGAAAGCACTCTTTATATATCAGGGAGAGTGTGAAAAAAGCACACAGTAGGAGCTGTGCAATTTAAATATCCAAAAATTGAAATGAAAGGGCTATTTTACTTTCAAGAGACCTTTCATTTTATTTAAGAAATAACCTCTCTTTATATCTAAGTGACACTTTCTCTTGAGAGTCAAATAAACTCGAGAGCATCCTGTAGTTCTGAATTGGATCCGTTTATTAATTCATGATAGTGTTATTGCTATTGTCATTTGCTATTGTTAGGCCCATAATATAAAGTGAGAAGTGGACCATAGTTTTATTGGATGTCCTCGGAAATGACTTGATGTTCTTGCACGAACAGATTCTTGGCAGAAGCAATATTGAATGGCGATTACACCAGAGGGTAACTAGCTTGAGTAGCGATGCCACATTGGTTTTCCTTGTTACGAGACATCCATATGTATCCATTCATTCCCCAAGTCTCTGCCCAGCTGTGAAAGAAAGAAAGAAAGAAATCAACTGCAAACTATTAATTTATCAAAATTGTGATTGAAGTCTCCAATGACTGATAGTTGATTCAGAGAAATAAGTTTTGCCATGTAACCTTATATATAGGCTTTGTATCGCTTGAATTTCTACGAGACGGTTGTCTGATGTTTTTTAATTTATTTTCGTAGTTGTTAATAATCACCGATGATCATGATTAGAATATGAATTCCATTAGTTGACATGCCTCTCCTCGTGGTATATATTAGCCTACAGCTAAAAGGTCATCAAAGGACACATCATGAAACTTGCTATGAAAGCACATTTACGCCATTTAATACAAAAGTACAGGATACAGTTTAAAGTCAGTCTTCTCAAAAGACTAGCAAGCAATTAGGGGACATTCCTACATGATTCAAGTGAAAACCCTCATTATATGCAAATCAACTAGATTTAAAGGTTAAAGGTACTATGTCCCATTTGCAGGCCAAAAAAATGAAAAAGTTAAATTCCAACTGCATTTCAAAGATAATACTAATTTAGAACTTCCCTAAAAAAGGTGGGGCTTGAAAATGTCTTCACGTGGGAAAATAACGACTATTAGTTGTCAAATCGACTTTAGGGCTATAGAGCCCAAAAGTAATAGTCTTGATTTTCAGACAATTGTACCGAATGGTCATACGTTTTATGCTACGCAAAGATTCAATCAGTTTAATCTTGGCCATCACAAGAAGTGGGTTATTGATGTAGACAAATGCTCATGTACCCTTTACAACTCTTTTCATGTCTGTTATTACCAAAGAAGAAAAAAAGCCAGTCAGTCACTCAATAGTGTCTAGCGAAGTCTAGCAATTAAACGGGTTTCCTTGCATAATTTGAATATGAGGACACTGCTAACGTTTAAATTTCACAGATAGGACGTACATGACATATTCATAATTCCTGCAAATTTCTACAGAATTTGAGGTTGGCTGCAAAAGGGACATAGTACCTTTAAAGCACGATGATAGAGGTCATGAAGTGAAACATGAAAAATGTACTCTTTACAAAGGTAGGCCTACATAATGTGGTATAAGGTAGTTATTTTCAAAAAAAGACATGAAGGCAATTTGGGGATAGGCCTACGCGATTTATATAGGCTATATACCCTCATGATACTTACAACAAGAAAGGTTAAAAAGTCAAACCCTAACGGATTTTATAAAGTTTCCAAACAAATTTCACAAAGTGCTCAAACTGACCTGTTCTTGACAATCCAGTAATCGGTTCCATCAATGGTGGTTCCATAGCCGACTGCGAGAACACCATGGTCCAACAAGGTAGAGCTGCAACCGGGCTCGTTGTACACTCCTGTAAAAAAAAAAAAAAAAAAAAAAAAAGATGTCTTCATTGAATTGTTTTATTTTGTAGACACGCATTTCATTCATTCTTTTATAAAAGCAGTGGTGTGTCGCTGAGGTTTCACCCAAGCTGCCCCTCTCAAATGCATAGGATAATAAGAAAGAGAGATAGAGAAATAAGAGATAGAGAAATATATATCATATGTACCTAACTTCAGGATTGTGATTTTGGTATTTTCAATCATGACCCTCTTCACCCTGCTTCCAAAAAAATTGTTAACTTTCCCTAAGAAAATGCTTTCCGAAACTTTCTTAATAGAGGACATGTTCGTCTTTCACAATAGACAAACATTGTTTAGATAGAGTTTATCTACCAAGAGTGTAATACCTCGTTTTACACAGACAAGATTAATTCCAGACCAACACTGGTGTTACTGAAGTAATATACGGCTCTGTTTCCATCTTAGGGGGGGGGGGGGTTCAAAGAGTTTGTTTCACTAGCTTTGAGCCCGATCTGTATGGCTATCATTGGTGTATATTCTGGCGATATCCTTACCAGACTGGTAAAGCTGGAAGGAAAAATGGCTCGCGTCAATGGCGACCGAGATAGGACCAATGTGGGCTACAGCCTTCTGCAGTGCCTTCTCAGAACCAGAGGTGACGTCAGTATAACCTGTGACGGTAGCGCCTACGTTAGCCGTCTTGAAGTGGCAATTGCCATCCTGGAGATAGAGGAGAAATGGCACAACGTAAATTTGGTATTTTCTATCCTCCCGATAGGATGAAGACCAACAGACCGAAGATCCACGAAACCATTTGTCCAGTAGACCAATACATTCATCGCTGGGAACTATAAGGCCGTATGCCTATTTTCAAAAGATCTATGAAACAAAATCCTTCCGTCTTAGGATTATTTTTTACTAGGATTTCGATCACGCGTGAACCTCTTACTAGAAGATCCTTGAGGTTGAAGCCGTCGGTATAGTGAACCTGCGACTGCTTCTGACTAAAGACGGGTTTTCTAGCTTCAACCAATCCGGTGGTCCCCCGTATTATCCCGCCCTCCCTCACTTCGGGAACGGAGGGACCACATGCGTGTTCCCAAAATCTCCGGCTCGTAACAAAGAAAAAGTTCTGCCCGTATTGACTTTACACACCGGAATTTTGCTGAAAGGGGGGGGGGGGTTGGGGTGCTGAAAAGGCTCGTATAACAAAGAAAAAAGATCTACCCGTATTGACTTTACACACGGAACTTATGCTGAATGCGTACCTTAAATAACACTGAGTGGGGGCCGGGCGTATTATAAAGATTTGTATTTTCAATCCTTCTACTATTTGATTATGCACTGATCTTCGAATTGTTGGGGCTTGATTTTAATCCTAATTTTTATTCAGACTGGCTCTTGAACAATTAACTTTGATCATGATTGGGTAATACTGCAGACATAACAGTCAAACAATTGTTAGTACACTCACCATTGCTATGTAGGGGTAGCTTTCCTCTGTATCAATACCTCCTGCATCAATGATGTACTGGAAGGCTCGGTCCATAAGACCTCCGTTACACCCGTAATTCTTGTCGGAGCAGTCGACCAGGTTCTGTTCACTCAGGCTCACCAGCTTACCCGTCTTCTTAAAGTGCTGTCCCTCCAGAGATCCTGTGGCACTGAACGCCCAGCATGAACCACATTGTCCCTTGAAAGAAGAGATATTATAAGCCCCGAAATGACAATTTGAATAAAAGAAAAGATTGTTGCCCTATCCCCGTGTTAACGTGAAAACGTCGATTTGGATTCGTCTTCCGATGTGTAAAAATGAGATAATAAGATGTCAATGAGGCTGTTCACACCGCAATAAGATCGTAGCCCCCCTTTTTTTCTAGCGCGCGCTAGACCGCGCTCTCTCTCGTGGACCACCCCCAAGAGGTGCTCCAGTGGCACGCCGCTTTGGCGCGCCGTGGCTCGCTGTTTGGCGGACCGAAACGACGTTGTACCTTCCACACCGCAGAGATAGCGCGGTCTAGCGCGCTATCTCTGCCGGTGTGAACAGCCTCAATGTATCGTTTAATTTTTTCGAATGATTAATGTTTACCTCGGGGACACAAAACGTTCTTGGGACGTAACCAGGCACGTACACAGCCGGGGGGGGGGGGGTTAACCCCCCTTCTTTTGGTATTTTTTGTGTAAACCCCCCCCCCCCCCCCATAAGCCCCCTAAACCCCCCCCCCTTAGATTTTTTTTTTTTTTTTTTTTTTAATAAAAAAAAAAATATATATCCCCATGGCTGTCCTAAAAAAGCTGACCTTACTCCCCCCAACGGAGCAAAATGTCAATTTTTCAAATTTCGAGACCCCCCCCCCCCCCCGCTTATTCAGCGGCTGGCTGAGTCGTTGCGAAATTTTCGGCCCGATTTATAAATGTTAAACCCCCCCCCCCCCCCCCTTGAAAAAATCCTGCGTACGCGCCTGGACGTAACAAAATAGTTATGATAATTGGGTCTTATTTGCCTAGGTTAGCCACATCTGTACTGCTCTTCTACCGTGCAATGAAATTATTACCCGAGCTATTGCCAGGTACCCATTTACACCTGGGTAAAAAGTGATACGTGTACAATCTTGCCAAAGGACATTAGTGCAAGGCTTGGATTCGAACTCTCAAATCTTAGATTAAGAGTCCAGTAAATGAACCACTATACCACGACATGTTCTATTATCATTTTAAAGTCCATATGACGTTTTAGTAGCTACATGTACCTGGTCCTTGACAGGAGTTACGTAACCCTTAGTGCGCCAATCGACGGTCTTTGGGAGTTTGCCGACGTTGTTTGGTGGGAGGAAGGTGGATCCTTTAGCCGCCTTTGATGTGCCATTCACTCGGAAACCAGTCATCATGGCGACGAACTCTTTATTTTGCTGTAAAGTAAACATGCATTTGTAAGTTATTTAGCACTTTTCTAGTTTCTGATGAAACAATATCAAGGTAGAATGCATCGAATCATAAACTGTTTCCATTTTAAATCATTTTTTGTTGTTCTTGTTTGTATTATTAGTCTCATCGTTTTGATGAATAACACTGATTTTGATGATACAGTTATCAAAATAATTAGCGTACTTTGTATTATCAACGCTCATGTTTAATATTAACTTTTTGGGGGAGGGTGGGGTATTATTAGCCCTATACTGAATATTGATTGATTATGATATTACATCGCTAATTAGTCATGGTATCATTATCTATTTTTCCATTGTGTGTTTACAGAAATAAAAATAAAATTAACATGTGGATCGGGGGGGGGGGGGTAGGGTTCCAAAGAAAATATCTTTTCATTAAAAAAAAAATCAATTATTGTTGTATTTTTTTTAACGTTCATGGGAGGTCAATATTTTTAAAACGCAATGAATCACATCTCAAGATTCTTTTTTCACTGAGCCTTTTGAGATGAATGAGAGAAAAAAAATTGTTTTTATATAAAAGTAATTATCTCGAGAAGAACTAAACTATAATAATGTTTGTTGTAGTCACATGGACTTGGTGCTGTCACGCCCTCTTGGCACCAATTCAATTTCATAAAATTTCACACGTCTCTCGGTATATACGTTTAAAGAATCTATTATTATTTCACAAGATTTAAGGTTCTATTTACGAAGTTCAGGTTCTATTACCCATACTTATTTATCAACAAGTTTACGAATAGTTGAAGATAAAAAAAGAATTCTCGTGAGCTAAGCCTATTTGACTTCTTTGTCAATAATTCGTCCCTATTTTCACGAATTGACGGTAGTGAGGAAAATCGCACACAATTCGCGTTCGGATTTTCCTCACTACCGTCACTTCGTGAACATTTACTCAACCTCGCGATGCATTTATTTATGATCAGGGTCCAAAACCACAGATATCAGAGATCACGAGATTTCTATAAAAAATCGCCCTTGACACCGGGCTTTGACAGAAGTGATATGGGTCATTCATAGGTGGAATTAATTAATTCCCCAACATTTATTTAAAGAAAGGGAAGAAGGAAGAGGAGGAAGAGCAAAATAAGTTGATCAAGAAAAAGGAAGAGGGGAAGAGGAGGAAGAGGAGGCGGAGGGGGAGGAGGAGGAGAATAAGTAGAAAGGCGAGAAGATGGAATACAAACACAAGCACATTATATCCCCATATTTATTGGCGTAGCCTAAACCATAAAGAGCCCTCTCCACGTTTTCCCTGTTACCTATCCTGAGATTCAACGGGGGCACATTGCTTTATGCCCCCATATCTACGCCAATGCTCCTAGTCCTTCTATTCCAATGCGTACATTTTCATCAGTTCCTCTTTACATATTTTTACATTACTTTTTTCTACTTGTTGAGAAATTTTGTAAATCTGAGTCAAACTTGTTATTCCGTACTCACCAAGTCAGCGAATTGGTTCATTCCGAGATCGTAGGTGAAGTGGCCCAAGTCGTATTTGAGGTTGTGTCTAATGACGATGTCGAGGTTCTTCTGCCAGATCAGTCTCCTCGACGCTTCCTCCTCATCGCTTAGATATCGCTTGCCGTGTTCGTTCTTCCACTCTTTCCAATCCTCGTCGAAGTCAGTGAACGACATCGACAGCGAGCTCACCACGCAAACTGCCACCAGCAACACACTCAGATACTTCATGACTGCAGAGATTTAGGTTGCTATGAAAATAAACGACAAACGCCTCTAAGACAATTGCTGCTTGTAAGATGAAATGTAGATCCTTAATGAACTGACGTCCTTTTATACCAAGAGAACAGATTATTAAAATGAACACACATTTCCTTATTGCAACATTAAAGTGGCTGTGACGTGTGAGAAATATGAACTAAGTGGTTTCACATTAGCCGTGCTTTTAAAAGGAAACAACAGCACAACCACCAAAAGCTACGCGTACTTATTAACTGTTAAATGACCTGAAAGTTGTTAAAATTAAAATAAGTGATGTCCTTACCTACTTGAAAACTAGAAAGCAATTTACTTATTTAGAAACAATTTGCTTTTGCCGAGTAGTTACTTGTGAATAGCAGGGTATGTCACAAGTTATACAGGTTTTTTTTTTTTTTATTTATTAACATTTATTTCCTTCTCAACAGTACAATATGAAACACAATGTATATATATACATGATATAATTATGTAATGTAACAATTATTTCAACATAGAGTATACAGTCAATAATTCAGATACGAAAGGAGGCGAAAACCCGGAAAGCATAGCTTGAGTTGGGAACGCCCATAATAAATTAACACAGTTACCGAGAGAACATTATAGATATTATTATGAAAATTATATTTTATATAACAGAAAGTTGATAGAAAGAACAAAAATAGTAAATGGAATAGAGAGAAGAAAAAAAAATGAGGAGAGAATTAAGTATAGGAAGGCATGTTCACTTATACAGAGAAAATTACTTCAATAAGCCAGTTCACGGTTGCAGTCTGAGCATGAGCAGATAAAGGTCATTGCAGAACAAATTTTGAAATACACGGAGACGAAATACTGGATACGTGTTCATGAAAGTTATGTAACATTATTCATTCATGCACATTCAGTGCCATCCATGATACACAGGTGGAAGTATTCTTTGAAAAGGGGAAACAAAGGCTATTTATATAGCACCTCCATCGCTGTAGGAGTGATTATTTCAAAATGTAAAAAGTGGGACCTCTTCATGTTTTTAAGATCTGTGGATATTCGGGGTCATTGCAGTAATGTGCTAACCGTGAACTGGTCTATTAGGCTGTGCATGTGTCTGTGATTACATCATAGAAATAACGAAGTACTACAATTTTAAAATAGACAGCGGGTACATATCATTAAAAAAAAGCAAAATCATCAAACAGACAAACAGCTTTATCCGACAGCATTGTCCTGGGAATATACATATGGTATTAGCAACAGCTGAGGCATGTACGTAAGTGATCAAAATACAAACATGTCATTTAATTCCACAAGAGGTCATTTCACACATAAATACAAGAGAGGGTATCAATATCGAGCAATTAAATACATTTTTGCCTTACGGGAAAAAGTCTGTAAGGAGAGCGATTTTTGTAGAATAGATGGTAAGGTGTTCCAAAATTTTGGCCCAGAGTATCGAATGTCAAACTGAAATCTTCGGGTTCTATTTTTAGGGAGATGAATGTTGGCAGCGCTTCTCGTATTATACGTATGGGTTTCCGAGTTGCATTGAAAATTGATAAAATCACTAAATTGTGATGGAAAGATGTTATTCAAGCTTTTATACATGAAAATACCCTGTTGGTGCAAGTTGATATCACTGAATCTCAAGAAAATGATTTGTTTAAAGATGGGACCAGAATGGGAACGATAGTGCATTCCGGATATTATACGAATAATCTTCTTCTGCAATAGTGTATGCTTTTGTATTTTCTACTTGCAGGAATTTTCCCAAACAAGATTACAGTAAGAAAAGTATGGAAGTATAAAAGCACAATATAACATACGTAGAATGTGATTGGGCAAGAGATGTTTGAGTCTGGATATAATGCCAATGTTTTTGGACACCTCACTTTCAACTTCGTGAATATGGTATTTCCAAGACAAGGAACTATCTAAATAAACGCCAAGAAATTTGACTTTATCTACCCTTGGCAATATGACATTATCAAGAACAATATTGAAATCATTTAAATCTGCATTCTTTCCATTGTGAAAAATCATATAATTACATTTCTTTACATTTACAGATAATTTATTAGATTTGAACCATTCACATTATATGCAAGACCTGCATTTACTGTATCCATAAGAGACTTCAAGTTTGAATCTCTGTGAAATATGTTTGTGTCGTCTGCATACAGTATAAAAGACAATTCATTAGCAGATTTATGAATATCATTCACATATAATATAAATAACAATGGCCAAGCAGGCTACCCTGTGGAATTCCGCATGTATTGTCCTAAACTCCGAAATAGAAGATTGATATTTGGTACATTGAAATCGATTGTTAAGATAGCTGGTGAACCATTTAAGAGCTACACCACGTATTCCATAACGATATAGTTTAGATAGTAAAATATTGTGATCAATTGTGTCAAATGCTTTAGACAGATCTATAAAAACTCCAATTGCAAGTTCATTTGCCTCAAAGGCGTCTATGACTTTACTAGAAAGACTGGTAAGAGCCATACATGTTGAATAATCCCTACGGAAACCATATTGATGTTTATTGAGAATAGAATGTTTGCGAGAGTTACATGCCCAATCTAGATCACCAAGCAAACACAAAAGCCCAACAAAATATGATGTCTGGCTTCAAAAAGGTACCTATGTTGTTGTTGAGAACTATGTAAATGATGTTTCCCCTGTGATTTGCGTCATGTCGTAGATTTTCTGAGCATAAGAGAAAAAATGGGAGGCATGACAAAGCTTTTTAGAATTTGTGTACGCATTTTTTGAGTGTTTTCTACATAATGTCTTGCCATTAATGAGTGGCGATATAAGTGATTGACAATAAATTACCAATTACTGTTAAAAAGTGTCGTATATAAATGAATACTCTTTAAATAAATCAAAATTAGGGGGTAATTTTGTTGTGATAGAATGAACACGTCTAACACGTCGCACTGTCTGTGGGGACGTGCTCAGCCTTTGCAAGTCCTGATTTTCGGAAAGGTGAAAGAAAAAGGATTTTAAAAGGCCCAAATGTTTCAACAACAATAAGAACTAGAAAATTTAATTCGTCATGGGGACGAATTAGGTGGTCTGTCTTCACTTATGATAGATTTGAGAATGGGAGAAGTTATATAGACAAGTAAACAATGATGATCATGATGACCATGATAATGATCATGATAGTAAAGGTGATGATGATGATGATGATAATGATAATGTTATATGATGATAAAAACAATAATGTTCATGAGCATGATCCTGACATCTGATTGAAAAAAGAGGAAATATTTAGATATCATATAGTCTCAGCTGCAACATAAAATTTGGGAGAGAACTGTTGAATAACAACCGAGATACTGGTCAAAACACATTGTCATTCAGATTCATGTTTTGAAAAAAGTGACCTCCCATAGACATAACACGCAAATATGACAAATTATGCATTGTCGCCTTTAATTGAATATTTAACTATGATGACGTCATCCAAATGAAAAATAAATGGCATATTTCTGATAGAGAATTATCTCAGCTACAATATATCAAAATCTGGGAGAAAATCGATCACTGTTAAGTGAGATAATCTTAATTAAACAAAGACAAAAATGACGTCATCAACAAAATACATTTTTTTGAGTTTAGATGCCAATATGATGACTTTGTTTCACTTTGTACGAGTCAGGGTGGTATGAAATCATATTTCTAACTCATGCTCTTTCCAACCATGATATAAAAATTTGGGGTCGAGGGACTATCTGAAGAGCTATTTCGATTTTTAAAATGACATGTCTTTAATCAAATTTACATTATATTGCCCATAGCAGCCCGCGTAGATTTTGAACTTTGACGCGCGCTCAGGGCCTTATGAAATTAATGGAAATTTTCAATTACGGTAAGAAGAATCAAAATCATGTAAACATTTTGAATTTGACCTTTTCCGCGCGCTGTGAGCGCGCACAACGCGCGCGGGGACACGTACGGACGGAAAATTTCGAAATGCTTAAAATGACCTTATTCGTACTCTCAGTTAATAGATAAGTGATTTTGAGCATTCTTAAATTTTGACGCACGCGTACGCGTGCGTCATGACCTTTACGTGACCTTTGATGACATGACCTATTGACCCTTGACCTGATCAAGTATATGTGATATGAATATGAATGACCTTTGCTGATGCATCATGAAGATATGATGGATAATGTGATTTCACAAAATGGCGCCTGTATGACGTCACGATGACCTGATGACCTTGAAAATATTCCTGTCACGTCTTATGGCAATGACCTATGACTGTGCCAAAATGGAACGAAATTGACCAAACTGATCTTGAGTTATCCTGTCCACAAAAAAGTGAAGAAATAAAGAAAGAAAATTCTGACGAAAACAATAGGTGATCTGTTGACAACAGACCACCTAATTAGCCGACACCATTTCATGTTTGTAGATGTTCCCCTCACCTTTATTCACCAAGAGAGGCAACCCTCTTTCTCTAACATCAGTGGCGTAGCATAAGTCTACCCATTGAGGGGCACTGGAAGGATTGGGGGGGGGGGGGTGGCGACGGTATGACTTGGAAAATGAAATACAAATTTACAGGTCCACTGATTTAGGGGAGAATGCTTTAGGTGGTCTAGACTCTATGGCCCGAATTCTCAAAGGAGGGTTGTCGACAAACCTTGGTTTCCTTACGTCATATGACGCGTTTTTACGCGTTTTTTTTTTACAAACCTGGTTTGTTAAAAACAAAAGGAGGTTTGACGAAACAAAGGGAGTTTTGTCGACAAACCAGTGAATTCGGACCTATGTGTCTCATTTGCTCATCCTTTTCCTCTTCTCCAGGCCCATAACCCCACGCCTTTTTATGAAATGACTGTAACAATATGGCTTATTCTTGATCCTCTCCTATTTTACTCATTGTTTTATTATCTTGAAGTACTCATAGATATCTTGAGTAAATAATAAATGAGGTGATATGCTTAAGTGTTTCTATAAATTGAGGAATGAGGAAATTGTTGACGCAAACCACGAGGGTTATGATTGTCCGGGTTGCTATTACAAATAGATACCTGCTAATCGATAAACATTGTGTTGATTACTTTATTTTACTTATTATTTCTTGACACGTGATAAAATATATATATTTTGTATAACTATGATCAAATTGAAAACGTGATACTGTAATAATGCAAATTATTTCATACGGGTTGGGTATTAATTACAAACTCTTATAGATTGATTGAAAATTTATTTTAAAATCGTCTCAGTACAGCATCGATTTCATTTTTGAATGTGTTGATAGGCATACGTATCATTTTGATCGCAATTATTTACTCGGATGATCTCTGTACTATTGTAGAAGGTGTCATTGAAACAAAGTATGGCCATGCAAAGTATTGCATAGCATATTGTCTGGTATAAAACTACTTTCCACAAAGGCCGTTTTGTAGCGTCTCCCGTTGTTTTGCTCTACCATAATTATGTAGCTATTTCATCTGTCTCAGAATATATTCTATGATTAATATAGACGTATTGAAGATATGTGGTAATCTTACACTCTTAGCGGAAATATAGTCATCGATATATTGAAGCAGTTCAAGAATCGAGGGCGTGACTGAAATCAATCGTTTATAGGTATATGATAGTCTGTTGACATAAGATTACGAGACATTAAATAGTTTGCTGTATTATTTCATATATAATTGATTAGCGTTTATTGATATTCTTGGCGAGAGAGATAAGAATATTTGTCTTAATCTGTGTTGTTGCGACATTTTCATTTGTATGATTCCTCTCTCTCACTCCTCTTTCTCATCTTCCTTCCTCTTTCGTCGTTGAAATTATCTCGTACATCTATGTGCCATTCCCCTCATTCCCCTGAACTCTCTTTCTCTTTATCACCTCATTATCTGTTTAAAGGTATCAGACATGATTAGCATTTTATGCTATTTTCTGGTCCCTATTATATATTCGAGATATTTGTTAAAAATTATAACTCAACTAATACATCTACGCGATGTTTCTGTCCCCTATATACGTACCCCACTCTTCTCTCTCTGTCTCTGTCTCTGTCTCTGTCTCTCCCTCTCTCTCTCTCTCTCTCTCTCTTCCTCCAAGCAATTTCTATTTTCCTTTCTCTCTTCTTCTTTCTTTTCTGTTGTGAGTCACTTCTTTTTTGGTCATTCCTGCTTTCCCTATGTCCATGATGTCAGTCTCTTTTTTTCTGTCTCTCCTGCCATCAGCTTCATACTGCCCACCCCTCTCTCTCTCTCTCTCTGTCTCTCTCTCTCTATTTCACTTTCCATATAAACTTCCCTTTTCCTAAGTTTAAGGGATACCCTTTTTGATAGAAACACCACTTTGAAAGACAGCAATGTTTATGTTATCTATAAATTGCTTTAATTTGCGAAACTTGCAATTGTACAAAATATAATCACATGATAGTACTTTTAAATGCGAAATATGAATTCAGGTATAAAATGAGTAGAGCATACTCTACATCAATCTTATGTACACAGTCATAATTAATGCAAACCAATGCATAATGGCCCGTTTCCTTGGAGATGTAATTCTTGTCAATTCTTTTCTAAATATGGCAATAAATTTATTCAACAAAGCACTCTCATATTCGGTAAACATATTTATAGAATGGTAAAAATAACATCATCCTAAACGTATTAAGATATTATATTTTGATCAATTGAACATTACTATCACTCGGCGCACCATGTTGAAAGCATATTCCTTTATAAATGAATCAGTATCGTTGATCAATTCTATATTTTAACGAAATGTTATTCCTCTTTTTTTATTAAACGGTGGCGTAGCTATAACTTAAGAGGGAATGAAACTTGCCTCTAATTGAATGGCAAAAGAAATCAAATTGATAGAGTACAAAGGAAAGAGACAGGCAGAGAAAGGCAAGAAGAAAGGGAGATAGGGTGAGAGAGAGAGAGAGAAAGAGAGAAAGAAAGAGAGAAAGAAAGAGAGAGAGAAAGAGAGAGAGAGAGAGAGAGAGAGAGAGAGAGAGAGAATCTGTGGGGTGGATGAGAGACGGGAAAGGGACAAATGAACGTGAAAAAAAGAAATGAAACGACACACCCGAGACTTTTACATTTTGTCCAACTAATGCGTCAGCCCCCTCCTCCTCCTCATCCAAACTAGACCCCCCCCCCCCCCCTCGCCATCATTTGGCTTCATAGGAAGAGCATATCAGTGTTTAAACCAATGGGTAGGTGGCATTGGTGGCGATACCACATTGGTTTTGTTTGTCACGTGACATCCAGATGTATCCTTCCTGACCCCAGGTTGTTCCCCAGCTGCGGTACAAAAACACACAAGGAAACAAGAAAATGTGAATGACTGAAAGAGAATGAGGCAGCTAAGAACTGAGATCACAGTATATATTGTGCGGTTTAGTTAATATAATTTCTTTAGGTGCTACTACTATTTTTAGATATTTTAGAAAATGCTCTGTTTCTAGGATGAATGACAATCACGGGAAGCAACAAATAAATATATTTTTGTCGAACATTAAAAAAAACCTTCCTTCACTCATATCAAAATTTCATTTCCTGGAATAAGCACGATATGTAACAAACTGCACCATCGCTAGCGACCATTTGTATGTAGTAATTAAGCTTACTTGACTTCAATGGACATATTAGGAGATATTTATGATGCCAAGAAAAGGACTCAAATCGTAAACACTTCGCGTTCGACTATTCAAACTTTATTTTACGAGCATCATCAAATTAACGTTTGAGGTACTGTAGGCCTACGTGCATTGGTAAGCTTTGTGTCGATTGAAATTGAATATTCAGTTCGGAGTCTTCTCGGAGTCGTTTCCATGGTATTTCACGTCAGATTTCTCTATTTAAACATTAGATTGAATGGGAGAAATTGTGAATAAATATACCTGTTCTTCACGATATAGTACTTGTCACCATCTGCTGTAGAATCGTATCCAACGGCCGTGACACAATGGTCGAGAGCAGTGCTTGAACAGTCTGGCTCATCATATACACCTGATGGAGATAAAAAAATTGGAGGACATGAATAATGATCAATATTTCAAAATTAGTATTCAGTTTTTCTTTGAATTAAACAACTTTACGTATTTCTACATAACTATTAATAATAACAATAGTGAACTTTTATAATGCGCCATGTCGGTCAAAAATGACTCTCCTTAAAAAATCTGCACAGCTCTTTGTTTTTATTCCCCACTCAGGGCTTCACAATTTGAATTAAAAGAGCAAATGAACAACTTTTTTTAAAGTGGTTAATTAAACGTGATTTGGTTCGGGCACGTCCCCCCGCAAGAGAATTCTGAAAATAATTGAAATGTAAAGAATGACTTTTATAACTATGATTATCATTATTTTTTTCAAATATTTTTTTAATTGCAAGTTGAAAAAAAAAAAAATTATCTGGGGAATTCGGTTATCACCGCGTGATGGAAGTGTAGTATAGTGACATCGTACAAACAGTTAATGCAAAATGAATAATGAGAACAATTCTTTTGATAACTGGAGAATGAGCTATTGCTTTCACAGGCTTAATTAGTGCAGGTCGGTGGCGTACGCAGGATTTTTTCAAGGAGGGGGTTTTAACATTTTGAGATCGGGCCGAAAATTTCGCAACGACTCAGCCAGCCGCTGAATAAGCGGAGGGGGGGGGGGGGGGTAAGAGGACACTATCTTTTTTTTTTGGTCTCGAAAATTGAAAATTGGACATTTTTCTTCATTGGGGGGGGGGGGGGGTAAGGTCACCTTTAAAACAACAAAGGGGGGGGGGGGGTTAAGGGGTTTTTCTTAAAAACTACACTCATAAAAATACCAAAGGAGGGGGGGGGGGTTAACCCACAAAGCCCCCCCCCCCCCCTGCGTACGCGCCTGGTGCAGGTAATAACGTTAACAAAATGGCGCCTAGTGGGCATCAAACATTACAAAAACTGAGCACATGCAGCTGGGATGTGTACCTGACTCGTATAGTTGGAAGGATGGTTGGGTAGCATCAATACAGACGGAGATGGGACCGACCTGGGCAAGAGCTTTCTCAAGAGCCTTCTCGCTATCGGCCTCGACTTCCGCGAAACCAGTAATGGTCGCACCAACGTCGGACGTTCTGTAATGGCAGCTATCATCCTAATACCAAAAACATAGAAATTTCTCTATATTAAAATGACACACAATAATTAATAACGTCTTCGTAATTAATTGAGAAAAATTGTATTGTTCTCTACACCGATAATGCCACTGAGAGGTAGAAATTCTTATGAAAACGTATGCTGATTCTACTAGTTGGTTTAAGTGGATGACTTATCAAAAGACCGATCGATTGGTTTTTAAATCAATATTGGTTGTTCAGTTGGTAGATCGATGGATCGGTTGACTGATTAATTGATTGTTTATCGCAATCATGTTCTCTGGTAATTTCGATTCTATATCAGCAGGAACATCATACGTACCACTCCTTCGTAAGGGTATCCAACTTCTGTGTCGATTCCGCCATTACTCTTGATGTACTCGTCTGCCCAGGCAGGCCAGCCACCGTTGCAACCATCATTACCCTCTGCTTGAGAACAGTCCACCAGGTTCTGCTCGCTCAAGCTCACCAGTGTACCCGTCTTGACGAAGTGTTGGCCTTCCAAGGCGCCCACGGTGCTGAAGGCCCAACATGATCCACATTGACCCTGTATTGAATGAAATCATATTGATTATATATACGCCATATGGTTACACAGACGAGACCGATATGAGACCGACACAAGACCGGCAACAGACGGAACGGAAAATAATATTACCACGAATATGTCAGAATAGGTCCGATTAGAATTGAAGTGAGAGAGATACTAGACTATTGCACAAAAACCCTGGATCCAAAGACCAAGATCAAGGTGAATTTTGTTTGAAGACGTTTATGTTGTGCTCGGTTTCGAGGTCGAGACCAAAGCCGAGATATCGACAAGCATGAGACAGAGAATGGTCTCGTTATCATGCTTACAACTGTAACAATAAGAAGGCAACATGCCATAAATCCTGTTCATATTTCAAACGTCCAAATAGACATTTTCTTGAAATCAACTAATATGATGTAACTAAACAGGAAGAGGAAAACCTAAGGCAATTTTAATCGTGACAAGGGATCTTATTTCCTCCAGACCTTTAGATTGTGAAACTAGTGAAAGCAGGATAGTATTTCATAGAGACCCATAATTCTTATTACATGTATTGAAGCGGGAACCAACAATCAGTTGGTAGAGCAGCGGTCTCGTAATCCGGCGACCCGGGTTCGAAGCCAAGGCGATGCGCTAATGCCCTTTGGTAAGGCATTAATCCCCATTACCAGGTCTTTCGGAGAGGACATAAAGCCGTCGGTCCTCTGGTTGCTTACTACCAAGCGCAGTCAGGTAAAATAACCACCACTACTCACACAAACAACCGAAATCCATTTTACTGTACCTGATCCTTGACTGGTGTGACGTATCCTTCGGTCCTCCAATCCACAGAGTCTGGAAGCTGAAGGAACTCGGAGGGCAGGAAGGTGGATCCTTGACCAACCTTTGGCACTCCACTCATCTTCTTCATGGTCCTAGTGGCTACAAACTCAGCATTGGTCTGCGATAGAAAGGGTCAAGAATTTAGCGATTCAGCATAAGGTGGTAAATGGTGGATTTTGATGAATTCATTTAAGCAAGACTGAGTAAAGGAATCATGTTAAATATTTGACCGCAAAGTTAAAAGTCTTGAAGATATGAATCCAAATTGCAAATGGATCTGTATAATATGCACATTTATTATTAGAATCCTCAAAATACCGAGCTTATATCCCACTCTTATAAATCCGATATATGTGGTATGCAAGACTTACAAAATAAAGTTATTTACATAATTGACAATGTAAACTATGTATACCTGTGTGGTGGCTATCGTTTCTATGGATTTGTTTTCTTCTATTTAATAATAATAATAGTAATAAAAATGGTGCTTATAAAGCGTTAACCACCGAAGTCTCTAAGCGCATGGTGATGGGGGGGGGGGGGGGGGGGAGGGGTGGGAGGGGAAATATGAATGCAAGATAGTTCATATTTACCATGTCTCCGAACTCGTTCATACCAAGACGGTAGGTCGTCTTGCCCTGACTGTGCTCGAGGTTGTGCTTGGTGATAATCCTGAGGTTATCCTCCCAGATCATTCTCCTCTCCATCTCCTCGCCCATGGCGCTGTACTCCTTGCCATGGTAGTCCACCCATTCCTTCCATTCCTCATCAAAGTCACGTGATGGGAGTCTGGTAGCGAGGGCGCCAGCCACGGACAGTAACACGATGATGAAAGTCTTCATCGTCTTTTCAAAAAGAGCTGTGAAAAACGGGACAAGTTATTAGAAAAATATAATTGTTCATGTTCAAAACCTAGTAAACTCAACATGAGGTGAAAGAACCGAAAATTCTAAAGATGATGATGATTTTAATTGTGATGAGACAACCATGTAAAGCGTCCAAATAATTATGATGAAAATTGAACACGATGGACAGAAAGGCAATATAATAATATGTAGCGCTCATAAAATGAAATTGCAATTATAAAAACATTCATGAACTAATTTCCAATTCCGATGTGGATGTCCATTAGTCCTAGGTTTTTAAAGTGATCCTCTTTCTGGGGTGAAAACGGCGCGGTTTATAAGAAGTATGCAAACACAGACTATAATTTGACACTTTACTACAATTACTAAAGCCTTTAGCAGAGCCTTGATCTGTCAGTTTATGGCTGCCTCCTAATTGTCTGGAGCAGCTCTAGTACAGAAGCTAGTGTAGTCTAATTTCACAGACGCTGTTATGCTCACGACTGACAAGGGTTTGTGTCCACAAACTAGTTTATAATATGCTTTACCTTGGGATTTTTATTTTTTACAGATTCAAAGGTCAAAGAGCAAGCATGTGAGAGGACAGGAGGATCATCTGAATAAAATGTCAGTAGGTATCGCGATCGGCTGTAGCACAGAATACGGAACACGGAATACAGTAAATACTACATGTCCTTTATTGGCAGAATATTATAGAGCTTGTATTACTCCATACACGATGGACTTTGAGCCTGAATCTAGAATTTGATAGACAGAATGTTATTCTTTGTTGAAAATTCACGACTTTGTTACATCCGTTGTAAACTCCTCTCCGACAAATAGCACTTTGACCTAGTATAGTTGATATTAAATGACTCATTATGTTAAGATTGAAATTTCATTTATACGGTAGATTGAGAATATTACTCAATATGCTCTCTCTCTCACTCTCTCTCTCTCTCTCTCTCTCTCTCTCTCTGTCTTTCCCTCTAATAACTTGATGTTACTTTCATTTTTACCAAAATGTCCTGACAATGATTATTAACACCAGTTTTCACTCATATTCACACCCAACAAAAATATAGTATAGAGCTCATTTTTCTTTGTTTAAAAAAAAAAGCTTTTATACAGTGTAGAGAAGACCCCAAAATCATTTTAAAAGTAATTCTTTGTGTTGATATTATAGTGAACACATTTAGTCATGCATGGTAGTTGATTGAATTGTTTTCTTTTTACCTGTTGTATATGGATGCAACGAGGAAGTTTTGCCTTACGTTGCCATACGAAAACACGTCATATTATTCTCATCTATATCTTCTATACATATGAAATCTTCTCGGTCATAATATATATTCTCTTATCAATCATCATGCGGTAGACGGTTCAACATCCTCAGGCCTCACTACAGTTCAATACGAACATTATTTTCGTCATATCTTTCTAAAAAGTCGTATTGAATAGTTACTATAATCATTTAGACCTTGCAGAGTCATACAAAATGCATAGTAATAATCAAAGTAGTGCAATACTTACGTGTAGGCCTTTATAATTACAAATATATGGTACTCAAAACAGTTCCTGTTCAAAAAAAGTTATTCCAATCCGGATTCCAATACACAGGAAAATAGGATGGAAAGCACTTAGATCCAAGGCAATGTCGCTCGAATCATGGACCTACATGCTCGAATGTACTTCTCTTTATATGAGAGATGTCTATTCAAATCGAAACTATAAGTATAACACGACTACTCTATTCCAAAAGTATATATAACTGGCACGCAAAAAAGCAAGTTACAACAATAATAGGATAATAGCGTGGGTCGTGGTTTTGTCGGTGTAAACTTAGTCGAGTTACAATGTAGTGAAGGACATATCGAACATTATAATACATAATTATTATTATTATTAATTATGCTTACCTTGTGAGTGAAGTTGTGAAGGAGAAGGCAAGTGGTGGAGTGTTCAGAAAACATGAACGACGTCTATTTATAAAAGGAAACGAGTTCACCGGGTTTCTCTCTCTTTATTACTCTCTCTGTCACATGACAATAACCAATATCACGTGCATCAAGGATGTAAGCCTACCATCATGTGACTTTAGGGTTCATTTCATAAAGTGCAGAATAATTCAGAGTAAGACCTCACATAGAGCTAGAGAGGGAGAGAGATAGAGGGGGTGAAATAGAGAGGGGGAGAGAGAGAGAGAGAGAGAGAGAGAGAGAGAGGGAGAGAGAAATACAAGGAAGGAAAAGGAGGAGGGGGAAGTAAGACAATGTGGATATCTGAAAGGGTATGTGTGTTGTAGGTGATAGAGTATGGGTCCTGGGAAGAGTGTGAGATTGGAAAAGAAAGGAAGAGATAAATATAATAGATAGACAGACCGAAAAGAAAGCGAGAGAGAGGAGAGAGAGAGAGAGAGACTGGGGAGGCCTACCCGTGGCACGGGCCATTCGATCTTCCACTAAACTGTTATCTTCTCATTATGATGGCATCGTCTATAGATTACTCATGACGTATACAATAAAAGTGCCATAAAGCTCTGCGTAGTTTGGCAAAATATGATAATAATGGAACCGCCCACCCCATTCATATTTACTTAGGTATTAACCAAATTATGATGAACAATAAAACGTCTGCATGCATGAGGTGTATTTGTCTATGTGAAAGGTTAAAGCATGTGGTGCAATAGGCCTATAATATACAGAATGCAATTATTGACTTTTGAATGGGCCTGTCGGGAAGATATTGTGAACGGTTGTAAACGAAAATACCTTTTCCTCATTTTTGCATTGATCAGTGTTAATTGTTAGTAAAACGTCTGAATTATCAGGTACTGTACTGAAGTGTAAAAAGTCAAAGCAAAGTAAAATAAGTTCCTTTCAATGGATCAGAGAGGCGTACTTTACAACACCCGTATCATGATTGTGTATGACACAGATTTGGGCATAAGATACAGGTATACGAGACAAAATCATTCGGTAGAAGGAATAAGAATAAAATGTTTTAAGTATGAGAGTGTTTCAACAACAACTCTTCTAATGTTTGATTTGACATTCTTCTACATGGCATTATTGAAAAGTAGTATCCTGGCTCTTCTGATGTTATCTTCATAATGCTTGTGATACCCCCCCCCCCTTATTTGAGAATGCTATTATTTGTCATTATTTGCGTATTTGTGTGTGAATCCTTTTCATTGTGCTACTGTTTTAGTTCAGTTCAGTTCAGTTCAGTTCAGTTAGTTTCTTTTATTTCACATGAAAAACAATACATCAACAAAACATAGCAAAATATTCATGAACAATAAAGACATCTGATAAAAATAAAAATAAAAATTCATTATGGGGTGGCGAGGGAGAGTATAGTGTTTGGAGGTAGTGCCTCGGACCCTGCTGTCCAGTTGGTTCCGGCAAGCGGAGGCATTGTGGTAGCCTTATATATATATTTTTTTTCTTCTTCCTTTTTTCTTAAAAGTTTAATATTTCGTGCAGGTCTGATGTCTTAGTAATATTTGTTGTTTTGTATTCATTTACATGTTTGTAATTTGTGTTGTGCTATTGCAGGGCCCCCGAGTATAACAGTGTTTACTCACTGATGGGGTTACCCTGGGTAAATAAAACAAAATAAATAAATAAATAAATAAATAAATCTACGCTGCATAAGTTTGTATTGCATTTACACTAGATAATTACGAAATTACATGTGCTAAAAAGGAACTTTATATAAAACATATAGCTTGTAGACTTTAAGTACCTCAGAGTTATTCCTTTGGAGTTTACATATTTCCTTATTGTTACCCACTTGAATAAGTGTTTTCCTCTCAGAAAAACAATAGTTTCACAACTGCTGAACATTCTTGAAAGTAGACAGGCCACTCATGTCTGCACGTGACCTGCATGTAAGTGAAATTTGTGAAATATAATGATGAGGAAAAAATACAAGGAAGTTCTGACAGACTGGTGGTGATGTTTGCAACTCGTAAGAGTGTGAGAACTTTCTCAACTAAAATACTTTGGTTTTGGTCATTGTGTCCATTTTTATTTTTTACTTGTTAAAAAAAACAGATCAAAGTTAATCAAGAACATGCAAAAATTATTCGAAATGTCAAAGTACATTAGTGAAAATTTTCCGGTCGTGCATATTGACAATTTACGACTCGCTATATGTATACTCTCGCTCAAACGAAACAATGACTTACTATTGTTTTTATCATTATCATTTTTATCATCATTTAAATCACTATTATCATTTTTGTTATCATAATGACATAGAGGCCTACATCACTATGTGATAGCAACGAGCTATTTCATTCACCTGTTGTTTCTAATTATAATTATCTCAATAGTTATAATGCATATTGCATGCGTTAGTTATATATAGGAGTATATAGGTATGACGGATGTAATGGCCTTGCTTACCTAATTCGTAATAAAAATTGTATGCAATTTGTATTCTGACTATTGAAAATGGAATCATTCATAACAACTGAATGAAATAATTCATAGCGATGCACTTTACAGAGACGTATGCATTAATTTGACTACAAACAATTGGTCTATTGCATGGGTGCAGGAAGTTATTTGACCTACTGCTTTTAGATGTGATCAAAGAAGTTCATGCCTGATTAAATACATCTTTTCTTTTCTTTTCTAAATTATGTAAGAGAAGAGAAATCCTAGTTATGTACAGTGAGCCTACCATTAAAATAACGTGAGGACATGCAGTTTATGATGCAAAAACCTCGACTGATCATCATCAAAATTCGGCATGTAAGTAGAGCTCCAGTTGGCAATTTTTATTTAGAGAAGATCTCGTAAAATAGCTGGATGATATAACGATTCCTCCTTTTCAAATATGCATGTACTAATCTGGCAAGCCTTCGTGCATGTACAAAGAATAACACTTACACGTACTTCCTTCTTTATTTCAATTAAAATTTGAATAGAATGGAAACTAGATATGATATTGAGAGGCATTGCTAGCAAAGAATCAAGTGCTTGCTTCTGTCTAGCAGATAATGGTAGGATGCGAAAGTTAATGTGGTTGGATGAGCAAGGGTTAATGTGCGCTTGTCTACACTATGAACATGACAGACAATGAAAGCGGACAAAATATACAGTTCCTCAGGTAGACAAAGGGACAGCCCTTCACTGCTATTATGTAAAAATGTGTAGAACAGGTGTCACATGCATATTCACCTGTTCTACACATTTTTACATAATAGCATGAAGGGATGTTCCTTTGTTTTCCTGAGGAACTGTATATTTTGTCCGCTTTCATTGTCTGTCATGTTCATAGTGCTAATGACGACTGGCCGGAATGCTCCCCAGGGAGTGGATATTGTGCGCGGTTAAGCCTGAATCCGATGACCGGGGTAATAATATAAACGCTTAGACACATCATTGTATATTAATATTATTATTATTATTATTAATTAATTATGTTAGTACAAGTAAAAGCGTTAGAAAAATCAATTTCTATAAGTTTAAAGATACGACTAGTGGGCTTGCCATGAGATGACATAATATGTCATAAGCATATAGCAGCAAGACCATATCCGAACTGACAACTGAAATGGATGAATATATCAACGGAAAGCTTATAAGCCATAGATTACAATAATATAAATTGTATGCCATTTTAGTGTCCGTCAGCAAGCGTTGAAAATAAGAAGTTGCGACCTAAAAAAATTGCTATCGACTTGATGACATCATCTCATGTGGAGTATACGCATATTCACAAGACTTTGCATTCTTTAACCACTGCTCATCGCCTCAGCTATATAGGTGAACAAAAACAAGACGCGACCGGTCGGGTCCACATGTTATGTCGTCCAGGCGCGTACACAGGGGGGGGGGGGGGGGGGGGGGGGGGGGGGGGGGGGGTTACCCCCCCTTTGGTAATTTTCCGTGTGTAAACCCCCCCTTAACCCCCCTAAACCCCCCCTTTGATTTTTTGATTTTTTTTTTTTTTTTTATTTATTAAAAAAAAAAAAAAAATTCCCATGGCTGACGTAAAAAGCTAACCCACCCCCCCCCCCCCATTGAACCAAAATGTCAAATTTTCAAATTTCGAGACCAAAAAAAAAAAAAAAAGTGTCCTCTTACCCCCCCCCCCCCCCCCCCCCCCCCCCCCCCCCCCCCCCCCCCCCCACTTATTCAACGGCTGGCTGAGTCGTTGCGAAATTTTCGGCCCGATTTATAAATGTTAGAACCCCCTTGAAAAAATCCTGCGTACGCACCTGATGTCGTCACTGTTACTTCGGCAAATTTGACCACGGTTGACCCGTAATTTGGAGGGGTGCGGAAAATGAGGTTTTAATTTGCTTTAGTGCAATAACGAAAGGGTAAATACTAGTTATTCTTTCATATTCTACATTCATTCAGTATTCCATTTATATCAAGATATATTTCATCGAATAGGGTCTTTAAGCAGATAGCAGATATAAAATGTCATATTATCAGATAGCAGCTTCTAACGACGATTATTTTTATTATTGATGTCGCAGCGACACTTATAACAGAAATAGCTGATTAGGCCTACAATTATTATCTCGTCATTTGCTCATTTATCGTCTTTATACTTCTCGCTTTTTCGTGGGATTCCCCCCCCCCCCCCCACACCCTCATCGGCCCGCACAGTGAACAGCAGGGGAGGGTGGGCAGCGGGTGGCACGGTCATGAACCTGGCGATCGAGCCCCGCGAGCTTTCCTTTGCGATTTGTACTAATGTTTTTCTTGAGTCTTCAGTGTTCAAAGGGAGGGGGATCTGTACCTGTTCACCCCATGCTGGAAACACCACTGGTCCATTGGCTATATACTAGAATTGCAGACAGGAACCACGGAGCCGGACACGCTGGGATCTCTCCTACAGCTGTTTCCGTCAGAGAGCACCATCAAGAACTTCAAGAATAAACCTATTTTCAACATGAATCGGAAGTTAATATTTGCTTTCTGTGTCTATTCCTTTATGTTTCACGGAATAAAGACAATGGAAGTCGAAGCAAAAATGAAAGTAATAAAAATGATTAAAATCGTTCTTTCAGCCTGATGTTTGGGATTTCCTTTGTTCGGTCATGCTTGTTATAAGATTTCTATAGCGAGGCTAACAATATATTTCCGCTGCTCATCGTCATAATTTTAGATGTACACAAAGAGTAATTACATAAATAAATCTCCTTTTACAAAAATCTAACAAAATACACAAAGTGCTTCATTAAAGAATCACAATTTCAATTGTATCTAAATGCATCGGGCTGTCATCGTCTCCAGCCATTCCTAGGATGATAGACGAAATTTTATACCGCACCCAACACCCCCTCCCCCAAAATGAGGGGGGCCCTCTCTCTCTATCTCTCTCTTTCTCTAGAGAGAAAGGGCTCTGTCCCTGCAATCCTTCAGGGGCCCCAAGGCGTATCCTAAAGAGAAGTGGTTCCCTACACAACTCTTTGTTCTATAAATTTGTCCTTAGGAGAATGTGCGGTAGAAAGAATTTCAAGTGATATCTTGAAGGTTATGAGCTGCTAAAACTTGTAGAGCATCCTGAGGCTCCGCCCCCTGGACCACATCAATAAAAATAGAAGTGGTTCCCGAGAAGACTTTTAAATTTGTTCTATAAAATTGTCCTCAGTAGAGAGTGTGTTTTTATCGCTCAAAATGGCTATCTAGCTTGAAGGTTCTCGAATTGCTAATACTCGAGAACCCTAGACATGGCTCTGACCCTGCATCACAGGGGCCCTAAGATGCCCCTGGACCCCACCCTGCATGAAGGGCTCGCGCTATTATTATGCGCTCACAGTGCGCTTCGCCGTCGCCCCTTTTCGGAATATCCTGAATCTACCGCTGAACATTTCCTACAGACCGATTGACCATCAAAGATGAGGCCTACCACAATCACGATGTCTGCAATGTGATTGTGGATGAGTAATATCCACACCAGTTGGGAAACAATGGTTAACAGCGTGATCAAGAACTAGTACATGAGAGAGAGAGAGAGAGAGAGAGAGAGAGAAAGAAAGAAAGAGAGATGGATCAACTAATATTGACCACTGAATACCATGATGTCTGCAGTGTGATTATGGATGACTATTAGTTCCAACTACAACATAATGAGAAACAATTGAATTCCATGCTTGAGATAAGTCGGTCAAGAGAAACTTTTGCATAATAAATGCATTACTGAGCTACCAACAGTCATGAGACCTACTTTACATCTGACTCATTTTGTTTCTAGGTCACATTGAATACAATGTTTCACGTGAACTGAGTGATCATAATATGGAGGTTAAGACCTCCCCCCCCCCCCCCCCCCCCACTCCCTCCATAAGTTACTTGTGCATAGAGTGGTAGTGGAAAGGTGATTTAACTCCAGTAATTTGATTCAGATAATATAGGATAGGGAAGGGATATAAGGTTATAAGTATTTTCTTTTCAAATGTAGACAAATTCATTATATCTCTCTCCACCCCGTCTCTCTTATCTTTAAAAAAAAGAGAGATAGGAAGGGATCAGTTAAAGTTTTGTTGTTTTCAGTGATATCAATCTAAATGTGGTATCAGAATCTAAATTTATTCTTATTTTAAAAGGGCTAAAGTAGGGGATTACCTTCAAAGATGATATCATTATGGTCATAAGCTGTGTTCCCCCCAAATAAAAGCTAATCGAAACAAAGTTAGATCTCCCCTGGGACTTGCAATAGTTTTTCACTAGAGTATATAGGATGTAGAGGAGAAGAATTAATCCGGACCATGGAAGAAAAGGCGTATTTTGTTAATACGCCTGAAATGGGCTGTCCCGGGGCTGTCCGCCGTATGTATTTGTATGTTGTGATGATTTTATACGGAAAAAACAAAAACAAACAAACATTACTCTTTATACCAAGCTCAAATTCATCAGATAATTAGAAAAGTAGTATGCTACCATTACCAAGAGTCTTGTGGAACAAACTTGACATGTTCTGTTTTCATCATTCTCTCGACTCATTAGCTAGAAAATTGCATATGCGCAAGCGCCATCTAGTGTTGAAGGTGAGAGAAAACTGCTGGCGTCGCATGCAACTTCGCATCACTTTTTCCGGATCAAGTTGTATTTGTTTTCACATTTCGCCGTTTTCGAGATAGATAGACAGCAATAAAATCAAAGATGGCAATGGGAGGGCCGGTATGTATACTTATTGATATTAACTTTTATAAAGCAAATTAATGAAATTTTTATCATGTTTATATGTTAAATATTCGGCAAAAAGCCACTTCTCGATTCTCAGCTCAGTCAACATTCTGTGCACAAAAACACAAAGAAAATTCAAGTTCGGACACAGATATGGGTAGATGGGACTAGATTTTACACTATAAATGGACGCTTGTTCACAACTGTGACCATACTTTGGACCCGTAACACCGGTGTTGAGATACCTTACTATAACACATCAAAAATCATATAAATTTCCCACAATTCAAATAACTGTTATGATAAAAAGTTGTTATCTTTGTTGCCTGTAATCTTTATCGTGATCGTGTCAAATTTCTATTTATTTCTCCTAAAAACGAAGACATTTCTGATTTCATTAGATTAGTGAGTAGTTCTAGTCTAGACTTCGTACACACTTCGTACACACCGCTGCACAATACACAACGTCACAAGTGCATACCGACGGTGGGTTTCGGACGCGAGTGTGTGCGCTTGCGTGAAGTAGTGACTGTAATCTCAGATCCTCATTAAATTCATGCAAGCAATTTACATTTTAATTGATGATCATTTATGAATACGGTAGCTTAATTCATGCACAATACACAAGTGCATATGACGGTGGGTTTCGGACACGCGCCTGCGTGAAGTTAGCGACTGTTATCTCAGATCCTCATTAAATCTATGCAAGCAGTTCACATTATGAATCGATGATGATCATTACGGTCGCTAACTTCATGCAGGCGCAGGCGCCCTACCGAAACCCTCCACCGGTATGCACTTATATATTGTGCAGCGGTTTGCAGTGAAACCTCTGAGAAAGTGTATAGACCTAGACTATACTAATGTCTTTTTTTTATGAAAAAATACTCCAAAAAAGAAAATTTACACGAAACAGGTAAGAAGATTAAGATTAACAAATGTGGAAGATTTAGGCCCTAAATGATTTTGGTGTGTTTAACCCATAGTGTGCCATGAGGCTGCATGCACGCTACCTATTGAGTGCCATGTGCGTGCAAGGGCGCTTTCGTAAGAGCAGTTATTGCTCATGCTCATTGGGCTGTGCTGTGTGTTTTGCACTCACCATTCATAGAACCTTCGCGTAAATCAGATTATCTCCAAAACAACCTGGCACAATGGGGATTACCCCTGTGGCACGATAAGAGTTAAGTGAGCTGATAATATGTATACTCTAGATCTATTCTGTTTATGAAATATGAGAGCTCACAAGCTCTTGAGCATCTATTAATTCTAAAATTCTAAAATAATCTAGTCAAACTTCAAGAACATCCTGAAATTTCTCTAGAAAAGTAGAATTATTTTAAATTGTTTAAAAAGATACTAAAATAGTAAAAAATATGATCAAAAACAACATGTCAATTATCAATAACTTCTTGATGCAGAATATTAGTCCAAGGTCTACTCTGAAGCTCATTTAGTTTAATTAGAGGCATTGTTTCAGGACAACGCAATCCTATTTAAATCATTCTAGAGCATTTTAGGATGTTCCGGAAGTTTGACTTTATTTGGGCAGAAATTGTAGAATTACCAAGCATTCCTTATCATTTGTTCATGTTTTTTTGTTGCTTCACTACTTATTCCAGGACCGCGACGCCATTTACCGTGAAATCGATGAACCTATCAATGTCAGGAAGCTGTTCTTGGGTGGGCTCAGAAGCCAAAGTTCAGAGAGACATCTGTATGAAGCTTTCCTCCCGTTTGGCCACATCGTGGATGTCCTCATGGTCCGAGGGCCAAACCACAAACCCAAAGGCTTCGGCTTTGTCACCTTCAGCAAGGCGTACATGATGGAAGCGGTCATCACTGCTCATCCCGATATGCGAGTGATAGTTGACGGAAAGAGCGTGGAGATAAAGAGAATATCAGAAGGCGAAGTAATAATAATAATAGAGAAAGAATTGCATACTTTTGATTGTTTTTATAATTGATTGACAGAGGTGTAAGATTGAATAGTGATAGAATATATCATGCACTGAGTGAGAGGCTCCGGTTGACATGGATTTTTTAAAGTGCCTGGCATAAGACTACGCCAGTCTCCAAAGATCCATGAATTTGCAGGTGCCTAGTAAAGAGTGCATCGCCTGGTATACTGTATAAGCTGATATTTTCGCGAATGACAGGCTAAGTGACATTTTCCGTAGTATGGCCTATCTGAATTAATTATGCCTCATAAAGACTTTATTCTATATTTGGTCAAAGAAACCCTCTTTTTGTTATCATTGCACTAAGTTTCCGGAATTTTCATATTTCATGTATATATTTTTTCTAATGGAACTCTGTAGGAGCTTCTCAGAGCCAATTGCTACTGTGTCATTTTAGGCCAAGTAAGACCTGGTGAAAACTGATTAATCCCTTTTTATTGTTCTTCTAGCCCAGCCGTTCCAAAGCTGCGTTATTAAAGGCTGCCATACCCAATGAGAACACAAATCGGATCTTTGTGGGTGGTATTCCCGAAAACACCACGGAGGCTGCCATGATCGATGCTTTCGGCAAATTCGGGGAAGTAGTAGAAGTTGAGATCCCACCCAACGAGAAGAATGGAAAGCCAAGAGGATTTGCCTTTGTCACCTTTGCAACTAAGGAGATTGTAGGGGAGGTTGTAGGTAAGCATCCAGTTTTTCTAAAAAATCCATCTGGGGGGCTTTTCATGAAACAATTAGTCTGTGGTTTTCACCGACTGATATCATTTTCATCAACAATTTTATTGTCACAGACTAATTTCCAGGCCTCTGATTAGTCAAATTTAATCAGCGCTGACAGTTGTCGGTGGACAAATGTTGATGAAACTCCAATGTGAAGAAATTAGTCATATTTAATGTAATTTTGCGTGCCTTTCTTAATATTTCACCTAATTGCTGCTGCTCACAGACTTTCGATTGTTATTATTTGTGCAGAATCTTAATTTATTATGTATACATGCATCAATTAACGCGGTAAACTGTGACTGTTTTTGTATTATGACGTAACATGTAATATGCTTTCAATTTCCGTACCTTATAGCACAGACCTAGTGTATACCTTTTTTGTGTGTATCTCCCATTCATTTATCTTTAAAAAACCTCTCTTTTTGTGCCGCTTTACTGTGAAACATCTGAACATGCCTTATGGGTGCACATAACCTTGACCAATGCTGTGTGTTATTAAGATGAAGAAATATTTGTTACACATGGGCATTGAGTGAACTCCTCCCAACTCTGTTTCTCTCAATTTTTTTAGCAACAAAATATCACACTTTCCTTGGGAGGAAGGTAGAGGTGAAGAGAGCTATTGAAAAAGAGCAACTGCGGAGAGACACAGCACCCCCTATCCCCGATCCAGCTAACAAGTCTGAAGGCAAGGGTAAAGGAAATCAGGGAGGAGGAGGTTATGTAAGAAGAGGAGGAGAAGGTCACGGAAGAGGAGGTGGAGGTGGTCGAGGAGGAGGAGTGGTGGTCGAGGAGGAGGAGGTTGGGGTGGTCGAGGAGGAGGAGGGCATCAAGGGGGAGATCGTGGAGGAGGTGGCAATTGGGGCCCTAATGGTGGTGGAAGAGATTTTGGAAGAGACCATATGAGGGGCATGTATGATGGTCCAGGGCGAGGTGGACCAGGCAGGGATTTTGACCGAGGTTATGATATGGATAGACCACCTTATGACATGGGACCAGATAGACGCATGGGGATGGGTCCAGATAGGCCAATGGGCCATCGGGGACCTATGGAACAAATGGGACCACGAGGATCCATGGGACGAGAAGGGCCAATGGATCGAGGGCCTATGGGAATGGATCGAGGGAGAATGATGGAAAGGGGGCAAGGCATGGGTCCAAGAAGACCAGCAGGACCAGATGTGCCTGGAATACCAGGAGACTCAATGGGAATGGGACCAGGTGGACCAAGAGAAGGGAGAGGACCTGAACCAGGAAGGGGAGGTCAAGGATTTGGAGCTATGGACAAATGGGATGGTAAGTGCTAAAACATCCAACATTAGCCATTGCCTTTAAAGCCTATAGCACATTAAGAGAGGCAAATACATGTACAATGAAATTTAATTAGGATTCATTAATTTGAAATGCTCATAGGTTATACAAATGTCAAATGGGGTATATGCCTGAGCTTAAGGTCAGAGGACTTCTTGTTTGATTTAAGTCTTTGCATCAACTAAGTAAGGTCATATCAAGCAATGATTGTAATCCTTATTGTTCTCTTTGTCTATAGAGGCAATGTTCGATAGCATGCCTTCAGATGAGATGCTGAGAAAACAGTTTGGAGATAGCCCCATGGGCATGGACTTCCCAGGCTTTCCTGGAGAGGGACCATCGTCTCGCCCGGGTGGATCAGGAGGAATACCAGGAGGGATGCCAGGAGGGATGCCAGGAGGGATGTCAGGAGGGATGCCAGGAGGGATGCCAGGAGACTTCAGGAAGGAGATGAGCGAAGTAGAAAGGGACCTAGGTAATTATATGTCCTCTTGACCAGACTCTTTAATTTTGGAAGAAATGGGTACTTAAAGAATGTCACATGAATTATGTGAGTCGTCATGTTTGGGATCACCCTCCATCATGGAGCCACAAAAACCTATGGTGACAGGGCATTTGCATGTGGTGGACCAAAACTTTGGAACGCTTTCCCAGTGTCGCTACGGTCCATGACTGATGTTAAATTTTTTAAGAGAGCGCTGAAAACTCACAATTTTTATGAATGCATCCAGTAATTATGTAAACGTACATTGTACATTGTAAAGCGATATGAGAGGGCCTGCTTTCATGAAATGCGCTATAAAAGAATGAACTATTATTATTATGTCACACAAGTGACTTTTAATCTTGCTTATACTTTCATCGGAAAACAAGTTGGTATATTTTTCAAGAAACCTCATTTCTAGCCTGTCATTTGTTGAGACTCGTTTCTATGCTTTGATATTCTTTACTATAACCCTCAGATTGATGCATAGTGGATAACTGATATCATGTTGATATGAATTTGCCAATACATTTAAGTTGCTTTTTTTCTTCTTCACATGTCCTGTGAGTCACGCTGGAATGGCTAAACTTGATGACAACTCTTCTTGATTTTTTTAAATTTCAGATTTTTAAGATCAATTGTTGAATTTAGAGTTAACAATAATTTAATGCATTTGTACAGAGTTGTGTCACCTTAATTGCTTTATGGCTGAGATATTTGGATTCAAAGATTAGGGGTGAGGAGGTACTACCATACTCCTGTCTTTTGACCTGCAAATAAAGCCCAATCTTTTTGTTATTCCTAATCTTCTGTTATTCCTAATCTATCTCTGTTCATATCTTGAATACAGAAAGCTCTAAGAGCAAGATGAAGGAGTATTACCGCACCATGTACATGTGGAAGCTCAAATGGTACAAGATGATGAAGACCTGGACAGCAGCCAAAGGTAGGATAATCTCTTCCATAGTCTAGAAAGACCTAATCTAAATTGTGGTAGCTTGAGATGGTTGCGTCAGACATGCTCTGATGACAATTGCTCCGCAGTCAATGTCCTACACTAACTGAATTGCAACACTGCGCCAAATGCTATATGTAATGCTAACTCTGAACCTCTAAACCTATGGTAAAACCTTATTGCAACTTTTACTCTAACCCCGTATCTTTTGTGAAATAAAGCCCTCCGCAGTTGTCGCCAGGGCAAATCTCAGAGTACCCTTGAGATTGATGATGTATTGATTTGTGTTATATTAACATATGAACCTTTCAAACAAAAAAGGCAGTTATTAACTCCATCAACATTCAAACTGGAGGTCTCTTAAATTGAAATTGTAATTCCTCATGGTATTTTAGATGGTTTGCATTGATCACAAATGAAATAGAACAAATATTATGTCTACAGTGAGAATGCATCAGATTTGTAGTCATATTACCTTTGCCATATGCTTGTGTTCCTGTGCGTCCATGTGGAATTTGAAGTTACTATTTCTGCTACAATATTCAATATCAAATATTCAAATTTTATTGTCCAATGATTGGAAAAAATGTTGTTTGCATGTCGGTACAAGATTACAGATTATAAACATCAATAAGATACAGATGGATGGATACAGAATAGAACATTTGACTTGAACATAGGTAACACAAAATGCGATAGTTCAACATGCAGACTAAAATTTGAATCATAATACATAGTAAACTGAGATTTGAAAATGAAAAACATCACACCAGATACCAGTGAGGAAATACTTCATTTTCATTAACTCAATAGCATTCTCATTAAAACCACATAATTGAAGGGAATTGGATCTTAAAGTTCATGACAGGTCAACTTTGATTTAGGGGGTATTTTTTTCCATGTATGATAGAAACTGCTATAATTCACAAATTTGCTTTATTGCTGTCTCTGATTCCTTCCAGCTGCTGTCGCAGCAGAGGCAACTGTAAGTGGCATGGATGGTAGTCCTTCCAGAGACTCCTTCCCATCGACTCCTTCCAGGGACTCCTTCCCATTGACTAGCAAGCCACAAGGTAGTGCCTATGACACCATGAAGAGCCAATGGGAACAAGTGCATGGTCAAGCACCAGCTCAAGTAACGGCTCCAGCGCCAGCTCAAGCACCGGCTCAAGTGCTTGGTCAAATGCCAGGTCAGGGAGCAGTGGGTGGCGGAGGTGGAGACCGTTACAGAGGTCCATCAGAAGATTTTGGAGGGAGAGGCGCTGGTGGCAGCTATGGAAACCAAGGTCAAGCTGGTAACTATGGAAACCATGGTCAAGCTGGTAACTATGGAAACCAAGGTCAAGGTGGCAACTATGAAAGCCAAGGTCAAGCCACCAACTACAGCAGTCTTGGATCCAACTATGGCAGTACGCCTTCTAGTTTTGGACCTGTGAAGAAGGAACCTAGTTACCCTGGAGCGGGAGGTAATGAATTCAGGTTATCATTTCGTTCGCTGAGAGCCAAAATGGCAATAATTGTAATTATGTAAAACCATATGAATGAACATCCTTCTAGCTCTCAGCAGGTGATAAAAACATACAAGGTAGAGATTCTTTTCTGTGATTTCATTATGCATCAATGTATGACCGTAGTGGGGAAATGTTTTAAATCAGAATGTTTATTCAAGTCTCTCTACCAGTAATGTAAGATGATATTGATAATGTCTATTTCACCATAGTTTATAAACTGTCTGCGTTTTAATGTAAAGCTATAGGCTTTTTTTAAATCTGTCCAATTTACAAGGTTTTTTTTTCAGTGCAGAAAATCAAAATTTAGCTAAGATTTCTACTATTCAAAATAAACAGTAGAGAAATAAAAATGTAATTAATAAAAATTCCACTTATAATCATCAATCAAGAAAAAACTGAAATCTTATTTGACTCTCTTGTACAGGGCCATATGGAGGAGGAATGTCCGGAATATGAGAAGAAACTTACCTGGACACTCTAAGAATCCAGTGGAATAGGTAAGTATCATCGAGCCATCAGAGTCTCATGAAAGAACCGACTTCAGTATCCATTGTGCAATAAACAGGGATGCCAGTTTTCAGGCCAAAGCCTGATAACAGGTTGTGACACCTCGCTATTTTTAGAGCTTTTTCAGGCATGATATTGTGCACCTCAAATGGGACTCCAACATACCTGTGCCTCTGTTCAGGCTCAACGGGTGGGGGGGGGGGGGGGGGGGGGGTTAAGTAACTGGTATCTGTGAATGTAGACAGGGTATGACCTGTGCTATCGTGCCTTACCATGATTGCCAAGTTGTTCATGCACCCCATTTCCATGCACATGATATAACCAAATCAGATTGAACTGGGGAGTACCAAAAGGGAGGCATGCTCTTAATTTGTCACATCAAGGGTGGCCCCTTTGACAACAAAGCTGATAGGGCAGTCACCATGTCCCCACCCTACATGGCCCAATAAAATTGCTGCAATTTATTTTATTCCTACTGGAGTGCTCTAGATTACTATTCTCCGTCGTATGTTGAAGGAAAGCAACAATGGATTCTTTAACTTCTCCACTTTATCAAATCTTTATATTATTGTTACTATTTCCTATTTTATTTATTTATTTATTCATTTATGTCTTTATGTATTTATTTTATTTTATTTTCATTTTTCCAAAAGGGGGGGGGGGAGGAGAGTTCCTAACATCAACTTTGGTATTATCTAATTATTTAGGTAGTCCTAAAATTATGCCATTACTGAAATAGTGTAAATTTGATATTTATATTGAGGGATTGACTAGGCTAGATATGTAATCAACACTTCAGCAGTTCTAGTGTTGAAAACCCTCACTATATTTAGTCACTAGTTATTTTGAATGTTGTTTTACAAATAATTTATTCACTTTTAGATATAAATCTATTTATCACTAATTAGTCATAATTTTAGGTGACAATCTAATGGACTATTGGGCTTGAAATAGATATGACATTCGAGTTGTACTGCATGTGCTCTGGTGACTTTTGCTTCATGGTCAATAACCTACAGTGTAGAAGTGTCATAGTCGAGTGGTTCAAGCACTTGACCTGAAATTCAAAGGTCATGATTCGATCCCCAATACGGCACTAATGTCCTTTGGCAAGGCATTAATCTTCATTTGCCACACTCGACCCAGGTGAGGTAAATGGGTACCTGACAGGAATTAATTCCTTGAAATGCTGGAGTGCTGTAATGGCAGCTAGGCTAAAGCCAGAGTAATAATTAATGAGCCTCAGAATAGAATTTCTAGATAGACGGCGCTATAGAAATGCCTATAATTATTATTATGCTATCCAAATTCTGTACTTCAACCCTGGACAAAACCCTATACTTAGTCCACTCCTAACCGTAACCATTAACTTCATAATTTTTTCTTCACTTCACAGATTGCATTATGTTAGCCTTCCAGCCATCCAATGATCCAACACCTTAGCCACTAGCCATCTAATGCATTTTGAGTACTATTTTGAGTACTGTCCTTGAGAACTTGGCTACAGCTTGTGACCTAGGTGATCACAAGGAACCACACACAGCATAGTGCTGTAAATCATGGTATTACTGCTAGACTAGTGCCATTCATAGTTTATATAAACTCAATTATGTAATACAGAAGGAGAAAGAAAAGACCTTATTCAATGACAGAAGTTAAACTTGAGCTTTGGTTTACGCTTTGTTTAGATGTGAACTAGTGAACTTAGATCTCTATTTTGGGTTAAAATGTGTGTGGTACGAACCAAAGAATCTAGCTCCTGATTTACCTGAATGAGTTCTATCTGTCACTTGGTTGAAATCAGCTTAGTATCAGAAAGCGAGACCTCGACTTCAACCCATCATTAGGTTTTCTTGGTTGAAGGCGAGTTTAGTATAGTGACAACCTAGACCTCAACTTAAAATCTAGTTTTGGGTCCAAGTTTGGTAACGTGGATCTAAAACTTTTAGCTACTGATTCTAGTGTATATATTGGCTATTGCTTGTTCGTTGAATGCTTACTCAAATAGTGCTTTGTGAAACCCAAGGATGGTCTCCAACCATTTTGTTTCCATCATGTCTTCAAGAAAATCCTAGTCAATATAAAAAATAGAATTTGTAAAAGGCCAAGATAGGCAAACATCTGGGTTAACCATATGATAAAGGGTGACATGTAAATTGTTACCCCTAAAGAAAATAAAAGAACTGACATTTTAAAAGCTGCTTGACTACTTCAGAAAGCACAGAAATAGGCATATTCTATCTTCTATGCAATCACTGTTGTTTACAAATATAAATGATTGCTCATATGCACACTACTTGGTTAGATGTAACTGTAGTAGTTTTTCAAATGCATATATTTTTATACTCATTTTTTTTATGTAGTCACACGATGCATGATTGACCACTAGAAGAACATGATTTTAATAAACAGATACATCTACTATACCACTAGCCTATGCTAAGTATGAACTAGTTAGCTGACATTCTAGGCTAGCAATATATATAGCTACCCTGAGGTGAAACACATGTGAATACCAACTTACCAAGGTTTGAATTATGCTTGTTTAGCATAAATATTGCCATATAACTAGATCCTACGATATGAATTAAAAGATGTTATCAAAATGTGTATCTGCTGGTGTTGTATCAAAATCATGGATTTGTACATAGATTCCTGTACTGGTCAAAGAGATTTTTAAAATGACTGTTTAAGGGCTATGTGAAAAAGAATGTTTTATGTCATTAGCCTAAGAATATGATTAGCTCTGTAAGACTAGTCCATGTTACTTTATTGTTCACCAAAATCAAAGTGGCATTGTGTATGAATAGTATGTTTGCTCTAAAACCAGGCTATGCGGGTTGAATATATTCTGCTTTAGAGTTTCTATGTACTACTAGCTTTAAAGGTTTTAAAATCAAGCATTTTTACCGTCACAATTGTACTATTACTAAAAACATGTTTGCATTGATGGACAATGCAAATTGTTGTTTTTAATTCAGGCTTATGGGGATGAAAAATTTAGCACTAGCTCCTTTTTTAGGCTACCAGTAGGTCTATAACATAAAAATCAGATTGATTACTCATTTTTATTTCCAAAAAATACCTGGAAAGGTACCTTTTTTTTGGGGGGGGGGGGGTCATGTGATAAAAGCTAAACCTATGAGATATTTTTAGTTCTATTTTGAAAGTGTTAAACAAAGAAAATCAGAGCAGTAAGTTGGTGTCTTTAAAAAAAAATCAGATGAGATGTATATTATTTCAATTTGGTCAATTCATATACCTTTATTTTCACTTGTACATGTGAATGTTCGATTCTGTATGTAGCAGGTATGTACATGTAAGCTGTTACTTATTTAGCTTGTGCTAATGACATGTTCTGCAAAGAGCATTTCTGTCTGGCAAGTGTAGTGATTTTCCTACCATTTAGAGTTCTATCACAGTAACTGATTATGATTACTACTAGGTACAATGACCATATTGTTCAGAGCGATATGCCATTAGATGATATTGATAATACTGTCATAACTATATTAGATTATATTAGATTGTATTTCCTTTCAAAGAGGTGGAGCTAGCTTTCTATTTCTATATTCTTACCCCTCTTTAGCCCTATTACTAGCATATTTACCTTGTAGGAAATTTTACTGTTGAAAGTCGCTTCAACAGTGTTTTTAGTTTATTTTAAGGGTTCTTCTCTTTGTTAGTGTCTAGTTATCATTTTACCTTTATTGTTCATCAACTTTTGTTACATGTCATGTTTTTCCTCTGTAAATAATGAATTGTTGTCTTGTATTTCAGGATCTCTCATCAATAAATCATTGACTGAAAAGTAATGTTTCACTGAATTGTGTTTCTCTGGATTGTGTTTCTTGTGTAACTGTACATATTTCCTTCCTGAATTCATACAAATGGCTGTTTCTAATCTTATTCAGAGATATAGAAGGGGCAAGAGAAAAATAAATAATGAGAAAAAGGGAGAGAGAGAGAGAGAGGAGAGAGAGAGACAGAGAGAGAGAGAGAGAGAGACAGAGACAGACAGAGACAGACAGAGAAATGATGAGGGTGGTGGAGAAAAGTTAGAGGGAGCTTTCAAAAAGAGAGGTTATTTAAAAGATAGAAAAAAGTGAACGAGGTAACCTTTGTATGTGCCTAAGTGGATACAGAGAAAGGGAGAGAGAATGAAAACTATTTGTGAGATGTACAGAGTGAGGGGTAGTGAAGGAGTGAGAGGATGAGAGGGAAATGGTTTTAAAGGCCAAGTCCACTTAAAAAAAAGACTTACTTTTAATAGAAGCCAAAAAATCAGACAAACCAAACAAAAAAAAAGTTTGAGAAAAATCGGATAACTAATAAGGAAGTTATGAACTTTTGAAAAAGTATGGAACAATGGAAATCAGTACACAAATTGCCATTTTGGTTATCAGTTTGTGACGTCAGTGCCTCACTATTTATCAATTGCTTTAAAAAAAAAAATTATCCATCAATTTCCCTTTTTATCCACTAAAACTTGATTTCCCCATGCATTTGCCCAAGTTATATGATTTGTATCATATTGCGTGCATGATATTTGACAAAATCTTTCATGAACTTTGAAGATTTGATACTATTTTCTGAATATTGTATATTCATAATTATTGAATCTTATGTAAATAGTTTATCAAAATTCAAATTTTTCATGATTGGTGCATCCACACAAAAACATATTACCGGTACTATCAATATAACTTGGATGCTGGTGTGAGGAAATGATATTCTTAGGGGGAAAATGGGAAATTTATATTATCAATATACAGAAAACAATTGGTGGATAGTTGGGCAATGACATCACAGACTCATGAGTGAATTGACAATTTGTCTTGTGATTTTCAAAGTTTTTCATGTCATTAATTTATAACTTTCTTATTAGTTATCCGATTTTGCTCAAACTTTTGTTGATTGGTTTGTCTGATTTTTCTGCTTCTATTATAAGTAAGTTATTTTTGGAGTGGACTTGGCCTTTACTATTCCAAGTTTCAAGTTTTATTGTTCCACATTAAACAAAAAATATAGACATACATACAACATAAAAAATTATACAATACATGTAGCATATATGAGCATGTCTCAATGATTCTCAATTCATATAATAGATTAAGTAGAATGTGAGGAATCTATTGAAAAGCAGTGAGGGACATGTGCATGTAAAGAGAGAGAGAAAGAGAGAGAGAGGGAGAGAGAGAGAATGTAGTGATATGAGTTTGGAAGTCAATATCATCCTGGAACCAAAAATCAAAGAATGTAAAAAAAAAAATAGGAGTTCTTGGGATTTCTTCTTGTTGAAAAAATACCTCATCAGCACAATAGGTGTCTAGCTTCATCAAATTTCAAGTTCAAATGTCCAGATGTCCAGATGAGCAAGCTGGTTTTCATTTCAATTGTGTGACTTCAAACAGTCCATGAGTTAAAGCAAGTGTTTGAATAAAAAAGAAAACTGTGTAAAAGTTCAAACAGTCAAAGTGCATTCTTCAAACTATTTCATCGTTCTTTTATTCATATTCTGGTTTTTATACACAAAAAGATCAAAATACTGGAAGGCCAAAACTTGAATCCTTTTTTTTACTTCTTTAGTTTAGTTAAATCATACATTCAATTTTTTCTTAAAGCCCCACTGTCCTACTTGTAGCTACTTCCTCCCTCTATATAGAAAACTTCCCCAATCGGTGCCTGTTGGACCCCCATGATCCTCTTTTTCTTATGTTAGTTGAGAGCTGAGTTAATGAGATAGTCACCTGTCAGTGACCTCGCTGTGTGGTCTAATGTAGTATTGACAGTCTTTAATGCTTAAAACCAAACATCTTAAGTGTTTCGCGATGCTGTCTTGTAGATCATCTCATCAAGCTTTGGTTGTTTGGTTCATACGCAGTGACAGATGTATCCCAATCGGCAGCAGTGGACTTCTCAGGACTGGTCGTTTCAGCAATCTGGGACTGCTCTGCATTGGATTCAGCATTGTCGTCCGAGCATCCCCAATTAAACAGATCAGGACTGTTATGTGAATTCTAGTGCCATAATCTTCTTTTTGCCAAAATCTTTTTCCTTTTGCCAAAATCTTTTTCCTTTTTTGCCAAAATATTCTATAGATGTGCTCTCCCCTAATGCGTTTAATCTTTGTTTGCGATGCCTGTTCCAAACTGAACAGATTGGACTTGTTGTGAGGCACCATTCTCTTTTGCCATGATTTTCTTCTCTTTGCCAATTTATTTTTCAAGATCTCCCATAACATGATGTTGCATTAATAAAAGGATCCCTGGAATGACTTGTATATGAAGTGCCAGATATAAGATGCCCAAAGTTTTTTCTGATATTTCCAATAACCTCAATTAAATTATAGCAAAAAATATACTTTGCATTAAAAATGGTTATTATAATAAGAATGTTAATCTACATCTCTGCATAGTTCAACTTAATAAATAATAATCAATTACGATTGAGCATCCCGTTTGGCTTTTCATATACAAGTCGTTCGTAAAGTCATGCGTAACTTTACGAACAGCTTTATGAAACACCCCCTGGTCCGCCATCAAACCCAAGAATACATTTTGTTTGGTTTATGGCATTTGTGCCACCAGTCATTTTGATGGCGTGGGTTAATATCCCACCGCTGCCACAGGCAATGTAAAAGATGGGACAGGGGCGTCAGCCTACGTAAACTTTAAAGCTCTTTATTCAAGACAAACCAAAGAAAGCGAGTAGAAGAGTGCTACCCCAAAACCAAGCTAACATAGCAGCACAATTAATAACAAACAGCAAGTAAGAAGCAGCCTTGTATCACAAGGTGGTGCTGAAATAATATGATGGCATTACTCTCTGGACCATCGATCATCTATTGCAGTTATAGTGGATTTACTTTCATTGAACATTTTCCTTGTAGTTTACTGAAATGTTTTATAGCATTGTTCTGTAATCTTACACACTTTTTAAAACGTTAAGCTTTTAAAAATGTTGCTTCATTTGCTAGGTTTGCACGTTGCTTTTCAATGGGTTTCACGGTATGAACAAATTGCAATGAAATAGAATGCCAGAAAAGCCACAATGTAAAGAAGGAACCAACTAAAGGTTTTTTTTCATTTCAAATCTGCCTCAAAAGATAGAAATACACGTATCTTAATTGTTTCAAATACCAGTAAACAATATCCTGTGGTGTATTTGTTTCCTTGCCCATTGATTACTGTAGGTCGGATATGGAGGGTGTACTACTTTCCAAGTTTTTTCAGGTCTGTCCCGGGTCTGCCCTTGCTGAAATGTTTTGAAAGAATTATTTATATTCTTTTGTTGTTATGACAAAGTGTAATGTTGTTCTCATATGTCCAAGTTTTAGAGTTTTGTGCTAATAAAAGGTGCTAAAATGTTCTGATAATGACTTTCTAAATTATTATATGCAGGTAATATTTATTAATGTATTTATATTTATAAAAACTTGCATTCGTCGAAGTTTAGTGAAGTATACAGTGATCTTGAGATTTGTTATTAACATTATATATTTTTGTAAACTTCCATAAATTTGTTTCAGAGATCAAATAATTGTTGAATGAAAGAAAAAGAATAAAAGATATGTTATCATTGGCCATTGTGTATAGATACCTGTTTTGTTCTATTACATTACCATGATGTGCAGCCTATGAACAGGTACCAATGTATTTCTCTTCATATTGCATGAACTTATGAGTGACGTGGGATGGATCGATGTAAGAAGTGTAGAGGGAGAATCATACATAAGGAAAGAAAATGGGAAGAGATGGAGCTAGGAAAGGAGGAGCTAGGATGAGAGAAATAATGAGAGAGAGAGAAAGAAAGAAAGAGAGTTAAAGAAAGAGAGAGAGAAAGTTTCCTTGTTATAGTATTTTAGCACAGGAGATGAAAATATGAAAACGAGAGAGATAGAAGGGGGAGGTGAAGGAGAGAGAGAGAGAGAGAGAGAGAGAGAGAGAGAGAGTGGAGAGTAGTATTTGAAAGCACAGTATATAATAAAATATGAAAAATCCTCATCAATTAGGCCTTATATGAGATCTAATAATTTCCATAGCCGCCATGATAATGATAGGATGCTTGGTTTATTCTGATATGATGGTGTACCGAGGCGGGTCCATTTTTTTACCATTCTCGGGTGTGACTTTGGTGGCAGAAATGGCGCCATCTCTGTTTCCACAATGTATGTTTTCCCCTCCATCGTGAGACCACGGGAGCTTCACCGTACCCCTCTGTGCCCCGCCCCGACGCTCAGAGACCGGACCAAACACCGTTTTCAAATTTACTCGACTCCACTCGGCTCACGCACGTTACGTTTACCGTGCACATACGATTAGATTAGTGCATGTAAGTTGTTGATCTGTTGCAGTGGCGATCGGACTCTCGAAGAAATTGCGTTGCAAATTCAAGGTCTAAATAGGAAATTGGAGCTCCACGAATTCAACACTAACTGTAAGTATATTATTTAGCATACCAATTTTACGAAATCGTAGGATTACGTGTTCATGAAGGCCAAGTTTTGTCATCTTGAATAGTCGCAACTTGTTGTAGTGTACCGTACGTGTGTTACGAGGTTATTGGTCGTGCGACTGGGCTGTAGTAGACGGTAGTGCAGGGATCGCATCTTGAGCAATTTTGAATACCGTGTTGTGGGAGGGATGAGGGATGAAAAACGATGACGGCTAAGTCGTGGTCTGCTGTCTGTTTCCCAGATAAGAATCATTTCAAAATGTACACGACCATGTCAGTTTATGAAATGTTGGCAACAGTAAAATGCGACAGTTGAGAAGTATTTTATCGTGCTTAGATCTATGCCGTTATGGCTTGTATCTTTTTGTGA